GATAAGTGTTGACATACATGAACTAGACACGAAAAACAAGCTTCAAAATCAACAATGGGATGAGAAGTCTACTTATGTTGCATAGTCTACGGTTTTATCTATGAAAAAGTATTTTTACACCGGTATTACACAATATTACAAAATAAATATTATACAATAGTTATCATGCATAGCATAAATAAGCAACACGAGCAACATCAAGCTTATGATAATATATTTCAGCTTACGTAATTAAAGTAAAACAGCAGATACAAAAAGTTATTCTATTATTCAACAAAAAACCATTTCATATATAGGCTACATCTATTACATATGTCGTCGAGGAGTAGAAAAAAATTGAAATACTTTTGGTTTTGCTACGTTGGCTGCACTTAACGCAACTTCTTATTGCCGAGTAGCGGCTGCTAGTCCATACGTACGACGGCGCTGAAGGGCCACCAACTGATTAAAAAAAATATTTTCTTCATATCTGAGAAAAAACTTAGAATTCTAAGATTAAAGTCAGAGCCCGGGAAGTAGGCTTCCTCTCTGAGAAAAAAGTCAGAATTCTGAGTTTAAAGTCAGAAATTACAACTAGATCTAGTGGGCGTTCCCCTCTGAGATTTAAGTCAGATTTTAACTCTTTGCTCTCTGTCTACCCGTCCCTTTAGCGATAGGCTAGTCTTGAGTTTGAGTTGAGTATTGACTGAGTGAATGAGTAGAATAAGTTATAGTCTATTCAAACTCAGTCTTTACAACCATGGACACATATGCCATAATGGCTCTAACTTAACATATGCATCTAAATGCCAAAGATACTTTGGACCTTTGTTCTTGTATTTTCGTCGACGTAAACGTTTGCGGGTCCTGAGGTCAAATCCTACAGGGTCAAGTGCTTTAAGAATCGAACTAACTGTGTTTTGTTTTACTACAAAGCCATTTTGGATACATTTCAAATGCATCCATCTGTATCCATGTAGGCCTAACTGGTCTGAGTAGTTAAGCTCATTCCTAATGAAATGTTTCACCTCTTCAATTGAAGACTAATTAATCCTCCTAAACAAAACCTAAACCTTTTTAAAATACAGTACGTTTCAACTGTCTAATACTCAACACAGATGTGTTATATTTACAAGCAAAGTAAAGCTATATTTCTGCCTGAGCCAAGCCTAATCTAAAATAATCACAAAAATGGCTTCTCTTTCATTAGTGTCCATTTCGGTGCTCAATTCGCCGTTTTGTTAGGCAGTAGAAGAACGTCCAATTCAAGGAACGCCCACAAGTTAAATTCTGACTTTAATCTCAGAATTCTAACTTTTTTCACAGAGAGGAACGCCCACAAGCTAAATTCTGACTTTAATCTCAGAATTCTAACTTTTTTCATAAGGAACGCCCACTTTTTAAATTCTGACTTTAATCTCAGAATTCTGACTTTTTTCTCAGAGAGGAAGCCGACTTCCCGCGCTCTGACTTTAATCTCAGAATTCTAAGTTTTTTCTCAGAGATGAAGTCAAATATTTTTTTATAGTTGGTGGCCCTTCAGCGCCGTCGTACATACGATAATTTGAGGACCATTGCACGATAATTTTTCTGTCTACTCAGGATCGATCAGCTGTCCCATCCGCTATGACGTAATTCCCGCGCGTTATAAGCTATGCCACGTTTTTAAAATTATAAGCTATAGAACAAACGAGATATTATAAGCTGCAGCACATTTGAGCTATACCATTATAAGTTATGCCACATTTTAAGAAAACCGTTATAAGCTATGCCACATTTCTACGATTATAAGCTATGGAACAATTTAAATTTTCCATTATAAGCTATGCCACATTTTCAAGATTATAAGCTATGCAACATATTCGCAATTATAAGCTATGACATTATAAGCTATGGCATCGTACCGGCACCGAAGCTAGCGCTGGGAAGTGAGGGGAGTATGGAGGTCATTGTAGCAGATTACAGGGATCTGTTGCGCACGACCAAAGTGCTCCTACGCACTGACAGGCGTCTGGCCAAGGTCGAAGCCTCTAAAGTGTTTGTTCAGATCGAGCGGCAAAATCCTGGCGTCACGACTAAAGACTGGCGAGTCATTGGTGGGAAGAGGGAGGATGATCATCAGATTCTTGTTCTTGCTATTGAACATGAAATGAATGCCTAGGTTCTGAAAGATCGTGGCTGGATTATATACCTGGGTACGGTGAAAAATACAGCTCAGAGTCATCTATGGTGCTCCTTCTGATGACCCAGGTCCTTCAAGCGAACCTACAACACAGTAAGGCTGCTACAGCCGTGTTCTGTCTGAGCACGGTCAAGCAGTCCTTAGATTTTGCCTTGATTCAGCAACCCTGGGTCAATAACTTTAGAATTGCAGGGATGGGTAATATTAAGGGTAATGTCATTTCCGCGTCTGTACCACACCCTAGAACTTGCATTTGGGTTAAAGAGGGACTTAAATTAAATCCAGTTCTAGAGCTTTGTTCGAGGGATGCAACAGTAATTAAGACTGTATGTGCTAAATCACAGCCACCTCTAATACAAGGCCGCGACGTTCGAACTGGCACCCCCGCACTCACCCGCCACCTGCGTCCGGCACTCGTGCTAGGCTATAAACATCAATGAGAGTATTGCTGCTCTGTATGAAGAATGAAGTATTTAAATTACATATTTTATTGGATTTAGGGTATAGTAAAATAGACAAATTAAAATCAAGGTTTTTATTCTGTAAAAATTGCAACATACCACAATATGTCTAAAACTAAAAATACAAACGAAATGTTTTTGGTCGCATATATCGTATTGACCTCTGTTTTTTTTGTGGTGGCACTTTGACGCATCTGACCAAAACACCGAGGTGGCGGTTTGACGTGGTGGCGCCTTGACAGCGACCCGTTGTTAGTACAGTTCAGTCGATCACCCTATCTCCATCTTGTTCCTCGGCTTCACGATTACCTTCACCTCACAATAGTAGTTGTCAAGACTGGTAGTAACAATAAGACACGTTGTGTTGAGTTTATCATGTAGTATTTATTGAGTAAATAGTTTCCATAGGGTAACACCCTAGGAAACTCTTAGGTCTTTTTTCTCTCACCCCCACTCAATACGCTACTCCCCCGTATCCAGGCTTTGGACTCGTCCACTAGACATATTGTCCCGTAGAGTGCTGCCTCTAGCGGCCGAGTTTTGAATTAAGTTGCATTGTAGAGCGCGCTTTCAGCCATTCATGTAGTTAAGCGGTATTTTGATTTTTGATTCTAGTAAATAAGAAAAATTAGGTCCTACTCGTTACAACAATTATAATTATTATTAACATTGTATATTACCATTAAATATCTCAAATTTGATGTGATGGGCTTGGGGTCAACATTGTGCACTTTTTCCTGACACGAATTCCTATCAACCATATACATTTTGCCATATAACTTCGTAATTTAAGGGACTGCCTCAATCATACTTATACTGATTATTGTACACGCTTTATATTACCATTATAATAGCTCGAAGTTGATGTGATGGGCTTAGGGTAAAGATTGTGCACTTTTTCCTGACGCGAATTCCTATCAACCATACATATACATTTTGCCGTATAACTTCGTATTTTAGGGGACTGCCTCAATCATACTCATACTTATTATTCTACAAGCTGTATATTACCATTGAATACCTCAAATAAATCTGATGTGATGGGCTTAGGGTCAACATTGTGCACTTTTCCTGACGCGAATTCCTATCAACCATATATACATTTTATATATAACTTCGTAATTTAGGGGACTGCCTCAATGCTCAATCATATTCATACTGATTATTCCACACATTGTATGTTACCAATAGCTCAAATTTGATGTGATGGGCTTAGGGTCAACATTGTGCACTTTTTACTGACACGAATTCCTATCAACCATATAGATTTGGCCTTATACCTTCGTAATTTACAGGACTGCCTCAATCATAATCATACTGATTATTGTACATGTACAAGCTTTATATTACCATTATAGTTGCTCAAAGTTGATGTGATGGGCTTAGGGTCAACATTGTGCACTTTTTCCTGACGCGAATTCCTATCAACCATATATAGATGTTGCCATATAACTTCGTAATTTAGGGGACTGCCTCAATCATACTCATACTGATTATTGTACACGCTTTATATTACCATTATAATTTCTCAAAGTTGATGTGATGGACTTAGGAAAAAGATTGTGCACTTTTTCCTGATGCGAGTCCCTATCATGCAACTTTGCCATATAACATCGTAATTTAGGGGACTGCCTCAATCATACTCATACTGATTATTCTAAACATTGTATATTACCATTAGAATACCTCAAATTTGATGTGATGGGCTTAGGGTATAGATTGTGCACTTTTTCCTGACGCGAAATCCTATCAACCTTATAGATTTTGCCATATAACTTCGTATTTTAGTTGCCTGCCTCAATCATACTCATACTGATTATTGTACACGCTTTACTTTACCATTATAATAGCTCAAATTTGATGTGATGGGCTTAGGAAAAAGATTGTGCACTTTTTTCTGACGCAAATTCCTATCAACCATATAGATTTTGTCTTATAGCTTCGTAATTTACGGGACTGCCTCAATCATATTTATACTGAGTATTCTACACATTGTATATTATGCTATTACCATTAGAATAGCTCAAAGTTGATGTGATGGGCTTAGGAAAAAGATTATGCACTTTTTATGTTAGGAGTTTTAATTGATCGCGTTTTGTCTTATATTATATATATATAAATACGTATAATGTACAATACGGCCTCAAATATGCCTTTTAAAATACGTCAATTAATATAATTAATATAAATTTAAAAACATCATTTCGCACCGTATTGTCATTGAATTGCTTTTCCGACATCCGTGCAAAACCACTGAGCTCAGTGTGCAAAACACGTTAGTGGTGGCCGCAGGCGTACCAACCCCAAGGCGTTACCAACCCATCTATTACAATCCGAAAAAGCGCTGATGAAAAGTGCCGCTACGGTCTCCGACATGCGATGCCATGTGTTCGCCTCGCCGTTTGTTTTTGTTTTGTTTTGTTTGTGATTTTTGATTCCGGTTGATAATTGAGGTTAGGATTGCCAATGCCAAACATAAAGAAAGTTAGGAACCAATTTTATATTAAACTATTTTTGTTGATCTGAGATAACTTATTTTATGTCAATTATTTTGTGAATTATTATCAAAGTTGCGCCATAATGAGACAGCTATCCGATGAAAGGACAAGGGCAGTTTTCGAGAAGCTATCAAAATAGTAAGAATCCTTTTAATAAGTAAAATGTTATTTTTAAGGCTAATTTTATTCATTTCAAATATCGGGTACAGTTTCTTAGCTGGGCTATGCTAATATTGATTGAGACTATCGTTTCGATTAGTAAACCTTCATGAGATTTTTTCACCATCAGCAAGTTTGGTTGGCTAGGTTAGGTTATGATAGTTTAATTTTACAATAGATTTATATTGATATCGATTATTAATCAATATTTTCAATTCAATAGTTTCAATCAATATTAGCGTAGCCCAGTTAAGAAACTGTACCCCAAATATCCAGCAAGGGTAGCCCTAACCTTTTCCCTAGAGTGATATTATTTGTCGAAATAATAACCTGCATATGGTTAGGCCTCTATGCCCTTGAACTAGTTAGCCTAACTTGGTTAACCTCAGTAGGCCTCGGAATTGTATGAATTAGCTACGGTATGAAATAATTATTGTGGGTTGCTGTACCACTTTTAGTGGGCAACTCCACTTTAGCCTAAAAGTTGAACTAGGCCTATCTTGTGTGAATTCATTAACCCTTCAAGTGTCCATAGTAATAGTATTAATGTCCGCCCATTTATTGCGCAATTGCAGGGTTTTATTTAAATGTATCTTAGAAACTTAAAACAATGTAAAGTATACTGTTTTATATATAACTAGGCCTAGCTGTAACCCGCGGGCTTTGCCCCGTTTAACTTCTTAATTTTCAAGATGATCTCGTTCGCATGGCTCAATCATGTCCTGGTTGAAGTTCGTTCGCTACGCTCACTCACATTTAGGTTGGAGCTCGTTCGCTGCGCTCACTTGCCTTCAGGTTAGCTCGTTCGCTACGCTAACTCGCCTCCAGGTTGAAGTTCGTTCGCTACGCTCACTCACCTTTTGGTTGCAAATTAGCTGTTGTCATAAATGTAAAAGAAATAATAGTGCTGCACCCTGTTGGTAATCCTTGTAACTATTGAACATCATAGAACAGAACCAACTTGTTTAATTGAAACAGCTGTTAAGATTCATTAAGGTAATTCCATTTCTCATAAGGTTAACATGGGAAACTCCAGAGCCACTGGGGCGGAGCCGATTGGACGGATCATGAAATTGATGGTGTATAAACCTATTCCATGAAATTCTACACGTATGTACCAAGTTTCGTGGCAATCGGTTCAGCGGTGTCTGAGTTTATCACTGCCAAACAAATATATATATATATATATATACAAACATCCTCTTTTATACTTATAGATTTTGTTTGGGAAATTATGGGCTTCAATGTAATACTTAAACTTAGGCCTATAAAAAACATTACAAAAACAAAATTCAAAAATCTTTGTGAGGTTAACATTTCTAGAAAATTATAAAATAAATGAAAAATGGTTAATTATTCCGACGTAGTGACTACTCGCAAAAGTGAAATTTTTTTCCATAATGATCTAAGTTTCACGCTGAATCCTAAAATTACATTCTTATTTTTCGGAAAATACCCAAAATTACCGAAAAAAGGGAAAGACGGGGAAAAAATTTTTTACTCAAAATAAGTACGTCATGTGAGTACTCAAAATATGCGGAATCGATGAATTTGGATCCGATGAAAAACACCAGAGATAGGACGAAAAAACTAAATAATCGGTTAGGTTAGGATATGTTTGATTAGGTTAGGTTTGGTTAGGTTAGGATAGGCTTGGTTAGGTTAGGCTTGGTTAGGTTAGGTTAGGTTATTTTAGGTAAGGATAGGTTAGGTTTTGGTTAGGTTGGATTAGAATAGGGTTAACCCTAACCTTACCAAACCTATCCTAACCTAACCAAAACCTAACCTAACCAAAACCTAACCTAACCAATTCCAACCTAACCTAACTCAACCTAGCCCAACCTAACCTATTCTAACCAAACCTATCCTAACCTAAAATAACCTAACCAAACCTAACCTAACCCAACCTAACCTTTTGATAGGTTAGGGTTAACCCTATTCTAATCCAACCTAACCTAACCTAACCAAACCTATCCTAACCTAAAATAACCTAACCAAACCTAACCTAACCTTATCTAATCTAATCAAACCTATCCTAACCTAAAATAACCTAACCTAACCAAACCTAACCTAACTTAATCAAACCTATTCTAACCTAACCAAGCCTAACCTACCGGTAACCGATTATTCAGTTTTTTCGTCCTATCTCCGGTGGTTTTCATCGGATCCAAAAAATCTTGCATATTCTTAATCTAGCCTACACAAAATTCCGCATATTTTGAGTACCCACATGACGTATTTTGAGTAAAAAAATTTTATCCCCGTTTTTCTCTTTTTTCGGCAATTTCCGGTATTTTTCGAAAAATAAAAATGTCATTTTTGGATTCAGCGTGAAATTTAGGTCATTATGGAAAAAAAATTCACTTTTGTGAGTAGTCACTACGTCGGAATAATCACCAAAAAATTTATGTTTGAGCTCAATAAATGTTTATAATTTATAGGGTAGAGTGGGGGAATTGGGACCCGGGGGTAATTGGGAGCTATTTTTTTAAATTTTTAAATTTTGTATTAAGTTATTTATTTTTTAAACAAAATTGTCATCACAAATTATTGGATAATTGTAATCTTGTGTTTGATGTATAAATACCCCCGCCGCAGCAAACCTGCACACTAAGCAAATTTCCATTAGCCTGATAAGATTTCACATTAAAATGCCTCCTTAAAAATATCATATTTATTCCCTATTTAAATAGAATTAGTTTAACGAGTACTTAGGTTTGCTGCAACAGGGAAGGTAAAAAGGTGGTTTTTTATGTTAATAGTTTAGTAAGAAACGAATGTATTTTCCAAATTCGATCAAAATATGTTCATAAACAAGTAAACTACAACAGTTGACTTATTCTCCATAAGAATAACATAGGGATTTTAAATTTACTTTTTTGGAATTTTCTCTGTAACCATTAGGTGCACAATAACGCTTCAATATACTAAATTATTTGTTTTTTTAAGCTCTACAAAATGGTTTGGAAATAAATGGTAAAATTTTTTTGTTTTTAGTGTCAAAAATGGGAAAAACCTATTTTTACCCCATAAAACCCCCCATAAACCCCCGTTCCCATAGTCCGATCATGCTGGTTCGCGAACTCGTTCGAATAAATGTAGGTTTACACGTTTGTACCAAATTTCATCAAAATCGGATCATTTTTGCTTGATTAATCGTGCTGACGGACACAGGTATATGATTTGAACTGATGGTGTTTTTGGCCTCTAGGGACCTCAAAACGAAAAAATAAATCGGCCCGGGTCCAGGTCTTACCATGAGTACTACGGTAATAGCTTATTCCCTATATGGGAAATTAGCTAAAAAAAACTTTAGCGTGGCAGTATTTTGAGTTATTTTTTATATATTATATGAATTAATAATCATACCAAAATGTATTTTTTTACAGATTAAAGGTTTAAGCAATAGTTTGTTAGGGCTTTAAAATTTTTTTAAAAATTAAAAATTAATTTTAGGGTCCCAATTACCCCGGTGTGGGGAAATAGGACCCATATTTTTTGCCACACATATAATTAATATTAATATTATAATTAATCCCACATATAGTTAATCAATAATTATATGTGGCTGCAGTGGTGATTATCATGTATTATGTGTAAAAACAGAATTTTGAAGTAGGTCCCAATTACCCCAGCATGGAGTAATTGGGAACCAGTTTCATCGCGTGGTTACATCAGGTTGGAATCACAGATGTACAGAAAAGTAAAAAATTTATTTTACAACCACTTGATAAGAAACTAGGGCCTAAAAGAGTGAGCTAAGCCCATAATTGGCCTATGTTAACTTATATTTGGACTGATAACTACCATTTATTAGAAATTCTTTCGGCTGAAAAAGCGAAATCCCGGAAAGTTTGTATATGACCAGAAAAAAAGTTTGACATAAAATATAGGCTACTTGTAGTTTTTTTTTTTTTTTTTTTTTTTTTTTTTATTTAACTATACATGTCTTTAACAGTTTTATTTTCTGGCTGTTATCTGCTCTGGTTAATTTTTCCTATTTTATTAAGAAAAAAGTGTAATGTTTTAGAAAAAATAGTTTGAACTGTTTAGCCTACGTCAAAAACACACATAGCCTACATTAGTCCTAAAAAAAAATTTTTTTCAATAAAAGTATGTTGCATTTTGTTTATTATGTTTTCATTTTTAGAACCCTATTACCCCCATAAATTAATATTAGGTGCTTATGGGTTTATAAGCATAGCCATGTGGGGTAATTGGGTTCCAAATTATTTTTTTTTTCATAGTAAAATTTATTTAAAAAATAAAAAACATGTTACAAGACAAATTACAGTTGGAAACCTTAATTATGTTAGAAGACAAATTACAGTTGGAAACCTTGTGCATGCTCATATTTTGATTTTTTCTGACAATAAACATATAATTGAAAAAAATAAAAACATGGGTCTCAATTCCCCGACTCTAAACTTAGTCTACAAATAGGCCTAATTTAAAATAGCCAATTTGTTCAAAATTTTATAAGGATTACAAAAATATAATAATAGGCCTATAAGGAAGTACATTTGCAAATAAATAAGTTATGGGTGAAAAACAGATTTCGTACATTTAGCGGTAGCTAAGAATGCATAGCCTAACTATAGCTACGAATCTGGCCTATAAATTTATATCAATATCACTACCTACTTCTTCAGGATCATCAACCAGCCCTTCAAAATCACTTAAATCTTCTTATAATGCACCACGTATATCACTACTTTTTATTTTTAACACTAAAACAATGATAAACGTAATAAAACACATCAGTCATCGGTGCGAGGTTAACCAAGTTGTTTACAAATACGCACGTCATCTGTCTGCTACAATATTTTCGGAACTAAAATGAAAAGCGTCTAGAAACAGACATCAGGAGAAAGCTTAGAATCTGCCGAAAACAACTATACCAATCTCGATCCAGTTCAATCTGATTCAGTCAGTCCCAGAGCCTTCGCCGTAAACGATGTTTGTGTGTCGCAAAAGCAACGCATAACACCACGGCGGGTGTGTTAAGTGCGTCGATTACGCGACGCTTAACACTGGGAGGGTTAAATGCTTACAGGTTCTTTAAGGTCTATAGAGAATATGTATACCAAATCAGTACACTTCTATCATTTTAGTGTTGTGATTGACTCTGAAATGTGCAATATGGGCCTTTGCACACTAGGCCACCATGGCAGCGCCACCACTAGACATTAAGTTATATGTACAACAGCACACTACCGCTTTAATGGCTTGGTCGTACTCCTGTAAGCGCTGCCAGAATTCTGTGGCGACACCAGTTATGTAGGCCTACGTTTGTTTTGTTTTCCCCAGAGTACCTAACTTGTAATCATAGCAAAACTTAAGGTGGAACATTTTATCTTAGAAGTGCAAACCAGGTCCAGCGTTGAGTAGTATTGAAGTTTACTCGGAGATGCCTAATGCGAAAAGGTTGGTTTGAATCAGTAAAATTATTAATAGATAAAGAGAATTCCAAGGAGGAAAGGGTACCAACAGTTGTCAGTTGTCTATTATTTAAGATGGACACACCACTATGTAGGTATGTCCCAAATATGAGTGTAGGATGAGTATGGCACGATCTTGTGACACCACCGTCCCAGTCATTCTTGCCTACAGTAAAACTTATCCGGGGTTGTTTCTGAGATCCACATAAGTTTATGAGTAAAAAACTCCTCTTGAGCTTTGATTATGTAAAACGGGAGTATCCAGTATTTTTCTCCTGATTTCCCCCCTTTTCTACTAGAATTAAAACATAAAAGCCAACCCACAAGCTTCTTCCACATCCATCAAGATCAATAGAAAACAATAAACAATATGTCTATTTAAACTGACCTTGGGCCCTACATCCACAGATACTTAGGCCTACAATAGGTTTTACGCTTTATCATAACTTAATGATTTAATTGTCCTTAATCATAACTTTTGGATTTCTTACAGTATTGGAGCAAATGTGAAAATCTTAATCGATCGGCCAGATGGAGCTTACTGTTTTAGGGAGAGGAAAGATAGAGTGTACTACCTTTCAGAAAAATTGGCATCCTTGGCTAGCAATGTTGGCCCCGATAATCTCTTGAGTGCTGGTACTTGTTTTGGAAAGTTCACAAAATCTAACAAGTTTATGTTACACATAACAGCATTAAGCTACCTTGCCCCATACGCACAGGTAAGTTTAGGTTAATTAGGTTTTAGTAGTTGATAATCATAGAACAATTAAGTTAGATATAGAACAGCGTCTTGTTTCCAGATTCACATAATTTGAATGTAGGCTTGGTAGCCATTATTTACCATTGGGACATCAAGGACCGTAAGGATTTTTCCTTACAACTGGTTTGTTAGTAAAGAGAGACTAGGGTTAAAATTGTTTCCCTTCGACAATATAAGAAAATGTCAATTGTGTAGAAAAGGCACAAAAATATAAACCAGTTTGTGGAAAAGATTTAATTAAAGCTAACGACTATTCCTGACAGGGAACTGTTTCCTGACAGGGATCTGTTTCTTGGCAAGTATGATGAGTTACGGATGAGTTTCCACTCAAAGTTTCAGCAACATCTCTCAACTCTTCATGGTTTAAAAAATGTGGCTATCCTAACATTAGATTTTACAATTGACATTAAATCAAGGGGTATAAGTTGCTGTATCAAGTTCATCCTTGCTCTACATACCTACCTTCCATTGTTTGTCTCAATTAGTTACTAACTAGGTAATCTTTGTCGCAGTTTCAATTATTTGTTTACAACAGCACCCTACTTACTTACAATGTAATAATTGTATTTTATGTTATCTTTATAGTATTTTATTGTTTACTAGAGGATCCATGCTACTCCGCAGTGTTAAAATGAATATCATAGACCTATCCGAGAAATAATCAAATTTATGATTTTTGATTGAATCATGAATCTTGAGCCTGATTCAAATGATCAATAGCTCAAATTAAAGCCTATAATATACTGATTATTTTGAGTCTAAACATACAAAAAAAAACATAAACAACACTGGAGCTATTGATTTTTAATCGAAGAAAACCCTATAAAAATAATTTTCTGTTCATTTAAAACTCATTTTACAATCAAACAGCTGTTCTTCAACAGTGAGCGTTAGAACCGCAACGTAGTAAACAAATCAGATAATAAATCATGAAAGTAGTTTTTATAGGAAGCAAATTGGTACATTTTTCAATATGCCCCCATTTTGTTTCTACTAAGGTTAGGGAGTTTAAATTTTTCCAGAATATTTTTAGAACCTACTTTGTAAACTGTGTAAAGTTTAAAAAAGCTCAGTCTATGAATGGGCACGTAATATAAAATCAAACGTTTAAACCCCTTCGTGGGACACCCTATGTTGTGTGGGAATATATTCTTAAACTTTCATAAACTCTCCTGCCGTCAACAAACCCGTCCCTCCTTCACTGAAATCCAAGACGCTACCCACTAAGCCGGTAACCTAAATATAGATTTTAGATTTACTTGAGTTTTGAAAAGGCATGTCAACATTTTTACAACCCTAACCGATTGTGATAACTCTGTTGGGAAAAATATTATTATCTTTCTTAGACTACATGAACACTTATTTTTCAGCACAAAATCTGGGTGAAACCGTCTGCAGAACAGCAGTTCTTGTATGGTAACAGTGTGACCAAGGCAGGCTTGGGGCGCATAACTGAGAACACACAGAGATATGATGGTGTTATTGTGTATTCAATGAGTGACATTCCTCTGGTAAGATTGACTCTTAATTATATACCTGTATCCTAGTAATTTTTAATAGCGGTATCACTATCAAATTTTTCTAGTACAAGGTTCAACTATAACAAACTCCAGAAAATGTTTGGTCCCTAGGGAGTACAAGTCAACTGTTTGGTAACTCAGTTGTAAATTTTGATTGTAGGCAATCGCATGTATTTAAAGTATGTACCGATTGTTTTAATTGGTTGTAGCTTATTGTTGCCTTCTTGTCAATAGTTTGACATAAGTATCAATAGTAAAATCTCTTACAGTAGACTCCCTCTTATCCGGACTCCTCGGGACCGAGGCCAGTCCGGATAATGGGTTTTCCAGTTAAACCGACGTCCCCAAAAACTAGTTAAAGCAGACTGTTTACTGTGATATTTGACTTAAATTTAGGAGAGCATTGTATTTAGACACCTGATCACTGGTCTCAAATCTTTCCCACGAGAACAGTCGTTTCAGTACCGCCCACTTCCTGCCGATCTAGTCCGGTTAAACCAATGTGAAAATTGTCCGGTTGAAGAGATGTCATTTTCGCCAAGTGTAGTCCGGTTAAACCAATCTCCGGATAAGAGGGAGTCTACTGTATATTAATACGTGAGGGCTGTTTTTTGTGAACACTACTCCTCCCTTATTTGTGGACCAATTTCAACATTTAAGGTGTCAAAAGATTCGGCCCAATTCGTAGTTTTGCATTAAGGTTTTAGAATTTTTAAGTTCCTACCCTTAAAGGTGCAAGGCCCTTACAAAGGTCGGGTTTTCACCATAAGAATTACATTGAAGAAATTTAAAAACAAAAAAAAAAGCTGTATATAACAAGAAACTCATCAGCCCCTTGGGAGTAAATATTAATGTTGGTAATATTCAGGAGGTTATAGACCAATCCAAACAGTTAATCAGTTTTGTTGAAAGAACCGAAAATTTCTTTGAGTTTAAAGAAGAAATATTGAAAACAGGAGGAGGTTAAGAGGAAATCTTATACGAATGAGAAGAGTAGAAGAGAGGCCTGGTTTAACAGTAAGGAATCCAGATACACAATCACTTGGAGGGATGAATAATTTTTACCAGTTCTGCTATGCAACTTATTTTGCAAGTAAAAAAATCATGAAGAAAATACAAATCATGTTATTGCAGTGGTAAATAAAACCTGCCTAATGTCAGATCAAATGAATACATGCAAGAAATGTTTACTGGTAACAGCTATAAGTTGGGAAACATTCATATAAAACACTATAAAATAAGGCCCGCTTCAAAAATATTATAAAATATTTTTACAATAAGTGTTCATTATTTCAACCCGTTATTACAATAGAACCTCTTTAATCCGAACTAATTGGGACCAGGGGTAGTTCGGACTATTGAATAGTTCGGATTACAGAACATATTGTTGTTTTTATATAACAATAGCTAAAACATGGCAAAAATTGATCAAAATTATTTTGGGAAAAGTGAAAATGTTTTATAAAGTAAAATACAGTGTTTATTTAATACAGTAGTAAACATGGTGAATAAACAGTACTGTAGATTAAATACAGTATACAATAAAGAACTGCTGTACTGTGTATAAAGTACAGCAATGAGGGGTTCGGATTAGTGGACGTTCGGATTACGGGGGTTCGGATTAAAGAGGTTCTACTGTAATAGAGTGAGTATTTCAATTAGTCACATAAGCTTTGAGTCTTTTAAACTTATTGAAATCAAAAATTATAACTGTTATTACTGCAGTTTTAAATAACGCCTGTATAATAACGGTACTTGAAAATTGCTCGATTTTGGCCACTCATAGAAGATGACTGTTATTTTTTTAATAACCCCTGTATAATACCGGTACTTGACCATTGCTCGATTTTGAGCAACAGACACACAAGTATAATTGAATCCCTTACTAAACAGCTGCTGGTTTGCATTAGCAAAATTTAAAACAAGTTGGTGGTAGTTTTGAGAGTTTTATGTTAATTTTACATTAAAAGTATTTCCGTTTTAACTTAGTTTACCTTAATAATAGTGCAATTTTACAAAGAAATATAGTTCATCACATGGGCAAAAAGTATCTTTCCAACCCTCGCTCATAATCCGACCTTGTCTTCGCCTCGAACGTCAAACTTGAGCTCAGGTCAAAAAGCATACTATTTAATACAGTTAGTGCTTCAAAGCTTCAAACCCCATACTTGAACGTGGGAAGTGGTTTTTACACATTTCCCTGAACACTTTCCTGTCCTGCAACATATAATTATAACATGTGCTATGTTAAATGTCATATTTGTCAATAAACTAAAAACTGCGGAACACAAAAAATCTGAATTGCCCTTATTTTCTTAGTTGCAATTTCAGCAACATTACAATTGTGCCCACCATTGTGGAATTAAGAATTTAGGGCTGGCCTATCCATTCATTAGCATTTAGTATTTTTAAATTGAGTAACATTTATTTTTTGCAGGGTTTTGGAATAGCAGGGAAGAGCACGACAGACTGTAAACATGCTGATCCGATGGCAATAGTCTGCATCCACCAAGCTGACATCGGTGAATACATCAGAAAGGAAGATACGTTAACATAAATAAATCTTGCTCTCAAATTTTGTGTGTACTGTGTTTTTGTTAATCCAAACTTTTGTGTGTCGGTTTGATTCATCAAGAACTGCAGTATTATATAAACACACCAGGCGGAGGTGTAATTGCGTAAATTTTCCAGAGTGGAAATGCTCACCATCGTCTCAGAAAAAACAAAGGTTGCCTATTAAAATACTAAATATGATTTTGGTAAAAGCAAGTTCCCTCACGTTACCACTCCACTACACCACTGATCCCAAGAGAATTTGATGTTTTGATAAGAGAGTTACAAACATGCTGCTTGCTGCTTCATCAAACATTTGGAAATACAATTTATTAATAGGTGAACATTTAGGTGAAATGGTAGAACATTATGGATACGGTAGATGTGTAAGACTATTTTTATAGTATAACATCTACTCATATGCCAACCCCGTACGAAGGACGGGTATTCTGCTAGTCCTACTAATATTATAAATGAGAAAGTTTGAATGTATGTATGTTTGTGACAAGTAAACGCAAAAAACACTGGTCGGATTGGGCTGAAATTTGGTATGATGATAGCTCACATTCCCGATTAACATATAGAGCATTCTTATCTCAAAAGTCCTATCGGGCTCCGCCCCAGTGGCTCTGGAGTTTCCCATGTTAACCTTATGAGTAATCATATTTAAAAGGAATAAAATAATTTTTCCTACAGTCACCCGACAAAGTTGGCTTCCTTGTACTGTTTATAGTACAGAAAGCTGCTAATTGCTGCATATTTATACTTTGCCGTACGGTTTATACTTTGCCGTACCGTTTATACTTTGCCGCACATCAGGATTCCAACGAAACAACACAAAACAGCGTGGTTCTATTATGCACGTAATCCGTGTACGCTTGGAAATAGGTTGGCAACACTTAAAGATAATAATACTATTTGAGCAGCTGATTGACTATTATAACTTCGATTTAACCTGTCATTTCGTGTTTATAGTTTCAGTATTTCTGAACTTCCTGGACTTTTCTTTTAAACGTTTTTAAAACATTCCTACGATCTTAATACACAAAAAAAATACATTTAAAGCATTTTTTTAGGCGCGGAAACCACTTCAAATTACAAAAACATACGGGACTATATTCTCAAAACGCGGAGCACATTTCTTGCCGAGGAAAAATAGCGGAGTGATACGGACCGCGGGTACTACTTTCTCTAAGGGCACCATTTGTGGTGCCAGCTGAATCTAAAAACGTGTTGTATAGTGTTTGAAAGACTAATTATTTATATGATTTATAGTGACTGTAGGAAAAATATAATGTGTAACACGAGTGAAAAAGGCCTTTGATGCACTCGAGATCATTCCGCACGAGCCGATTGCTCTCGTGTGCAGCAAAGTGCCACTTTCACCACTAGTTACACAAATAACTATTTCCAGCTGTTTCAACTACACAAGTTGGTTCTATGATATTGAATAGCATTAAAAAGTTACAAGGTTTACTAACAGGGTGCATTACTATTATTTTTTTACATTTATGACAACACTAGCAGAGTACCTGTCCATCGTACGGGGTTGGAATATAAGTATAAAATGCTTATTGCAGTTATACTCAAGCTTTGCGTTTGCAATAAGGGAGGACACAGTTTGACAAAATTTGTTTTTTTTTAATTTACAGTATTCTATAGTATTACATATCTACCATAGCCATAATGTTCTACCACTTCACCCAAACAATAGAGAAAAATAAAATTATCAACAATTCGCAAAATAGGCCTATAACAAATTATTCATGAAATGAAAAACATAAACATAACCGTAAAGGGAGCGTTTCAAACTCCAAATTTCACAAACTCCAACGCTTAAAATATTAAATGAACAGAGCGTTTCATAATGTCCAAATTTCATAAGCTCCAAAACTATAACATTCAAATAATCACTGTTTCACAATGTCCAAATTTCAAAAACTCCAACGATGATTTCACAAAGTCCAACGTTAATATATTAAATAGATAGAGCGTTTCATAATCTCCAAATTTCATGATCTCGAAATCTATAACATTCAAATAATCACGTTTCAAAATGTCCAAATTTCACAAACTCCAACGTTTAAATACCAAATAAACAGAGCGGTTCATAATCTCCAAATTTCATAAGCTCGATACAACGGTATAAAGTCTGGCACGGTCAGATAGCACGTCCGCCGGCGCTGATTATACGTGCATTTTAATGATTGAAGAACACTTAGCTGTGTGACTAAAATATGGGTTGTTAACACATAATGTGCAAATTAAATTACATTTTCCTACAGTCACCCGACAAAGTTGGCTTCCTTGTACTGTTTATAGTACAGAAAGCTGCTAATTGCTGCATATTTATACTTTGCCGTACGGTTTATACTTTGCCGCACATCAGGATTCCAACGAAACAACACAAAACAGCGTGGTTCCATTATGCACGTAATCCGTGTACGCTTGGAAATAGGTTGGCAACACTTAAAGATAATTATACTATGAGCAGCTGATTGACTATTATAACTACGATTTAACCTCTCATTTCGTATTTATAGTTTCGGTATTTCTGAACTTTCTGGACTTTTCTTTTAAACGTTTTTAAAACCTTCCTACGATCTTAATAAACAAGAAAATACCTTTTAAGCATTTTTTTTAGGCGCGGAAACCACTTCAAATTACAAAAACATACGGAACTATATTATCAAATCAAAACGCGGAGCACATGTCTTGCCGACATGGCAGACATCCCTATTCCAGAAGACGCCTCATTAGCTCTCTACGCCGACGACACTGCTATCCTGTGCCAACATTCCGACATCCACGAGGCCACGTATTCCCTGCAATACTCTGTGGATCTTCTCATTGATTGGTTCTACAAGTGGAAATTTCGCCTAAATTCAACTAAATGTGAGACAAAAATATTTTCCTTGAAAAAACATACATTGCCACATGAAATTCAAATATATGGTAACTTTCTACCTTGGAACCCTGATGACCAGGCCATAAAATATCTTGGAGTATGGCTGGACAAAAAACTTAATTGGAACTACCACGTTAATCAAAAACTGTCCCAAGGTTATGCACGCCTTGCAAAGCTTTTCCCTTTAATCAATAGGAAATCTACTCTGAAGCCAGCTTGTACAGTTCTAATCTACAAATCAATAATTCGGCCCTTGATTACATATGCATCTCCTATCTGGGGATTAGCTATATCAAAAAACAAACTCTTCAAAATTCAAGTGATTCAAAACAAAATTCTAAGAATAGCGGTGAATGCTCCCTGGTTTGTTAGAAACAGGCATATACATGAAGAACTAGGAGTGGAGTCTATCTCGGCCTTTATTGAAAAAACCACCTCAAAATTTCTAAAATCTTTAAACGATGTTCCTGGTGCATTAACTTTTCATCTTGGTGAAGCAACTGAGAACAGGAGGCTACGTCGAAGGCTCCCTCAAGATCTATTGGATGAATGAAGCCTAAAGACGATTAAATTATTCTCTAAATTAATTATGTTACAGGGTGTACCAGGTTTGGGCGAACCCACGATGTTATTATAGTTAATTTCTTTTTAATTTTGTTAACACTTCTGTGTATAATGTCTACATTGAACCAGAAATAAATGCTGTAAAAAAAAAAAAAATGTCTTGCCGAGGAAAAATAGCGGAGTGATATGGACCGCGGGTACTACTTTCTCTAGGGCACCATTTGTGTTGCCAGCTGAACCTAAAAACGTGTTGCATAGTGTTTGAAAGACTAATTATTTATATGCTTTATATTGACTGTAGGAAAAATATAATGTGTAACACGAGTGAAAAAGGCCTTTGCTGCACTGGAGATCATTCCACACTCGCCTGCGGCTCGTGCGTAAACATTGCTCTCGTGTGCAGCAAAGTGCCACTTTCACCACTAGTTACACAAATAACTATTTCATATTTTTAACACCTTTAATTCAAACTTTCAGCTGAGTTTCTAAACTGTTCCATCTCTCAATTATAAAGCCATTACAAATATCGCAAGAGATTTTTTTTACCGATGTCAAATTTTAAAACTTATAAATATGTTTTATAAGTATATTTTCTCGTAGCTGTAGAAATTTCATGATGGTTACATCAGTAGTATTTGTGTGTAAAATAAAAATAGCCCGTTCTTAGAAAAGTGCCGAAACCCTTGTACTTTATTCATTCTACCCACTAAAAGGATGAGTTAAAACAACATAAAAAGGTACAAACTAACATACATAAACGCAGAAATACATAAAAAAAACACACACACAAACTTTCACATTTATAATATTAGTTAGGAAGTACGACGATTATATTAACGATTATCCATGTTGTAATATATACTAAACTAATAACTTCATTGATAGTGTAAATCAAATAAGGAAAATGGAAATTCAATTAGTCTGCAGGTTTGCTGCAGGAGAGGTATTAATACCAATACTTTACACTCTTAACAAAGCAACTACAGACCAAAACAATGATGTTTCGTGACGCGCCGCTACAACACTAGAACGTGTAGCGCCTACATACCGAACCACGGCAACCTCTGCACTCTGCAGCGACTTCTGGCAGAGACCATTGGAGATTATGAACCGCTCTGTTTATTTAATATATTAACATTGGACTTTGTGAAATAACCGTTGGAGTTTGTGAAACTTGGACATTGTGAAACGGTGCTTATTTGAGAGTTATAGTTTTGGAGTTTATGAAATTTGGAACTTATGAAACGCACTGTTTATTTAATATTTTAGACATTGGAGTTTGTGAAATATGGACATTATGAACCTCACCCACTGTAAACAATCCTACTTTGACAGTTCTCATTGCGAATCACAGGTTTTTGTTGCTGCTTAGTTCAAATTAGTGGGGTTGTATAGTTGCATATAGTGGGAGAATATTTCAGTTCTGGCGGGGAGTAGATACAAAACATGGCTAAAAAAAATATACTGCACTCAAGGCACCATAGGGGGTTGGTAACATTGATAGCGGAAATACTTTGCATATTGCCCCCATTAGGTGGGACTCAATGTAGCCTATTTACAAATTCCCGGTTCTCAAGTCCCCCCTAAATTATAATTGAGCATATACTTACTTACTTGAAATACTTATCTTCTACATCGTTGACCGACATGTCGGATAGATTGTGTCATATTACTACTATTTACATATGAACACTATAAAAACCATTAAAAATATCTACATATACTTTCGTGGCGGACGTGTCACGTTACAAAAAGTGGTTCGCTTTCCAACTCATGCGAGGCGTACAATGGCCTATTCAGCAGTCCATCACGAATCGCACTCTTAAAGTCTGGCAGGTCCATGTCACGCACTCGCTTAGGCAAGGTGTTGAAGACCCTAACTGCCGAACGCGGGTAACTCCTCATTGTCTGTGCAAGTCGGCAACGAGGCATGTCAAGGTCTGCCAAAGAGTCCCACCTTGTCTTTGAGAAGTACAAGGATGTCGAGGATATACTGGCTGAATACAGTAGTGAGCACCCTATGCCGGATGAATATAGGGCGGCAGTGCTGCTTGTAGCCAGCAGATGACAATATCCTCATGGCTTTCTTCTGGAGCAGTAGGATGTCATGGGCTGCTGTAGAATGGCCCCATAGGACAAGGCCGTACGACACATGGCTGTGGAAGAGGGCGTGATAGACCATCAGCAGAGAGGGTTGACTTAAAGTAGGGCGAAGTCTTCTCAGTAGGTAAGTAACTCTAGATAACTTAGTCTGACACATACCTTGTCTATGTGATGCCTCCAATTTAACCTGGGGTCGAGCCAGAAGCCCAGGAGTTTTACAGCCTCATCTTCCACAGCAGGTTTGAGGGTACACAGGATGGTCTGTGTCTTGTCCTCATTCACCTTGAGCCTATTGGCGGCAAACCAGCTCTTCGCTTCTTCCAGTAGAACAGTAGCCTCTCCACCGATATCCTCTAGGTCTTTCCCTCTTGAGAACAGAGTAGTATCATCAGCAAACAGCAGAGTACGGTTGTTAAGTGAGAGGTCATTGATCATGATAGTGAAGAGCACCGAGGTATGCTGCCAACGCTGGAAGAGGCACCTCTCAGAGTGAGATACTGTTTGCGGTCACTCAGGTATTCAGTCAGTGAGCCAAGGACTGCGCCACCCACCCCATACCTACTCAGTTTAGCAAGAAGGATTTTGTGATTTACAACATCGAATGCCTTGCTCAAGTCACACAAACTTAGCAGGACAGACTCACCCTCCTCAAAAGCACTGGAAATAACGTCAACAAGGCTTAAAAGTGCAGAAGTGTGCGACGATATTTTCTGCACTGGAAAAATAAATATTAAAAGTGCAGTGCAGTCGCAACCGTTTGCCGGGGATAGCTCAGCCTACAATGGCCGGGTAAAGTTCCAGGGTCTGCGATCAGGTCAGGGAAACCACTAGGCCACTATAATCCAATACACAACTCTAATGCCCAAGCTAAGAATCAAACAGTTCACTCAATAATCGTACCACATAATAATATACAAGTACACTATAGGTAGGGTGGCTACACCACTAGTAGCTGGTCTCAATAAATACCAAGCCAAACAAGCAAAACTAAATGGCACTTGCACTATTAAAATATTGAGCTACTTAGTAGCAGATAAATAAATTTTAACTACGTTCCAAACACTAGATAAATATATTATCTGATAGCCGGTACTCCGCTATCCAAGCTACCAAGATAACGTGTTGGACTACTAAACAAGCTGTTCAGGTTAAATTAAAATAATCAAATGAATAACCAATAACAACCCTACTACTGCTACTGCTACTACCAACTTTATGTTACTTAGCTGGGCTTCTGTTAATAGGCTAATAAAACTAGCTACTAGCCTGCTGGCCTCGTGCTTCCAACTACGCACGCTAAATCGTGCAGCCTAGGTTTGTCGGGCCTCAGAGTTATTAGTAATATAACTAACTCTAGGTACAACGCAAAATAATATCTACTACAGTCAATTAAATTATATTATTTGCGCTCTAGCACCTGCCCAGAACCGTCAGGAATATACTTTAATATTATTCCTGACTAATAAATCCTAACTACCGTCAGGCTTCGACCAGCACGGTTACAACTCTAACTCTCGCAATAAAATCAGATATTAATATATTCAAACTAATAATATCAGCTTTTAACCAAAATCAAAGAACGTCGTCCACTCACCAGCAGTGGGTCTTAACACCCAACTTAACACCAACTGTCACACCTCGTACACTCTGTACCTCCAACGTACGCCAGCCGTCTCCACAGGCACAGGACACCAACACTATCCTCACTCTACGAGATCCACCACTAGAATGTCCGTCCTAGGCTATCCTAAGAAACTAGGATATCCCAGGCTTATCGGAACTGATAAGCCGGGTCAAAGGGCGCTCGCTAGCTTCGCCGCCGCCGCTTGCTGATGCCAGCAATAGGTGCGCGGCCAAATAGCAAATATTTACCCCCCTAAGAAAAATAACTCGTTACAAGTGGTCGAGTGTTTACCTCTGAATCTGTGTTGGGCTTCCCTCAGAATGGCATTACCTTCCAAGTAGGCTATTAGTTGTTTTTTCATAATGGTCTCTATCACCTTGGAGAAAGATGGGAGGATAGATATCGGTCTCAGGAGTGAAGGGTCCCCTTTCTTGTATATGGGTATCGTCCGGGCTATTTTTAAATTATCAGGAAACATACCCTTATAAGCTCCCGCCATCATGAATTAGTGCAACAGCTGTTTCGGTAGGCCAGGGCTGCAACATTGCCATCGCCCGAAATGTATAGGAATTATCATTTAATTTAATCACATGTCTTCAGTTCGTTCTACACATTTTCTCAGTTACATTTCATTCATATATTTCCCTTTCGGAAATTAAAACTCCAGATTCCATTCACTCAGCAGTATTAGCAACCATTTCACCGACAGTTCTTAGTGTTTGGAAGGATATTTATAGGTAGTTAGTTAAATTAGTATAATCAAAGCTGTCTAGGCAAAATGTCTGTCCTGGGTAAAACATCTCCGTCCCTCTGGTCCCCAGCAATCTTTCTAGAACTATTGGTAGCAGCATAGTAGTACAGGTAAAATAATACAAAAACACTCCATATAAACAACAAAATTTGTACATTCATGAAATTTTACCTGTGAGTTACTAATAATATGAGAAATGAAGATCCGATGAGTCCCCAAAATTTTGGGCGTCCTAAGGCCCTTTTTGGGGCCCTTTTTGTTCCGAAGGGCCCTCGTTCCTGAATGATTTTGTGTTTACGTTTAAGGTCGAGTGAGGTGTGGTTTTCGATGGTTTTAGTTATTTTAAATCGATTGGGACTAGTTTTAAGTGTATTAAACCACTCCCTACAGGGTGTTTCGAAATATAAATACTATTTACGAGATTTAAAGATTTATTCATAAAGTAATAATATTAGTTACCTCCATGGTCTATATAAAAGGGGATTATTGAAAATAACTTTAATTCTTTACTATATAAGAGGGAAGGATCACAAGGAGTAAGAGAAAATATTAAATACCCCCGTCACAGCAAACCTGCGGACTAAGCGAATTTTCATTTGCCCGATTATCAATTAAATCTAAAAAATAGCATTGAGTTTAATGAATACTTAGGTTGAATACTTTAATGCTTTAGGTTGCTACAAGGAGGCTAATAAAGTGTGTTTATAGTAAAATATTAATAGCCTAGTATAAAACAAATAAATTTGACAAGTTTTATTAAGACATATCTATAAACAAACAAACAAAATCATTTTACACTATTCTCCTTAAGAATAACATGGAATTTTAAATTTACAAATTTTTGAATTTCATTTGTAATTAATACACTTACAAAACACGTTAATATACTAAATTATTTGTTTTCTTTAAGCTCTTTAAAATGCTCTAGAGAAAAATTGGGAAACTTTGTGTTTTGAGGGTCAAAGATTACAAATTTTTACCAAATAAAACCCTGTTCCACGGACCGATTATGCCGGTTTTGTTAAAATTGAACCAAAATTACTCGAGTTATCATGTTTACGGACACGTATATAACATGGATATATTATATTATAAGTTATATATGTATGTAAACACATATATAATATTTTGAGTGGATGGTTCTTTAGGCTTCTGGGGGCATCGAAATGAAAACGTAAATCAGTTTCGGGTCTATGTTTTACCATAAGACCTTCGGTAATAGCTTATATCCTATATGGGAAATTAAAGGGGGATAAGTTATCCCCCTTAAGGGGGGGGGTTGGGTTATATGGTGGGTAAAAGGGTATGGATTAAGTTTTACACTATAACATAATAACATAGCCCATGTAGCACAGATGGTTGGGCCAACGTTGGTAAATTGTGGAGCCACACAGTTGGCCAACGGTAGAAATGTCACCTCTTTAAACTGTTTTCCAGCCAACCTTTGTCCAACAATGGCCCAACCAAAATTATTTCACACAAAATAATAAAGATTTAGTACGAAAAGCATAATTATTAGTTGAGTAAATTGATTAAATAGTTCATAAAAAAATTTTTTGAAAAAAAGCTGGAACAAAATTTTTTGGCCCAGACGGGTCTCGAACCCGGGTCCTTTGACTATGAGCCTACCTTACCACTGAGCTATCTGTGATTGTTGATACAGAGAGTTTTCAAGTGATGAAAGAGTAGCCGACAGTTGCAATGGTCGCAATACTTCAAACATTTTTGATACTACACACAGTATAATATGATTCTGTTAATCTGTTAAGGCATCATAAGTAGTTATTTTTTTTTTTGGAGTTAGAGAGGATACTGGTATTTGAATATAGATTAATTAATTACCGTTAGATTATTAATGCTATTATAATTGACTGTTATATGATTAATTACTCTTTCCCCTTAAATTGTTGCAAATAAGTTAAAGAATATTAATTTAAAAAATATTTGCATTATTATAATTATTAAAATTCATTGTTGTAGCCCCGGAACTGTAATATATAAAATATCTGGTTTTACAATACCTTTATCAGTTCCAAAAACTTTTGGAAACTTTTGGAACTGATAGAGGTATTGTAAAACCAGATATTTTATTATAATTATGTTGTGAAAGCTAGACCCAGAGAATGAAAGTCGTGTAAACTCAACTATGGACCATCGTTGGTCAAACAAAAGTATCTTTTTGTTGGTCCAACGGAGTGAAAAACGGTTGGACAACGGTTGGCTTGATGTATGATACCCAACAATGCATATTAATGTATTTCATTAACAATGAACCGATGTTGGTCCACAGTTGTAAATATTGGTTGGCCCAACTACGAGATATACAGTTGGACAACGGTTGGTTGGTTGTGGAAGCTCCAACCAACCATCGACCAACTGTCCCACAGTTGGCCAACGTTGGCCCAACCATCTGTGCTACATGGGAGGTTACTACGCAAAAATTTCAACTTTTAAGGTGGTGTGAATAATCTTTCAATGTGTTTTTTATGCAAATCTATTAAGACCAATTTCAAATTGATATGTATTTTTATTAGGTAGTTATTTAAGTTATTTTTTTACATTTATTAAAAATTAAAACAATTGTATTTGTATAAAACCTTGCTTTACATATTAAAATGACTTAAACTAAAAATTTACTTAAAGCTATTTTTCTACAACTTCCGTAGTATCTCTCTTTACAATTTCATCATCACAATCATTATTCTCAGACGACTCATTAACAATTTTATTATTCTTAGCAACTTGTCCATCTTTACTGATTTTGTCCAAGTTGGTGTTCGCAAGCGGGATTCCCCTTTACAAACCTTGCATATTGCAGAACAGGCAACACCAATCTTTAAGCACGAACAACGTGGTGCAAAAACACCTTTCATACATACTGACGTTTGCAACTTGTATCTTAAGTTCCTCAAAATTATTTTCAATCAATACATGTACGGTTGTCTTTGATGGTTATAACGACCAGGACAGCACTAAGACATCAGAGCAGCATTGTCGATACAAGCATTTTTTTCTGAACAATGAGAACGAGGTTTATGGGGTAAAAGTTGAGTTTTCTTATTTACTTTACCATCAAAACACAAAGTTTCCCAATTTTTCTCTAGAACATTTTAAATAGCTTAAAAACAAATAATTTAGTATATTAACATGTTTTTGTATGGTTATTAGTTACGGATAAAAATACTAAAATTGTAAATTTAAAATTCCCATGTTATTCTTATGTAGAATAGTGTAAAATGATAAAAAAAATTAAAACCCGTATTATATCACTATATGATCGTATTATTATCGTATATTATATCGTATTATATCGATGATGATTTGTGCTTAGTTTTATTTATATAATTGTTTGTTAATAGATATATCTTGATCAAACTTGTCAAATTAATTTGTTTTATACTAGGCTATTAATATTTTACTATAAACACACTTTATTAGCAGCAAACCTAGGTAATCGTTAAACGCGATGTTATTTAAGATTTAATTGAAAATCAAGTAAGTAAAACGGAAATTCGCTAGGTCTGCAGGTTTGCTGTAACGGGAGTATTTAATATTTTCTCTTACTCCTTGTGATCCTTCCCTCTTACATAGTAAAGAATTAAAGTTATTTTCAATATCCCCCGTTTATATAGAGCATGGAGGTAACTAATTTTATTACTTTATGAATAAATCTTTATATATCGTAAAAAGTAATAATATTTCGAAACACCCTGTATGGAGTGGTTTAATACACTTAAACCTAGTCCCAATCGATTTAAAATAACTAAAACCATCGAAAACCACACCTCACTTGACCTTAAACGTAAAAACAAAATTATTCAGGAACAAGGGCCCTTCGGAACAAAAAGGGCCTTAGGACGCCCAAAATTTTGGGGACTCATCGGATCTTCATTTCTCATATTATTAGTAACTCACAGGTAAAATTTCATGAATGTACAAATTTTGTTGTTTATAAAACCCTATTTTACCTGTACTATAGATAAAACAAGTATGTTTTATCGTTTTATCTATGGTTTTATCTATGGTAGCAGATTCAGCACGCTTAATATGAGTTTGGTCCAGATAAAGCTACTCCCAAGCCATTAGAATTACCCCCTTATTCCCGAATTCAAATTCCCACAAATATCCCCCCCAAGTTTTAAGTTCCCTAACAACTCCCCCCCCTAGAAAAGTATGTATGTAATAAGTAATAACACTTAAGTGTCGTTTGTTTAATGGGTTCCTCACAGTTAAGTGTGCTGTACGAAGAACTGCGTAATAAAAGAATAAATTACAAAATCAATGCTAATAAACTTCCATAAGCATAACTTATTTGTTGGTATAACTTATTTGTTGGTATAACTTCAACTATTTGAACACATGATTCACAAATCACAACAACAATCGTTCATTCTGCTCAAATGTCAAAATCCGATTTCTTCTTCTGTTTGTTGAGGTTAGGCTTATAATGAATTTGATATTAATAATTAACTAATTAAGTTAAGTGATAGTGACTGTTTTTGTTTTAAGTTGTATTTCGACATGTTTGATGAAGCAGCATGTTTGTAACCCTCTTATCTTCATTGTTTAACAATGTTGCCCTTGAGAAGTTTTATAGTCTATTCTAAAACTGTCCTTAAATGTAATTCTATGAGAGACTGCCAAATTTTAGGAGTTTTCAATTATTGTTTTTCCAGAAGGATTGATGTAATATCAAGGCTTAGTTCTAGTTACTGTGGATTTACTGATGAAGATAAAAAATTGTGTATTGAAAGACTGAAAAAGGTAAAAATGTCTCCTAACCCGAAGTCAGAAAAGTTAGGTAAAGCAGCAGTACTTATTCCATTGTGCTGTGTAGATGGTGAACCTTCAATTCTGTACACTCTTAGAAAGGGGCATCTGAAGAGGCACAAAGGTCAAGTATCATTTCCTGGTGGCAAGCATGATTCTGATGATACCGATTTGGAGCATACTGCCCTTCGTGAGACTGAAGAAGAACTCGGAATTCCACAATCTTCAATTGAAGTTTGGGGTCATGGCAACACTTTTTCAGCAAGAGAATTCAACATTTTACCTGTTCTAGGCTATGTGGGTAATATTAATGTCAGTAATTTGAAACCGAATCCTTCTGAAGTAGAATTGGCGTTTACTGTCCCCATAAGCCATTTTTGCAACAATCAAAACTGCAAGTACACTCAATATCGGAATGGATCAGGTTATATCTTACCAGTGTATATTAAAGGGGATTTAAAAGTATGGGGAATAACGGCTCTTATTACCCATATTGTCTTGCGGTCACTAGTGCCAAAACAATACAAATTTGAACTCCAATTTGTAAGACCTATTTTTCCATAGTCTGTGATATTTAAACTTTTTAGGCTACCACATCTATGTAACTTGACAACTTTAACTTATTTATTCCATAATAAGGTTAGGCGATCACCTTAACAATTCAGTCGATTGGTAATTTACTACTTAAGCTCATACAAATATCTTGGCCATCTCGTTCTATTGATATTCAGAACTAAAATGTCTAATGTAACTTATTAGAATTCAGCAACTTTGCAGTTGTTTGGATGACACAAATCTCTACACAAATAAAAGGTTTTAAAAAAATCCATGCAAATGGAATATAATCCAATTTTCTAACCATGAATTTAGGTCAACTAATTTAGAACAGTGAGTTGGTGAATAAAGGACCTCTTTGATGAGAAGGGGTATAAATCCTGTAGTTCCTTAATAGGCTGGTACAATACCTAGGCATTACTATCATTAGGCCTACCTATTTACTATTCAGTCACTAGTTCACAGTTCAGTACAGTTGTCTTTATTATCTGACCTAATTTGGCCACCTTACAAGGTTAAGGTTATAAACGGAAAGGTCCGATAACACAGTTAAACATATAAAACACCATTGTAAAAATATCAAGAAAAAATGTGTTTAATCAGAAAGTTACAAAATAGCCTAGGTATAGGTTTTTAAAATTGAAATATTAGCCTAAATCTTAGTTGTTAGTACATTATACTTTTATTGAATTTTTTACATTTTCAGGCCGCTTAATCCCTTAGTCATTTTAGATCTTAGTACCTTTTAGATAGGGTCAGATAATTGAGACTCAATTGGGCATTAGTTAATTTATATCACTAAAGAAATTATATTGATAAAAAAATTTGGTTAAATTTAACAGTTCCAAAGGCAAACACCTAAGTTATGTTCTAGCTTGTACTAAAACTCTTGTCACCCTCCACTTTTTAGTGTTGGCGAAAAACTAAAAATTTGTATAATCCAACCTGAATAATCAGTAGTTTTCAAACAGTTGTGTGGGCTTTAAACCCCCAGACAACAACATCGACATACAACTTCCAAGTAAGTTAGGTAGGCCTACTGATTTTCTATCTTCTGTCCCTGATGAGTTGATTGCTATAATAGATATGTGCAACTGCCATAGTTGAGAAGCCAAGCAAAACAATAATAAAAAAACACCAAATGAAAGGAATGTTATGCTCTTCGAGACCCAGATTTCTTAATTTCTGACCCTATGTTTCATCGTTCAATCACTAGTACTCAACCTAAACCCTGTGTGTTATGACGGTTTGCTGTAAAGCAGTGTTGTGTTGAAAATGTAACAGAATGGGTGCTTTTTGGTACCATTTTATTGAGCTAGTTAGCTAAATTTATTCCATAGAACTCATGCTCAAGACAAAGTAAACAGAAAAGTTACCCTTTTGATTAATTAAAAAAAAATCACTAGTAAGGCCCTTACAAATTTGTCATTATGTGTTTGCATACTGCCGACTTATATACCTCTACTTCCTCCCTTTTTTTGGGCCTACCTAGTCAAAATGAATGTGATATTTAAATGTGATTGGCTTCTCCTTTAGATGTCTATTTTCAGTGCGACTTGTTTTAATAAAAATATTATTTCAACAATGGACTGTTAGTTATTCATCTTCCATTATCTCTAAATGTTTGTACTGGTATTGTATTTTAAAGTTTTAGTGTTTTAAAGATTTTTAAAAATTTTGACATCTGTTGATAACGGACTACTAATTCTTTAATAATACCATACTTTGAAAACAGGCTGTGTAAGACTACAATAACAGTAGGCCTATACTTTGTAACAAGGACTGGACTGGAGTATATGATTTTGAACTGGTGTTATCAATTATACCTGCAGTTGATAACACGGGCTATCTACGGAACCATGTCTCTTCTGAGGCTGTAGTGAAGAGGGGTGTGCCACAGGGGTCCGTCCTGGGGCCGATCCTCTTCCTTCTGTTCATTAATGACCTGCCATCTAGCGTAAATGAGGCAAATGTATGCCTATTCGCGGACGACACTTCCCTAACCGTGTCCAGACCGAGTACCGGTATGGAGGAACTGGAACTTGTCACCTTTCTGGAATCAAACTCCCTTCTTCAGTGGTGTGAAGAAAATGACCTAATCTTGAACGCCCAAAAAACCCAAATAGTCCAATTTTCCATTTCTAACCGGTCAAAACAGTCCCACTATGACTTGAACATTCTCCTCGATGATACCACTATCTCACCTTCTTCAGAAGTAAAATTCCTCGGTCTTGTCCTTGATGAAAACCTCAAATTCCACAGCCACATCGAGCTTGTCAGCAAGAAAGTATCGGTGGGTATATTTATGCTGAGAGTTCTCAGCCAATCAGCCACCACTGATGTCCTATTCTCAGCCTATTATGGGCTTGTTTACCCTCATCTGACTTATGCGGTTCCTGTTTGGAGGTGCGAAAGTGAGAGGACTAGGTTCTTGTTTAGGCTTCAGAGAAGGGCAATTCGAATTGTGTTTTCTATTTCCAAACAACATTCATGCAGAGATTATTTCAGGGAATTTAAAATTTTAACTTTCCCATCTATTTACATCCTCGAAACTATATCTTTCCATAGCAAAAATACTTCCTTTTTCTCATCTGCAAAAAATTTCAGGTATCCATTGCGCAATACTTTAAATTTACCAATTCCCCGGCATTCCACTTCTTTCTTTCAAAGAAACTTTCATTGCAATTCCCCCGTAAAACTATTTAATAGGCTTCCACCTCAACTGAAGGCCGAACAATATCCAAAAAAGTTTAGAACATGTCTAAAGTCCATGTTGTTAGACAGATCATTTTACAGTGTCCATGAATACCTACTTTAGTGGTCTTTCACAAAGTCATGTGCGCATGTTTAGTTATTTAGTTATACAGTTTTTTCAGTAAGGAATTTTTGTTATTAAGATGTACTAAATTTATTTTTTCTTGTATTGACTTGGCTAATACAAGTATTGTCAGTTTGGCCCAATAAATGACTTATTGACTTATTATTATTGAAATGTTGAAGTTGGAAAACCTGCAAAACAAATTAAAAAAAATTTAAATAGGCCTATGATTTAAAAAAATGAAAAAACAAAACTCAGACCAAAAACACAGTCAATAAGTAAACAAAACAAAAATCAATAATACATTTTGAATTTGAGGTTATAGTTGCTGAGATGACAGATAATGCAGATGATGTAATGTGTGTTAACCTGTTGAATATGCTCATCATGCATTGAGAGTTGAGTGTGAATTATCAAGCCAAATAAATAACATCGTATTTTCAGGCTCTGTGTCATAGCTAGTGATTTCAGCACTGGATCTAATGTTACTTACACTCATATCTGATATTATCTGACTGGTTAAGTGCAAGCTCATGTGACCCTAACTTTGCTCGTATAAATAAAGAATTTTCATTCCGTTTTTCATTTTATCTCAATAGTTATTATGCACTGAAAATAACCTATCAAGGCATAATCTGACATTTCAGTTCTATGCAATAAAAAAACTAAAAGATTTTGTATAGGGAGATCAAGTTAGCAACCAAATAATCGTAGATCTTAATTCTGCTTTTCAACTTATATTAATGTTTACTATCATAGTAAATCACAGTCAATATTGTAATTGGATATGTATTTCAGAATAAATAATGCATTTCCAACTGCAGGTTTTGCATGAAAGTCAGCCGTACTTTTCAATACTTGTTACATTCCTAACAATGCACACTTAATTCATTAGTGCTTGCAGTCTTGTCAGCCAGATGTAATAATTACGCTAAAAACATAAAAACACATACAGGGTAGAAAAAAAGTACCGGTGCGGTTAAATATTTCAAAAGGTAATAAAGGTAGAGGTTCAAAACTTTATACACAGTTACTCGGCATTAAAATAATTTTTACACATTGTTCAGTGATGCGCTACCTCCTCAGAGGGACGGCCCCCATATGAGTTAGAAGAAAATCTTAAATGTAAGCATAGGTTGATGTGGACATTTGTTAGGGTAAAATATAGGTCTTTGTTAGTAAAATACAATGCCGCAAACCCGAACACAAAAGGACAACTGAGTAAAAATGACAGCCGTACAAAGATTTCTTAAATCTGCTGAATGTCTGCCATTTTTTACTCAGTTGTGTTATTTTGAGCTCAAATTTGCGGCATTGTATTCTACTAATAATGACCTGTAATTTGAGATGCATATTGACCAATGAATAACTTCTTGATTAGCATCGTACGTGTTATTAAATTACCTAAAAATTACAGAAAATATATACGTCTAATAACACTTGCAATAATAGCCTAGTAATAATAATAATAGTATAAGTGTAAATATATTATTGCAATTGTTATTAGACGTATATATTTTCTGTATTTTTCAGGATATTGACCAATGCATGTTTATGATTTTCTTCCGCCTTCTAGCGGGCGAGCAATTCAAATTCATGCATCTTTGAATAGCTGTCATTTTTTACTCGGGTGTCCGTTTGAGTTCGGGTTTGCGGCATTGTATTTTACTAACAAAAACCTTTAATTTGATTTGCAATTGCATATAAACCTATGGTTACATAAAAGATTTTCGTATGACTCCTAGCGGGCCGTCCCCCTGAGGAGGTGGCGCATCACCGAATAATGTGTTAACATTAGTTTAATGCCTAGTTACTGTATAAAAAACCAAGTTTTGAAGGTCTATCTTTCTTACTTTTTTGAAATATTTAACTGTCCCTGAACTTTTTTCCCACCCTGTATAATAAGAGAGACTTACAAGGAGACGGACAGAAGTAGAAATAATGCAGTTTATGCCAAGTTTTTTGTGTTGTAAACCTTTTGTGTGCTTTCAACTACTTGGAACTCTTCTCTTAGGTACTGTAAGTTGGTTGTGTATCCAGTATCCATTCCTTCTTCCTAAATGTATTCCCAAGTCAAATGATTTTTCTGCTAAAAAACACCCTCCTATAAATATATGAACAGAAAGTGTTACGGAGTATTGGTCACCTCTGTTAATAAATTTACCATTAAGGGATAAATGATAAAATTATTCCAAAGTTGGCATGAAATGCAAGTTTAATATAAACAATACTTAAGTTACAAAATAATAGTCTTCCTTAAATAAAATAAACAGAAACTTTCATAAATCAATAAAAAATGTTTCCATCACACTATTCATATTTCAATAGTGTAAGCACTACACCATATCCACTTCCACTTCTTCTTGAACTATAGTGTTAGGCAAGCTATTATCTACCTTGAGCGCTATTGGAGACGGGCAATACTTGTTGGAGGCCTTGTGCTCCTTCAGATACTCCCCACCCTTCTCCAAATACTCCTCATAGGTCACAACATACTTAGAAAAGTCAGGTTTGAAAGCAAAGTCTTTAGCGCCTCTCCAAGAATCTAGCACCGGGTCAGAAGCGATTTGCACTGAGAACGTCGACTTGAAAGGTCTCATTTCCCTCAGTTCTTTAACAATTCTGGTGGAAAGTCCGGGTATGAGGGCGCAGCCGCCGGTGAGGAAGACGTTGCTGACTAGTTCAGCGGCTGTCTGCTCATCATAGCCCTGCAGTACGTATTGTATAACCTCCGCAAGCCCTGCCTGGTGACATCCTATCATGCTTGGCTGGAACAGTATCTCGGGAGCTCGGAGACGCTCTACACCGACATGCAGCTGGTGGGCCTCGCCTGGCGTAGTCGTCTGGTCTCCACCAAACATCGGATCGTGACATCGCAGCATATCCTCCACCTCCATCAATCTCTCTGTCTCCTCGTCACTGTCTGAATCTCCTCCTTCCTGAACACCACAGATATATAGTACAGGAACAGCTCCTATGAAATCCTTTGTGATTTTTAATCCTTAAATATTTGTTGGAAACTAGATATATGTTTTTAGTCAGGACAACAGAATCTATGACAATTTTTTTATTCTTAATCAACACCTTCTTAATTTACATTTTTATTCATAAAAATGAAAAAGCGATAGAAAAAGATTGCTAGGTGAGGAAATCAAAATAGAAATAGTAATATAAAGGCTAATTAAACGCTATACCTTCCTAAACACATTTTTTTTACAGGTAACCAAAACCAGGTATTTATAGCTTGACTAGCAGTTACCCGGCGCGCGTTGCTGCGCTAACAAAATACATCTGTCTGTGTGAAAAGCATGTTTTTTTCTACATTTAAACCGACGATAGTAAGGGATTGCCCTAGTGCCTTATAATGGTGATTGCCAAAGCAAGACACTAAGGAAATTGTAGTTGCTTAAATTCAGAGGGTAATTCGGATGAAATCATCAGTATTTTAATGATTAAGACTATTTCTCCCTTAAACCTACCACTGCTAATTTTTGCTTTAATAAATTTTGACGTCATTTAACATTTTTTATATCGTTAGTCTGGTAACGTTGTACAGCTTAAGTGGATTTAAGTTTCGCATTAGTATTATTGGAGTTCCTTCTTTTAATGACACTAATGTGGTGGGTTGATGACAAATTGAGAGGCATTTGAATACCCGAGATAGCACGCACGATTATTATTCACTTAATAATTTATTTTAGATTGTTTGGGTATAGAACAAAAGATAAAAATACTAAGGCATTGTCATCCCTTTTATTATTAATAATACTTTGATAAAGGTTTTTATGTTTTTAATATTTAACATTCGAGAATTTAAACGTTGTTAATGTTGTAAACGTTGTGCACAGGTGTGCTGCGATTGGGGTTTAATACATTTGGACTTATTCGAAAGTAAAATAGTTTTCTGTGCTGCACTCTGTAGAAACACTGTGGAACTATTTCAAATCATGACTAATGCTAATACAGAATGTTGTGATTATTCAAACCTACAAAACAGTCGGTGAAAGTAAACATCTGCTTTAAAATTATATTTATTTGTAAACATTGTAGATCAAAAAGTCTGACATTGGCCCACTCAAAACCCTCTGGGTCAGAGCCCTTTAGACGGATCTGCACCAAACTTCACTCGAACCATCCTTGAAAGATGCTTAATAATGCCTGAGAGTTTCATTACAATCTGTCGAGTGTTTTCTGAGTCCATAACGTATATACATATATACACACTTACATACATAGTTCCTCTTTTACAGATATAGATTTTTATTACTTGGTTTCATTTTAATCCAATCCGTTTACCATAAAGCAATTTCTGTATGACTTTAAACACAAAAATGGAAAAGATTGGTCATAAGTCCATACAGTACAGATAGCCAAAAGGATTGAATCAAAGTTCTCTTTAATAAAATCCATAATTTTTACTCTCTCTCCCTATTATAAAGCATATATATGGGGAAAGTAATGTTTTTTGTCAAAATAAGCTTGAGATTTCAGTTAAAATATCCATTTTGGGTCACCCTAAACACAAGTTTCAAAATGATGTCTGTGTGGTGATGTGTACAGAGCTATAAACTACATCTGTGGTCCAATTTAAAAACCCATAGTTACTCCCACCGTTCACTCATTATAGTTGTTCAATTTTAGTGTAAGGTTAATGGGGGAATGTATGAGTGTCTTCAGTAACCAGTAGTAGACAACAGTGAGTTTCACCTTGTTTATAGCCTTGTAAACATCCCAATCTTCGTCTCTCATGCCAAAGTCATCATCCTTCTTGTCTTTGCGAGCGAGCTGGTTGATGAGTCGCATACGCTCTTGAGCAGCCACTGTGCGCCGACGCGCCATGTCTTGTCGTCGCTGACGCCGAGCGGTGCGACGTTCCAGAATCTCCTGTCTAAGGAAAAAAAATATTGAGTCAGGTAACTTTTATCAAGGGCTCTACTATCTCCAGGTTTGGGTTCGTAATTAAACCAAACAAACAAACATAGAATATGATACAATTCTGCACATCTACATGAAAATATCTTTCTAACAGCATGCATAGATTTTCCCTGCGATACACACGAGCTGGGATAAAAGTTTTTCAAGAGACATGCTTGCCTATTAATATATAGATGTTTTAGAGAGAGAGCTTCAATAAGATACAAAGTTGACCGTATCAGTGACTAAAACCAATTAAAATATTTATTTAATAATGGTAATTCAATAATTAGTAAGAATTTTCATTCTCAGGAGCATAGGTTAAAATCAACTGGTAAGGTGGTAGGGGAAATTTAAAAATAGATCCTCACGCCCAAAGGTAAAGTCAAAGTCATTAATGGAAAGGAAATGTTGACAATTTTGCTTTAAAAGTGAATTAAATATTTGATTTTCAAATATAAAAGTAGAAATATAATATTAATATTTACCTTTTCTTTTTTAGTCCTGAAAGCCACTGCTGAAAATCCTCTTCTTTGGGCGTGGAAACATATTTACCCATTTTTTGTTTTGGTTCCTTAAATACATATAATTTATTACTGTAACAAGAAAAAATCCAATTCAAACATGAATTTACAAGTCTGATTCGATTGAGTATTTAGCATTTTAGCTCAACATAGAATGTTCTTTTTTGAAAAAAATTACAACAATCTTTGAAATTGTATCTCAGTTGTAGCAGTCGATTTTGCAAGATTGAGCAAAACATAGGAACAAACCATTGGACTTTTAAAAATTAGTATGGTAGTCTTAAAATGTGTAAAATCAGAGACTCATACATAAACTGCCCTTGAACAAACACTCACTGGGAATGAGCAATCATTTGTGTAAGGTGTCTAAAACACGCAAGAAATAAATAGAAGATCAGCTAAAAACACATGATGTTACTCCAAATAATGTTATATATATAATGAGTAACGTACATTTTGATGATATTTTACCAACGTATGAATAGTTTTGACAGATTTTTCTAAATATGCTCTAAGGTGCTCTTTTTGTGTACTGATAAAAAAACATGTAGCCTAACCTAGTGCAAAATAGTATATTTCATCACTAGTGCCTAAAATGACTCTTTTCGACCCAAGCTCTAGTTCTAGTTTCTACGATCAAGGCAAAGCCGAGGTTGGAAAATATGCTAGAGTTGAAAAGACACTTTTCTCCTGTGTGAAGAACTATATTTTTCGTCATATTGCACCATCATTTAAAGAAACTGAAATAACAAACTAAACTTAAATATTTTTCATTGAAAGATAACCTCCCAAAATTACTTCTAACTTGTTTCCAATTTAATTTGCTGATGGAAACAAGCAGGTTTTTGTAAGTGATTCAATTGTTTGTCTATTAATTGTGTTATTGTACATTATACTAACGATATGTCAAACTATTTACAATAAGGCAACAAATAACAACAATCGATTAAACAACCGATATATACTTTCGATGCATGCAATTGTTTAGTCGAGATTTACAACTGAGCTGAAAACAGCTGATTTTTACTCCATAGGGGCTAAAACGCTTTTAACTCCGTAGAGAGTAAAAGCCACCCGCAACGCATGCATTAAAAACGGCTATTTTTGCTGCAGTATGACGATAAAGTAATTGTTTCTTGCTAAATAATGTGAAGGTGGGTGATATTTTTGTTGTAAATGATCCGTATAATATCTATAACCAACGTGGGATATTCTACTAAAATCCTTACCAATGAGCTAGATTAAGACAGAAATGAATAAACCTTATTAGTGAACATTAATAATCAAAACCAACCTCTATTCCGGGATCCTCAGAAGTATTTGCAGTCACTATTCGTTGTCTTGTCCTCTCAATGCGAACTTGAGTCTGTTCTATCGTCTTTTGTAACTCCTCTAACGAAGACAAATTAAATAGCTTCAGTGCGTTCTGTAACATATTCAAAACTATTCTACAGACTGACTCATTACGTAGTCCATAATAAGTAGGTTAAGAAATTGCTGCATTCAGTCTGAGCACAGATAAGAAGTACAGGGTGGCGAAGATGGATCGGGTGGTTTTAAAATACTTGTCAAACTGTCAATTTTAACGGGAATTGGATTGAAATAAAGTGCAAAACGTGTAGCTACAATGGAAGTTTATTGACAAAAAAATTGTTAAGTTAGTTTTTAAAAATTACATCCATCAAATGCCTTCCTTCTCGAGCGACGCATTCTTGGAGTCGGTCCATGAGGTTCAGCATTGCTCGCTCAAGCACATCACCAGGAATTGATGTGATTTCGTTGTGAATTGCAGCCTTCAACTCCTGAATGGTCCGGTGTTTGTTCATGAAGACCCTTGCTTCAGGAGTTGAAGGCTGCAATTCACAACGAAATCACATCAATTCCTGGTGATGTGCTTGAGCGAGCAATGCGGAACCTCAAGGACCGACTCCAAGAATGTGCCGCTCGAGAAGGAAGGCATTTGATGGATGTAATTTTTAACTATAATAATGGTACAATACCTCGTCAAGTAATCCAAATGTTGTTTGAGGTTAACAACCTACATGTTTCGCCGTAAATACGGCATCGTCAGGGTTACAAAAACGAAGACATCGATGTCACACGCACACAATAAATACACGAATACAAACATTTAATTACGGAAAGACAAAGTAAACATTTAATTGACATTGATAGGCCTATCACACGCACACGACACGGACGGTCCGGGGCAGGTAGTAGACTGCAGTGTCAGACTCTTTCCTCGTTGTTGTCCATGTTATTAGTAGGACAAAGGTCAGGGTGCCGGTTATTTTGGTGAATTAGCACATTGAAAATAGAGTGTGACTGGAACTGCAGTTTTTCGTTGAGGATATGTCCACTGGCGGTGTTGTCATGGTACAATTTGTAAATTTCAAACTCCTCTAACGTGTTTAGTTTACTACCTTTACTGCATTTATGTAGCACCTCAAGACCGTCAGCAATCTCACTCATGTTATGGTTTAGGTCGATTAAATGCTGAGCAAAAGCTGAATATTTGTAACCCTGACGATGCCGTATTTACGGCGAAACATGTAGGTTGTTAACCGTTCCTCAAACAACATTTGGATTACTTGACGAGGTATTGTACCATTATTATAGTCATATAAAGTAATCCAGGGGCCATCAACATGGAATGTAATTTTTAAAAACTAACTTAACTAATTTTTTGTCAATAAACTTCCATTGTAACTACACGTTTTGCACTTTATTTCAATCCAATACCTTTAAAATTGACAGTTTGAAAAGTATTTTAAAACCACCCGATCCATCTGCGCCATCCTGTATGTTGAGAGGTGTAAGAGTGGGATAGCTGTTGCAACGGTTGGTGTTAAGGTTGGTAGCACTGTCCGTACAAGGTAGAAGAGCTCCCGTGTCGTTCCGTGTATTTTAACCACTTTTATAAAGTTTTTACTTAATATTGACCTCCAAACTGATATAATTTGTTAAATTAATAGTTTTTACAACCACGTTTATCATGTATTCTTATTTCTCTTGTATTTTTATTGTGTAACTTTGCTAAAACCGGCCACCATCAAAGTGACGCTATGCAGACCGGCCTAGTATCCACCTTGTAAATTAATTAGTTGTTTTAACCTTTTTAACTTGTTTTATATATCAATTTGTATTGTCTGCGTCTCCATATTACTGCCGAAATACCTTTTTTATACTTCTGACGTGTATTCTTGCTGTATATTACCAAACATTACGTGAAAAACTGAGTGACCTAAATTGGGCAAGATGGCGGAAATGTGATTTGTCTTTTAGACTCCATCTTGGTCTTCGCCCACAATCAAAGCCAAGAAGAAGGAAGACGCCACGGAGCCTACTACGCAGAACTTCGATCCAGAAGTGAGCTTATATTTACAATTACTTGTTATACAACATCTAGGACACATATTTAGGGTTTTAACTTACATTAAATCTACACTTAGTATACCTAGGCTAGGCTACACACAAAATAGGCTACACAACCATATTTTTAAATAGGCTACCAACCCCTCCAACCAAACCCAGCCACATTACCTAAACCCTAGGCCTAACCTAACCTACCCGGTTACCACTCCTAAGAAAAAAAAAAAAAAAAATGACTAGTCCAAAAAACAGTCGGTCTAAATCAAAAACAAATGACAAGTCTGAGGAAGACTCAAACACTTTCCCATGTACCATATGTAGTATCAATATTAATGATGATGACAAAGCACTAACATGCGACTGTAATGTAAATAAATGGTATCACGCCAATTGTATATATATAAATGACGACCAGTATGAGAAACTATCAAATGACCCTAACTTCAAAATGAACTGGGTATGCACTGATTGTAAATCCCTCTCTGTGGGCCTAGGCCTAGAACCAAATAGTACTGGACAGACAAATGCTGATACACCAACTAAACAGTTTGATGAAATTATAAAAATCCTCATGGAGGACATAACGGACTTGAAGAACGAAATTGACCACCTCAAAGGAGAAAATAATCGACTTTCAGAAACCATTGTAAAAAAAACTGAGGTAATAGCTAAACTTGAAAATGTAATTTATGACTTTGCCCTTGGGGAAAACTCCCCTAGGCCAAACCAAGGATCAATAACCTCAACCAGACCTAATGACCCACGAGACAATGCAACATTTGCTGACGTAGCTAAAATGGCTAAAACCACTATCTCTTCGTCACCAATATCTAGGAACGCAAACCATAGTAAACCCAATACTGATAATTCCACCAACCCACTAGTTCAGCAAGCAGGACCCAAACCGAGAACAAATCCACAATACAATGCCACCTCGCACACTGTACACCCATTGATCATTGGAGACTCCCTAATGAAGGACGCAGCAAGACAGCTTAAGCTACCTAATCAACCCGAAGTAACTACGAAGATAATCCCAGGAGGTAAAATACAAGACCTTAGTAAATTCCTAGCAAATCAATCTGACATTCCCAAAAAAGTCATTGTTGGTTTCGGGTCAAACAATCTACACTCTGCTAAAACACCTAATCACGTCATGAGGCCATTATGGCTTACCTTAGAGGCCAATCAAAAACGTTTCCCAAATACTGAATGGCACGTTGCCTCAATACCAAACAGGGATGACTGTAATGACAGATTCATTGACGAGACCAATAAAGCGATAGAATTCATGTGTAACCAACTCAAACTTAAATTCATGGATAATACCAAAGCCATTGATAAAAAACATTTGGACTGGGACGGCTGTCACCTGAACAAAAATGGCACAAAAATATTAACGGAAAAAATTCTTAACATACTTGTCCAACATCAAGACCGAAACCTCCACCCAAACGGTGTAGCAAAGCCTCAACTGAACCCAACATAGCCACATCAATAGATAAAACCAATAGTCCACTACCGGTACCCTACCACCACCCTAATACAATAGAAAGCCAGAATAGACTCAAGCAAACAGACAATCTCAAAATATTACATTTAAATATACAAAGAGGTCTCCTAAACAAAATTGACCGTCTAATGGTTGAGCTCCATACGCATACACCTGATCTCCTAATTATATCGGAGCATGGGCTGAAAGCTGATGAAATAGCTGTTGTAAATATTAGAGGCTACACTTTGTGTGCTAGCTTCTGTCGAACTCAATATATGTGGGGGGGTATAGCGCTATTCAGAAAGAATAACCTGAAGACTGAAATAGAAGAATTAAACTTATTCGAGCTGGGTCTCCACCGACCAACTGAATTGGAATTTGAAACAATTGCAGTTAAAATAAAGATAAAAAAGAACAATATTATCCTACTAGGTACTTACAGATCCCCTGCCTCAACCACTGATAGCTTCCTTAGCAAACTTGAAAATTTTCTGCATTCTTATAGTAAAACCAAAAGCAAAATTGTCATCTTAGGTGATACAAATTTTAATATTCTGAGAGCTGACGACCCACACATAAAAGAACTTAACGACTTATTACTTCAACATGGATGCTATGCCTATCCCCTAGAAGCCACACGAGTCACGCCTACTACAGTCACTAGCATTGACGGATGCTACACAAATATCCAAAGAGCAGACATCAAGATAAACGCATACAGCAACACGATATCAGACCATCACCTCCTAACCTGTGAAATCAATAGTAAACTGGAATATTCTGGTGCTACATATAAATCCATACGAAGTTTTTCAACTCAAAATTTAAATAGACTAAAAAGTAAGTTGCACAAGATTGATTGGAGCAGTATGACAGGAGAGACAACAATAGACAACATCTACAACAACTTTTTATCAACTTTACAACTCATTATTGATGAAACCATGCCTAAGACACTAAAGAAGATCTCAACAATAAATAGGCCTACAGTATTTTGGAATGAACACACCTACAACCTAAGAGACAATCTAAAAGAGGCGCAGGATGGATACCAACTCACTGGTCTGATCCAGGATAAAATAAAATTTCTACAGCACAAGGCAGCATATGATCGTGATATCATAAATAACAGGAAAATGCACAATCAAGACAGAATACGTAAAGCTGATAATAAGAGCAAAGAAATCTGGAACATCATCAATTCAGAACGAAATAAAACAACTGCAAGAAAAAGCAACATTACCCTACATATTAACAATGAAACCATTTCCGATCACTACCACATCTGTAATATTTTTAACAAACAATTTGCCCTCTCCACTCCAAACCTGCATAGAACCTCGGATATAACCCAAATACCGGACCAAACCAACGAGATACCAGCACTGCATTCCTTTCAACCCATCACTGAAAAAGAACTAGACAATCTCTTCAAGAGCCTAAAGGCAAATAATTCATCAGGCTTTGATACAATAACAGGGAAAATGTTGAAATTTTGCCAGGAAGAATTAAGGAATCCAATTAGATACATAATAAATGAGTCAATATTACAGGCTAAAATTCCCAAAAAAATCAAAATTGCTAAAATCCATCCGATATACAAGAAAGGCGAAGCTAGTGACCCAAACAATTATAGGCCCATTTCTAACCTGCCCGTTATCTCCAAACTCCTAGAAAGAGCAATATATAATCAAATTATCACACACCTGGACTCCAACAACCTCCTCTCCGTATGCCAACATGGCTTCAGGAAGAACCTCAGCACCACTACCGCAATCTCAAAACTAGTTACACATATCACTGATATTTGGGAAGAAAGAAAAAATGCCTCTGGAATCTTCCTTGACCTACAGAAGGCCTTCGACACTCTTGATTGGGATATCCTCAGAACTAAATTAATCAGCATGAATATCCAAGGCAAAGCACTGGAATGGATTGACAGTTATCTGACAGATAGATATCAATATGTAGAAATAGAAAGTCAACACCATAACACCATTCACACCACCAAATCATCTCTTAGAACTACATCAAGAGGAATTCCCCAAGGTTCCATATTGGGTCCCCTCCTCTTCATCATTTACATTAACAGCCTCCCCTCCAGTTTTGACAACGACCAAAAATGCATACTTTTTGCCGATGACACCACTATTGTTGTTCCAACAAATCGTCAAGTATCCAACATTAACTTAATAAAATCAACAATGGATCAAGCAACAACAGCCTGTGAAGATATAAACCTCATTATCAACAAGAACAAAACTGTACACATCAACTTCCGAATAAACAATAACAATAAAAGAACAGACGATTGGTCCGGACTGAGCATTCCCACGGTTAACTCAACTAAATTCCTGGGTATCTACATTGACGAAAACCTAAGCTGGCAGATCCATATAGATTACCTTAGTAAAAAACTGTCTACTGCACTCTTTGTACTCCGTAGAATCTGCAACACCACCGATCTGGAAACCACAATGATAGCCTACCACTCCATCTTCGCTTCACACTTGAGATATGGCATTGCCGCATGGGATTCTACATCTGCCAAAAACCTCGAAAGAATATTAATTCTACAGAAAAAGACTGTAAGAACAATCTTGAGGTTAGACCCAAATGAACATTGCAAACCACACTTCATCCGACTCAACACCCTTACCATCACATCACTGTATATCCTTGAAACCATCATTTACTCCATAAACTTAACACCTGTCCGCAGAAAAGAACTCCATACACACAATACAAGACACAAAGCAAACATAGATCTACCCCAACATAGACTCTCTAAATTCAGCAATACACCACGATACACTGGCTCAAAATTTTACAATTTGCTACCACAACAATTTAAAGTTCTACACAACAATAAAACATTTGTCCAACACTTAAAAAAATACCTCACCAATAGACCATATTACAACATAAACGAGTACATAGAGGAACACACATACGTACACATACGCCAGCTCACTTTGTGAACAAATAGAAAAATCCCGTCCAGACGGAAGAATTATGACGATTCCCCGATCTACGGATTGTGGTGAAGACATCGAAGGTAAAAGGTAAAAGGCAAAATCGGTTGGCCCAAATCTTTTCCGCCAAGTAGGACGCTGATCTCTAAACAACTATTGCTCCTGTTTAGAAACATGTTAAAAACATGTGTGTATGCTGCACTAACTGTCTCACTTGTTAATTTAACTTCCAACTCTAAATACAAAAATCTATTTAAGTAGTCATACCTGCAACTCCTCCTCGTCTTCTTCATCAGCCATTTCCTGTACGGCCAGCAACTGGTTCAGCTGTTCCTCGTCTTCTACCAGCTGTGCAACAATAAAACAACTTTAAGTTAACAACAATCATGGATACAACAAGCACTGCATACTGACCTTATCTGATTACTTTACCAACAATAGGGCTGTGATCTGTAAGGCAACTACGAAAGCTCATGACATTTTAAAATTAGTCTGTGTGGTAGCTGAATAACCATACAAGGGAAAATCTATGTTCTCTCCAGGTATAGCACAGTACCGTATGGAATTTCATTTGTATTGAAATGAAAAATGAACAAAAAAAGCATAGGTGGGTTAGGGAGTTCCCAGAGGGTTGTACACATTGGCACAGTGTCGGGCGACTGTTAGGCGTCCATTTGTTCATATCGAGACAAAAAAATGTAATTTAGATGTGTCTACGTACAATTTTCAAAAACCCAAAAATGCAATCTGTTTTTTTTTTTAAGAGATTCCTAAGTGGCTCTTCAATAAAGTTATTAATATCAAGCTTCAGTTTTGTTTTGTTGAGTGGTGCAGATATTTGTGGTTTGGGTGAGTCCAAGTTCTTGCGGTGACTAACTCTTGTTTACATTTGATGCTAAAGGGAAAAAAACACAGACAGCGACGTGAAAGCAAAATATTAATAAAAAATATACAATTGCAAGCATATTTATATTGTTATTTTATTGTTTTCCACCGACCATTTCAATTGTGCAAAAACTGTCTGGAGGTAGCATAAATTAATGAGTCGGTTCATTATAACCTAAACAGTCACGAATCCACATAAAACCCAACCTACATTCCCCACATGCCTAAATAAGAGCTGATTATTTAGTTTAAGAACAAATTGATTTCATTCTGCATTAAGTCAAGTATAAACAGCTGTTTGCTCTTCTCACTTAGTTCTCAGCCCACATACGGACCCGCCCAGACCACACCTTATTACCATCAGTACCGCTCAATGAACCTTAGATATATAATTTTAACCTTTGTTTTACAGCCACTTTGGAATATCTATGACAAAAACAGATTGCATTTTTGGATTCAGTGTGAAAAAAACAGCAAGTAGACTTATCAAAATTGCATCTTTTCCCAATGTACACATATGGAATAATTGCCTTTTAAACATTCCTTCCTCATTTTATCAATTGGCACAGACAACACTTGGGCCGAGCACTTTAACAGAGGCTGGAGATTCAACCTCAAAAATGTGAACACAGAGCTTATCACAGAAGAGTAAAATTTATGAACAATCATTTGAGAACAAATTATGATGAATTGGGAATTCTAAGTTCATTGTTAGAGAGATTTTACTTTAGCATAGTCAAATACACTTGGTTTTAGTATTATCAATTGTTTCCTAAGATAGCTGACCTTCTGCTCTCGCTTGCGGGCGTTGATCTCCATAAGCCGTCGTGCGAGTTCCTTGCGTTTTTCTCTCTGCTGCTCGGCACTCAGTCCAGCCACATATGGCAACTGAACACAACGTACATTATCTTCGTAATGGTCTTCATTGCTCCACCTGTCAAACATAGACAGAGAATATTCATGAATGAGCATTAGACGTGTGATCTTCATATTCCCAACAATTGCAAGCAAACTTGACTAAAATACCACTAGCCACATATAAAACTCTATGTGATATGGAACTTGCTTTATGCGATGTGGGAATGCAAGAGGGTTCAAAATTAGAGGCAGAGGTATAATTGATCAAAATTGTTCAACAGTTCCTGGAGAAAAATGTTTTATTTTGTTATACTTATACTACCATTATACTCCATTAAATATCGTTGTCAAGTGTTAAACAAGATTAAGTGCAGTACTTAAAGTTTCCAAATTAACAAACAGTATAGATGTAATTGAGATGCATAAAGCACAAGTACCTATTTAATTCCTCCTTGTAGTCCTCAGCAATAAAGCAATGTTCATGTAACAACTCCTGTGAAAAAATACATTATTTTATTTAATGGCTAATACTTATTTTAATAAATTAAAACTTTGCAGAAAAAGGCTAAATAATTCTGATTAATAGGAAACTTTTGCATACAAAATTAGTAGCCTGATAGAAAACAATTTAATTAGACTTGCTTAGGAATGAGTGCAATGTGTAACAACAACATCGTAAATAAGAATTTGCAAAACTTGTTAGGCTCTACTATAATCCTTGCCGTGCCTTTAAACTTCTTGCTGACTGCCATTTCCTCCTGGAGATTCCAGGAAACATGCTAGTTGCTCTTGGTGTACTTTGAAAAATATATGTTGGGAGTGCTCTTTGAATAGGCTAGGTAAGTATTGTAAAGTGATAATAAGCTCTAAATCATTTCACTATGGCATTACCTACTTTGTAGACCTATTTAAGCTAAATATGTATGAATACAGGGTGAGGGTAAAATAGAGTGGAGAATCTTTGTACCTTTGTCACCTACTAAGACCTCTTGTTTCTTTGGCAAGAATCATTTCAGTAATCAAAAGGTTGCTGGTTAGATCCTGAGGAGCCAGTGAGTAGCTTAAAAGGTTCAAAATTGGGCCCAACTATCCTTGATCATTAGGATTTGAGTGAGTAATGTGATCTTGAGTCCTGACTAAGAAGACCGCTGGTCTTAGGTATTAACAAAGATACACAAGGAATCTCACTCCATTTTACACCTGTAATTCAGGTTTAAATGCACCCAATAGCATATCCATTTTAACTGGCAATAGTAACAGTTTGGTCTAGTTTCAATTCAAACCATCAAAAAACTTCTAAGTTTTTGAACCAGAGACCTTGGCTTTAATCACTACAAAGAACCCCCTATAACAAATGTTTAAAAGAAAACAAAACGGTTCACCTCTGCTCGGCTCAGCGTGATAGCTGCAAAGTGTGCCGGATACTTGAGCTGCAGCAGCCGGTGAAGATAGCTGGTTATGTGACAGCCGCCCACATCTAGACGACGCACACGTGTCCAGTCCACGGCACCACGTATCACTGGTACTACGTGTGAGCTCTGATAGCCCAGGTCCAGTACCAGGCTAGACCGTTGCGTACTGTTGCGACACTGGCTAAACAGACAGTCCACGCCGTACGCCACCGACGGCACGCGGTAACACTCAAACAATAACTCCGACATTACTGGGCAGAAACAAAGAGACACAGGAATCAGTTATGAACGAGTGGTGGCTGAAACAGTATACCTACATCTGTTTTGGTCTAGTCTAGTTTCACAAAGTGTTCACATTTTGTAGTGTTTACTGTATAAAACACATCTTCTAGTAAACTATGCTTCCCTTTTTAAATGCTTCAAAATCCAAAAAAGTTTTCTGCAATCACAGCAAAATCTTCATTTTTGACCACACAGTCTTTGCAGACCCTTTTGGTGAACACGAAAATAAAGCTTCACTCAAAAAAACACCTTAGAGATTATCGATCAAGTTGATTTAAAATCAAATCCTTTGAGGCCACTGGCAACCGCCATGTCCGCCATTAAGGAAATACCTTACATATACACATACATTTATACAATACATTTATACATTTATTTCTACCATATTTTACAAGCTTACGTAGTTAGTTGCCTGTTTTAACAGACCTTTCAGTTTATCGGACCTAGATTTATTTGGTCCCAGGAGGGTTGGTTAAGAGAGGATGTATTCTAATAAGAACAAGAATACATTCTAAGAAACCGATTATAAACTTTGGAAGTATGGGCAAATTTAATAACGCACATTTAGCAATGTGATTATATGTGGAATATGTGCAAAGGCAAATAAAGTCTTAGACTTTTCATAGATATATCATAGACTTTTCATATATCCTCAAGTTGTCGCCAGTTTTACAAACAAAAAGGACACAGATGAATTGAGCCATTGACAGTTTGCGCCGATGTAAATTACAGATTTCTAGCAAATACTCCAACATGTTTAGCAAAGTTTAACCAATATACAGACTTATAGTAAGCTCTAAGCTCTAGCATCTTTTATGTCACATTATCTCAGTTATAAAAACTAAGCTAGAAAATAGAATGTTATACTGTAGGAAACTCTGAGAATGGCTATTTCAACTATGTTTTTTAAGTTTAAATTAGATATATTTCTAGGACGATAGTAAAAAATCATTTTTGTTTGGGTTTAGATTTCATAAAATTATGTAAAATGTAAATGATAAAATAATATCATGTTCAAAATTGTCCCACCCTCTCCTAGATTGTGGAAAACAATAGTCAGCCCAAATATCTACAAATTAAGTGTTTTAATAAGTTTCCACAAGAGATCAGAAACCTTGAAAAAGTTAAATAAAAACTGTCTAGCTGGTTTGTAAGTAAAGCTTTTTTATTCTCTTGATGATTTTTTTTTCATATAAATTTTAATATGATCTTTTATGAGCTTTTATTCATTGATGCTTAGGTGAGTAGTTGTAGTTGATTTATTGTTAGTTTTCATAGTTTATATTAATTTGTTGCTGAATGTTATTTCTTTGTTATGTTTTTTATTCTGTTATATCTGTTAGTCTGACAAGTACATTGTAACTATTTTTGTTCATACTGCATATTACTGTATTTCTTATGTTCTTAGACCTTGTCTATAGCAATGTAATGTTGACCAATGACAATAAATGGATTCTCATTCTGATTCTAAATGTAATTCTACAGCAAAGACTGTGTTTTGTCATTAGGGCTGATGACTTTTAAAAACTTTTAAATATCCTATCCTCAATTTCAAACTATTAAATGGGGTTGGAAATAATTTTATTTATCTTCTTGAATTGTAAAAAGTAAGCAAATTTAAGTGGAAAGTCTTGCTCTTTTAGGATATGTTTAGTTTTAGCGAATTTCCCTATACTGTTAATACTGTTCAATGAAATGGCGACCATACATAGAGGGAAGTAGCTATTACTGTAGGTTAATTTTGATGTTCCCAGAGGCCAAAAACACTAGCCTATTTGTTCAAATTTTTTATACGTATATACTAGCAGAGTACCCGTCGTTCGTACGGGGTTGGCATATAGGAATAAAATGCTTATTGTAGTTATACTCAAGCTTTGCGTTTTCATTTGGGGAGGACACAGTTTAATAAAATTTGCTTCTTTTAATTTACGCTATACATAGTTAGTATTTTACACATCTACCATATCCATAATGTTCTACCACTTCACCTAGAAACCACCTAAATAATAAAAAAAATAATTATAAAAATTTGCAAAATATCATACATTATTCATTAAATTAAAAACATAAACAACTGTAAACAATCCTACTTTAACAGTTCTCGTTGCATATCACAGCTTTTTGTTGCAGTTTAGGTCAAATTAGCTGTTTCCATAAATGCCATAAAGTAATAATAGTGCTGCCCTGTTGGTAAATCTTATAACTTTTTAATGTTTTTGCATATCATCATATACAAAAAGAATTAAATATAGACTGTCAGCCGTGCTGCGGTTACCATAGGTTCGGGCGCACACCGCTGTAGTTTACATAGCGCGTATGCCGTAACTACATGGCGCTCCAAGCGGTGTGCGCCAGAAACTATGGTAACCGCAGCACAGCTGATGGTATATATTTAATTCTTTTTGTCTATGATATCATAGAACCAACTTTTTTAGTTGAAACAGCTGACAAAATTCTTTGATTCCCTTTAATATGAATACTCATAAGGTTAACATGGGGAACTACAGAGCCACTGGGGTGGAGCTCAAAATGATTTTTGAGATAAGAATATGCCTATATGTTGATCAGGAATGAGCTATCATCGTTCCAAATTTCAGCCCAATCCGTCCAGTAGTTAATGCGTGATTGAACTTCAAACAGACAAACAAACACACAAACTTTCACATTTATAATAAGATATAGATATAGATTTATATCTCTATATATAAATGCAAAATTCCGATCAACGCACAGGCCAAACCAAAGCACCTAGAAACATGAGATTAGCATACATATTCCTTTCATAGCGTAGGCAGACAATAAGAAGCGATTTTACAAAATTCCCAATGGGCCCCGCCCCATAGAAGGTCAAAGTTAGCATGGAGTTCGTATAGGAAAAATAATTTGTTTTGGGTTTTTGTTTACATTTGTCTGCAATTTATTTCTATTAAATTAAGTTCATATTTTGAGTTGTTTTGTCTCCCTTAACTTAACTTAAAAAATTAAGTTTACTAAGGTTATTTCGGACCATATTATAAACATGATAGCTGTGGCATTTTAGTTTCATCAACTTGTAATATGTATGATTAGTGTTGAAGAAAGTAAAATTGAAATTAGTTTTTATTGCATTTGAGCTTTTAAGAACTTGATATTGTTCTGTTAATATTTTTGTAGTTGTTACCGTCTCATAGTACGGACACTGAGGTTTTAAATGTTAATGGCGGGTTCGTTTGATTCGTTCCACACAATATCATTCACATCACAGGAGATGGTGCGTGGTGATGCTAGAGCACCTTCTGAGAAAACAAAAAATGTTGTATGCTAAGATATTCTGCAAATAATCAAAAATAGTGCGAATGACAAACTGCAGATGGTTAACTGCGGTTTTAATCATCATCGTAAAATGAAATATGAAAATTAAAATAATTTATTGTTTATTTAATTTGATTTATTTTATCATTATCCGGCACTTAAACACTAATTTATTAAATATTTAAACAAATTTGGAAGTTTCCGTAGCGAAGCACTGGTTTTCCTAGTATATTATAACCGAAATGAAACAGCCTTGTATAGTGTTTACTATAAATGTAAACGCGATAACTTGAGTAATTTTTGTCCGATTTTTATGAAATTTGGTTAAAAGGTGTAAGGGGGAATAAACTTGAATGAGTTCGCAAACCAGCATGATCGGACCATGGAACAGGTTGTAGGCCTATAAGGTAAAAATTGGTTTTTCTCATTTTCACCCCTCAAAACATAACATTTCCCAAATTCTCTCTAGATCTTTTTAAAGAGCTAAAAAAAATTATACCTTCCGCAAAGATTCGTGGCGGCTGAAGGATCAGGACGGTCGGGTGGTGTCCCAGCCCCTAAATTAGCCCTCGCTCGACTTTTCTGGGTTTTGACCATGAGTCACCCATTAGGCTCAATACCTAGTTGGAAGAATTTTTGTATATCACCATAAAGTTTATTAAATAACACCAGTTTTGTAACCTGTGTCAAATAACAAGAACATTGAGCCCAAACACAAAATAATTGCGACGATATTAAGTACCTTTACATTTGGTTCTAAAATAATAGACAGTTTTCGTGTCGTGGTAGGCTTTTTATCATCAAAATTATTTCGTGTTTGGGCTCAATGTTCTTGTTATTTGATGCAGGTTACAAAAATGACGTTATTTAATACACATGTTGGTGATATGCAAACATTTTACCAACTATGCATTGAGCCCAGTGGGTGACCCATTGTCAAACCCTAGAGCAGTCGAGTGAGGGCTAATTTAGGGGCTGGGTCACCACCCAACCGTCCTAATCCTTCAGCCACCACGAATCTTTGCGGAAGGTATAGTATATCAAAGTGTTTTTTTACGGTTATTTGTAGTGGAGAAAATTTAAAAACTTGTAAATTTAAAATTCCCACGTTATTCTTATGGAGAATATTCTAAAATGTTATAGTTACCTAGCTTGTTTATGGATAGATTTTGATAAAACTTGGCAAATGTATTTATTTTGTACTACCAAAAAATACACTTTATTAGTTTCTTTGTAGCAGCAAACCTCACTCGTTAAACTTAATATTATTTAAATAGATTTAATTGAAAATCAATTCAGACAAATAGATATTCGCTTAGTCTCCACGTTTGCTGTGGCGGGGGTATTTAGTTTATATACTTCAATAAATCAATTACTTATTTGTTACGTTATTTAATCTCCCCCAAGACTATTTTTTTTTACTGAGCCAGTGAACAAAAAAATATACTGTACAACTTACACATCCTGGTGTAGTTGGGGTTAAGCAATGCCTCTGTGATTACAATTGGATGATTGACTCGACTCTCTGTGTCGATGCCGAGGTGGGAAAAAGTGTAATCAAAGATCTGCTCCTGGACCTCAATGTGGGTGACGACATTCCGATCGAATTGAGTCTTCAGTTGAAATCTCACAGCTTCTATGTTGGAAATGTCATTGCCTACTTGAGTCTCTCCGTCCTGTTAAACATTTCAGTTCAGTTGATAGCACTTGTTATGGTAGTTGATTAATAAGTATGTATCCAATACAAGATTATATATTGAACCATTATCCAGTTATAATACCTGATAAACCCTTCCTTCAGTTACCTAGTTTTTTTTCAATTAAAATTCAAAAGAGCCAGAATTTCAGTTTTTTGAGTATCATGGGAGAAGCACAGGGTTTTCAGGGCTGCAAACTTGGGTATAAACTACTCTTAGGGAACCTAACAACATATGAACAAATCGTAGATACATGCTCGTTTGCCATGTTTGATTCTGTTATTTACTGGCCTACAGTACCTTGCAACATAATAGATAAAGGACATGCAGTATAGAATTCTTGCTAACATGATAAATAACGTTAGCAACTGATTCTTACCTTTTTACCTCTTTCTTTTCTTGGTTTAGCAATCAAGTTTTTAAATGTCAAAAGAGGGTTTTTGTTCAAAGCCCAACCAACTCGGCAGTTGTAAGACCCTAGAACAGAAAAAATATATATCACCGCTGATTTAACACATATTATGAGTTATGAAGACAAACTACGCTACTTAATGTAGGACGATTGTTTAGTGGGCCTGTATGATTCATTTCCTATGGTTCATTATTAAGATAGTACAGAGGAGAGTGGGTTACTACATACCGGTACCCAAAAGATCCAAAATTCAAATAAGTCCCTACTTAGGTTTTTAAGAGTTAATCCAACCCTGCATCTGGAAAAACTGATATGTAATATATAGGATTTTATTATGCTACCTTATTTGTTACATTAAAAACAATCTAACTTAATGAGGACTTAACTCTGAACAAGAGATTTACACTTATTAAGTTACCAAGCTTTTACAGAGAAATTAAATTTGATTGAGAGCAATTTTACTGATAATAGTTTGATTTGAAAGTGGTGCTATTGACTACGGCATAATATATGGAGGCATAAATTACTCCGATGTAAATTATAACACACTTTAATCTAAAAGTTATAGATTTGAAAGTTTTCATAAAGAAAGCCACAGATTTAAGAGATAGGGACTTAAACTTACTCTCTTAAAAATCTTGGATGATCTTAGTTCATAAAATTAAAGATAGAAGCTGGGTTAAAGGGCGAAGGTTGAAGTAAGGTGTGAATTCACTTTAAATCCAAACTTACCATTATCAATAATTATCGGAATATTCCCTTCTTTGGCTTGTTTAGGGTAAGGGTGTATAACATCTGGTACTGTTTTTACATCCTTCAGTTGTAATATTTCCATAACTAAAACATAGGTAAAGAACATAAATTTTAAGAACAGGTTTGGGGTCAGAAAATCTTTTACTGACTTATAAACTTACATAATTCCTTAAAACATAAACCAGTACCGTATTGTGATAGGTCCCATTAACATCCTACACTAAGCCTTCACTCATATTTGGGTTAAAATACGCACATAGTGGCGTCATCATTTTAAAAACTTTTACCGAAATCCTGAATGGACCCCGCTTAGAAACACACAAACCAAAACCCTGGGCCTATGAGACCCCGCTTTAAAATACAATAACGCTCTAGGCTTTTGAGCCAGGCATAGCCTATTATGAACAAACAACCTGTCAAGGTCACGGCACCCAGGCAAAATGAACAAACAATATATCAACAGGTAGGGGAGAAAAGAGGGGAAGGTACTTTAATACTTTGCATCGAAATGGTGACCATACAAAGTAGGTATTTTAAGCCAAGTATGAATGGAGATGAGTGTAGGATGAGTGGCGCGATCTTGTAGTCTTATTAGTGACTAAGGCCGACATATTCCTTAGAAACAGCTGGTTAATTAATAGCCCATATATCTAATGGCAACTAAGAGACCTACAGTTTATAGTGAAATCCAAACACATTTTTGCCTTAGTATTAACAAATTGATCTAATTATCAGGATTCTGCGGATAGTCATAGTACTCACTAGTACAGGCGTTAATCCACACCAGGGCGTATCACATCCACAGTGCATGCCTATAAATATCCACAATTCGTAACCTCCTAGTAGCTGGATTACAGGTAGGGCCTATCGAGGGAATGGAACCCCCAAGCAAACAGTGTTGCCAACTTGTGTTTGTGTAAATTTCCGTGGGCCTGTCAGACCAAAGGTTTCGGTAAATGTGTTAAATTAATATTGATTGATAATTGAAACAAAATAAGTAAGGACTAACTAAGAATTTATTTTCGTTTACATTACTAAAAAAAAGTTAGGCTATTGGTAATCAATTAGCACCTTCATCTCAAGTATTCACTTTAAATACTGTGGAGTAGATAGCAAAATACTACAGAAATGTTCCATGACAATAATGTGATGAATGTAGATTGCAGTAGGCCTACAAATTAGATATAACTTACCGCCCTTAGTACCTGCTTTTCTGTAGGAAATGAATTTTAACTCTAGATGTGGCGTTTTTTTTTTTTTTTTTTTTTTTTTTTTTTACAAAAACATAATTGTTATGACATTTTTAAAACCAACCTCAGATTCGGAGGTATATAAATTGTAGGAAATTTATTGTAGTTTCAGAATATGTAATACTATTGTACACAATTGTCGATCACCATAAACGGCTGTTTTGGTGGTCAGATGATGAAAACATTCCGCCGCCATAACTTAATATAGGCTATTTTGAACTCTCTACTTCTGCAAACTATGTTTCTCGCTTCATAATACTGGCTCAATAATGTTTTATAGGTAGGCCTATATCAAAATGAATCCTCAGAATCTCATCTTTCTGAGGGTATAAGATTCATTGCGGTTTAAAAATGTTTTCATATTTTAATATTATAAAGGACTGCACTTGAGGCTCTGCGACCTGAGCAAGGCCTTCGATGTAGTCTCGAACACGACATACTGTTGGCCAAGCTTAAGAGGTATGGTATCGGAGGCACAGTTTTGAACACCCTAAGTAGCTACTTGGCAGACCGAAAGCAGCTTGTGTCTTTTGAATGGAACTTCTTCTAGGGTGCAGATTATCCCGCACGGGGTGCCTCAAGGATCGGTGGTCGGACCCCTGTTGTTCAGCATAATGATCAACGATCTGGACCCAAATGGACAAACCTTATTGTTTGCTGACGACACCACCTTGTTCAATAGGGGGAAGAACATTGAACAATTGAGGGCAGAGGGAGACAACCTGCTGGAAATGGCTAAGGATTGGTTCGAATAACAAACCGCTTCAAAATTAATGAGGCGAAAACCCAATCCCTAATCTGCACTCTGCAATCGAGGATAGAGCAAGACGAGGCTGTAAAGCTATTATGATTCTGGATTGACCCTAGGTTAGGCTGGAACATACACACAGACAAGTTTGCATCAAGTTGTCAAGAGTACTCTACATTCTCAGGAAGCTTAGAGAGGTTATCACTAAAAACTACTTGATTACCATCTACCATTCCTTGTTCCATAGCCATATACTGTATGGAATAGTACTCTGGGGCCAATCTCCTTCTGCCCAGGATATACTGGTGCTGCAAAAGAAAGCCTTGAGAGTCATAACATCCTCCGGCCCAAGAGAACACTGCCGACCCCTTTTTAAAGAATTGGGTATCCTCACCGTTAATAGCCAGTATGTCCTGAACAGCCTATTACTGTTAAAAGAGAACCTGACCAGCTTTAATAGCAGAAGTAGCCATCACAACCACGGAACACGCAGAGCTCATGACTTGGACATGCCTCGCTGCCGTCTAAGTCTAACACAAAAGAGCTACCCGCACTCTGCTATAAAGATTTTTAACACCCTGCCCGCAAGAGTCAGGAACTTAGAAATGAAAGCTTTTAAAGCCACAGTGAGCAATTCTCTCTTGCAAAGGCCCCTCTATAGTGTGCAAGAGTTGTTAGAGGAACCTCTCATGCCGGGTTGAAATTTCCGCCACAGCCTTAGTATTTAGTATTTATGTTGTAAAAAAATGTTTCCATTATAGGCTATAGTATTAAAAATTTGACGCCATCAATCCGTAACCACGGTCAAAGATAAAGAAGACAAGTATCAAGTATCAAGTACTTTACTTTAGGTCCTACACTCATTCAAATGAATAGGGTAGGCCTATATCGATTGTTTCATTCGATATATCGATCAATATTTTTGTTCGAATGAGTGTAGGAACTTAAGTTAAGTGCAGCCTTATAAAGTTCCGGACAATGTCATTCCGGTCCATAAATGGATCATGCCACTAAGAACTTAATATTTAGTGGTCCAAAAACGCCTAATGCCAGATATAGGCTAGGCTCAGCAGAATTACATATATATATCAAGATCTAATGATCATTGACTAGGCCTAGGCTTTGTACTTTTATATGCTTGGCCAAAACAACACTTCAGGTGAAACAAAATGAATACCTAACTTAAGTTCAGAAAATAGGCAAGAAATTAAAAAAAATCATCCAGCATCCTTACTAGTAGGACTTTAAAATTTAAAATAGGCCTATTAAATTGCTGTGTTCATGGGTCTTATTTTAAAAACCAATATAGGCCTAAATATAGGTTATGTTCACTGTTAGAATAAAGGAGCAACAAAGAATTAAAGGAAACTGTCATATTTGTGATGGTAAATAGCATTTTCTTGATTAATGTTTTTGAAGATAAAATATTTTTCTTAATTTTTATCAATAATTGATATTATTGGGAGTGTCAAATTTACTTACTAAAGAATAAACAATAACAACTAACAGTAGTCAGTCCAGTCCAGTCAACACCAACAACAAAAACAACAAACAGTGTTTCCATTCCACACGACCAAAAAAATAATCCCGCTTACTGGGTCGAGAAATCCCGTTTTATCCCGCTTTTAAATTGTGAAAAATCCCGTTTTATCCCGTATGATTTTTTTGTACAATACCTAGTATTTATTATACTTGACGTATCAGGTTTAAAAAGCATTTTAAATATCACTATTATATTTTGCTACAGTAATTAATCAATTTGAGTTAGTTTTTCTCTAAAATTAAGAAGAAAAATATAAAAATAGTCGTCACAGCCGAAAATCCCGTTTTATCCCGCATCCCGTTTTAATCCCGCGAATGGAAACACTGCAAACCGAACGAAGGAGTGAACGACCAGACCAACGAGTAACGAGACTGACTAAACTAAACAACAAAACAACGTTTGGCTTTCTTCTTCTTCTTCTTGCTTTTGTTTTGAGCTCAAACAAAATTTTATTCATGGAACTTTATAACAAGAGTAATACCACGGCCGCCTTTAACTCCAGGCCGCGGCCTTCGAAGTGACAACGTTGCAAGTGGATTCCACCTAGGTTGTAACAGCTGTTTTGTTTGGAAGCAGCTAATGGTATTTGTGTATTTACGAAAGATTGGTTACTGGACTATGACAATACAGGGTGTCCACAAAAGATTTGTCATTAATTTCCATGACTTTCCATGACTATCCATGACCATTTACCATTGATTTCCATGACTCATGAACTTTACACGCAGATTATAATATAACATACACACACAAATGAAGAGTTTTTCAAGTCAACAACCATGAATTCCAAAGAGTAAATAATTTCACCTATCTAGGCGTTCTACTATCTGGCAAAAATACGGAAGACATGGAAATTCAGAATAGGATAAATTTAGCAAATAATAGAGTTGGTACGCATGCAGTAAACTAATGAAATCAAAACTTTTAACGAGAAAGACAAAAATTAGAATCTACAAAACTATAGTAAGACCTGTACTTTTATATGGAGGGGAAAATTGGATCCTGAGCAAGAACTCAGAAAAGAAAATAATAACTTTTGAGAACAAAGTTTTGAGAACTATATATGGGCCAGTATGTGAAGATGGAGTATGGAGAATCCGCCACAACCGGGAGCTAAGAGAATTATTTCAAGACCCTGATATCATTGGAGAAGTTAAGAGTAGAAGATTAAGGTGGGTTGGCCATATCCTAAGGAGAAAGGAGGAGAGTCTACTGAAGATAGCACTCAGAGGAAATCCGAGAGGAAGAAGACCAATAGGTAGGTTCGAAAGCCAGGTGGTGGGGTCAAGTACGAAAAGATTTGGAAAGGATGAGGCTTGTAGAGGAAGATGCATGGGACCGAGACTATTGGCGATAGCGTGTTGGCGAGGCCAAGTACCAGCTAGGGTACAAGTAGCCATGGCAGTAAGCAGTAAGTATACACACACAAATAATACTGCCTGGACATGTTATTTTGCAGAAAATACTGAAATATGTAACAACAGATAACAATGGAGTACAATAGGTACAAAAATGAACTAAAACAAACCGAAAACTCATAAAATAATACAACTGTAATAAATTGAATTGTCGAAAATTTGTGAAAAATCCTGAAAAATGCTACAACAGTCCGGGTTACGGCTGACTAGAGCATTGAATGGTCCCCTCAAATCCATCCATAATTGTAAATTTCCATGACTTTCCATGACTTCTTGTCTATTTCCCTGACTTTCGATGACCAAAATTTTTTTCCATGACTATCCCTGACTTTCCAGAATGTGGACACCCTGCAATATTGACTCCGCTTAAAACGTACAGATATAGATTTTTAATTCATATTGTTTCGGTTTTCAATTCTGTATGTTTTATTTTCAATTTTTTTAAATAAATTTATGTTAATTACAATTAAAATCAATAAAGTGCGAATGAACGAGCTGATGTCACCTGTCTACCATGTTATCTTATGGGACGTCTGTCACTAAACAGCACTACTTGCGACGTTGCCAATTCTACCAGGTCGCGGCCTGAGAGAGTGTCCGTGAGTAATACACAGTACCGTGATAATATGTTGCTTTATTCACAAATAATTTTTAAGCAACATGAAATGTAATTTGAGTTGTAAAACCAAATCTGAAAAGGGGTAGGATATTAACCTATATTACCGAAAAAAAATCAAATGTAATAATACTTTAGCTTACAATTATTGATACTGAGTTTGAAATGAAATGTGTTCAACTGTACCTACATTGGCTACATTGTAGTATTAATTAAACTAGTGTCCCTGTTGCTCGAAATCGAGCAATTGCTAAGTATTACAGGCGTTATTTTAAAACGAATGGCAGTCATAATTTTTGATGACTTAAAAAGATTCGATTCAAAGATTATGGAATACTCAAGATGCACATAACAGATCGATATAATCAACATTTCTTATAAATATCTTATCATTTTTCAAAAGCTGATCTGTTTTTTATTGTTTTCTACAAATAGCCTTACTCAAAGCCGCATCAGGTTGTCCATAATAACGATTATTAAATTTAAAAAAAAACACATTATTTCTATTTCTTCTCATTGGTGGTGTTCTATGACTTTCCTATTTTTGTAATTTGCAAATCGGCTCTTTCAATGATTACTAAAAAAATGCTGCACAGTGCTAATTCAGTTTTCTTTTTAGTAGGGTGAGTGCACCAGTGAATGACCGTTTAAGGGTGACTTTCTACTTAAAAACAACATGGGAAATATACTACTAAGCTACATTGTACGAAATCGTTTAAATGTATTGCCCATATTTCCCTGTACTTCCCAATGATACAACATAATGTATTATGTTAAAAAAAGTGTCGAAAAATACAATTTTTTGCACATAAGTCATCGCACCAGTGAATGACCGCATATTATATAACAATTTAAAAAATGTATTGAACCTCCTCCTTTCACCGAATAACCCCCGTTCTAGATTTTTGCATGGAAACTGAAAACCCTGTAGTGAAAAATAACGATATCAGAGTCGTTAAAATATAGGTTCTAGTAAAAGATAACTTTTTATCTAGGAATGACCATAAGATTTAACTCGCATTCAAACTTTGGTTATAGTGCATCCACATAATTTCTAACAAATATTTTTGTTTCATATGAATTTACTTGCTCTATCAGAAAGCATTTTCATCAATATCAATAAAGAAAAGTGACCTAAATCCAGTTAATGAACGAAACGGTCATTCACTGGTTATACCCTAAATTTGTGAACCAGTATTTGACCGGCTGTTTAAATATAAAATTGGTTTGGATTTTGATCTTTAAATGAGTACAGAGTTGTACCTTAACATGTTAACTATGAATTAAATGTAATATATTACAGTTCCAATCAATAATTAGGGAACCGTGACAAATTACAACCAACCATGTTTGTGCGAGACGCCATAGTAGGAAGCTTAAAAACGAACTGCTTGAAACATCTAATTTTGTTTATGTTACAAAAGGACGATTGACACTTTCTTTTTTAATCAGTCACAGAGTGAATTTGTATAAGGCCCCAAAGTTACTTTGAAACACGTTTGTAACGGACTAGGAAATACAGAAAGCCTGATATGAGGTTTTTTATACGAAACGGTCATTCATTGGGGGGTGGTCATTCACTGGTGCACTCACCCTATATCAATTAATTTATCCAGGCTCTCTAGTTTTTTCCCATTGTAATATTTACGCCAACCCAAATTCAAATAGTAGCCTAACTAATTTCATTTCAACCAAGTAAGTAAATGTTTGTAGCAAACTAACTGTTAAATTAGCAAACTTATTGACTGTTTACAATTAACAGATGTTCTTCTTCTCACTTTTAATTTCTGACAACAGCTGGAGTTTCATAGTACCATTTGGTTACTTTCCTGTTAAAGGGAACATTCATTATTATCGATGATTTTTTCGATATATCGATATTTTTGTTTACCGATCCATTACATATTGGCAACTGATCTTGTTTAGGCTAAACTAAAATAGTCTATTATATGGATTAAGAAATCAAACTGTTCTAAGCTAACCTAACATAACCAACCAAACTTACTGTACTATTTAAAAATTCCTTTTGATAACAGAAAAGGCAAGTTAAACATGGAATGTTACACAGCAAGTTTGGTTAGTTATGTTAGGTTATTTTTTTTAGAACAGTTTCATTTCATTATCGTTTGTTGATACTGAACAATATTTATCGTAGTTGTCAGCTGATATGTTTCAATTTGTTAATATCGATATATCGAGAAAAAACCATCGATAATAATGAATGTTCCCTTTAACAGGAAAGTACCAATATGTGTTTCCCATGTTAATCTTACGGAGAAATACGGAAATTTAAAGGGCTCCAGGGCTTCACCCTCTAATTATTTCCCTAAAAAGAAAGTTTCCTGCACAACTTCACGTTACGCTCTTTCCAATGACACCAAGAACATGTAAATCGGTTCAGTAGTTTTGGAGGAGTAATTGTCACAAAAAACCTGCTTGCGTATTAAATAAGTAATATATAGATAGATGTACAACCATAAACATATTGTTTTGGTTTGTCTGTGTTAAAACTAACATAATAATGTTAAACAGATTTCTTTTATATTTGTAACCTTTTTACATAGTATGTATGAGACTTAGAAACCTAAGATCTAGACTGCAGTGAAATGTGCCGAATGTTTTCATAACAACAATCAACAATAGTTCATTTTCCAATGTAAATTACTGTTTGCTTTCCAAATTTAGCACGAATTATTTTTTTTATAAATTTGAACATTGGGTGCAAAATCATTTTGTAATCATAAAAATTTGAACGTGACAGGATTTAAAGAGCATTGCCAAGAACAATAAGGTATGTAATATAAAGATAATTTATTAAATAAATTACATCCTTCTTGCTCTTATCACAAGCAAGCTGCTGAACACAAAGGATAACAAATAAGTTACCTACAAATTTAGGCTAAACGGAAGAAAAAAATAACTAATTAAAATTACACAATAATTTTGATCTTGGATCAATTAGAGTATAAATGATTTCTTGATATTGAAAATTTAAATGTCACAATGACAATTTTCTTTGGAATTTTTCTGTACAATTTCAATTTTTTTCAAAATGTATAACTTAGGTATAAAAAAACGTTAATGGTATTCTTGATGCAATAAATAAACCTATTAATTCAATAACTTTTAAGTTGGTTATATTTTTCTTTAAATTATAGAATCGTTGGCTCATTTTTTCATGCATAATATTAAGTTTTTAAAATTGTTTATTAGAATTTACTAAATATCATTTTGGTTAGTCCCATTTGTATAATTTTTTTAACTGTGTCACCCATATAACAATCAATTTCTTTCAGAGCATCCTACCAGTCCCTATTTCTTATATTTATTGTAAAAGGATCAGTTTGCTAAGGGTTGGAACTAGGTTGTCACATGTACCACCTGTTAACAACCTAATTAGTGGCTGACACATAGGCAAGCTTCATACCAGCAAAATTATTTAAACTCTTAAAAATTATTAAATCTTTTAGTATTTTTCTAGTAAAAGCTTAAGTATAACAGTTTTAAGTATAGTAGTGCCTAAATGAAGTGTTAAATGTGTAGTACCGGTAGAAAAAGAATGGAAATAAAAACTAAGCCACCATACAGATTGTAAATGTAGCTAGGTACCTATTAAGGTAGCTACTAAGCTGAAAATAGCTTCCATAGTTAGTTCTACAATTATACGTTCGCATTATAACAAACTTCCATATTTTATCATCACACTTAAAAAATTATTCAAACACAGGCATAGAATATTTAAATTATTAATCAAATTATTTCAGATAATGCTACCACGCTTTTACTCTGTTTCACCGACTCGTAATAATAGCAGAGACAGTTCAATATCAAAATTATCCCAAACTCCACTGAAATCAAGTATTCCTGTGCCAAGTAAGTACCGTATTGTATTTGTAAAGACAACTTATAAATCTCTCACGTCTAGAGTACATTTAGGTTTAGAAAATAAGACTTGAAGAATGATTTTTGCATGTTAGAGTTTATTCTCTTTGAGGTAAAATTCCGCTATTTTTTACACCAACAATTTTATAACCCCCCTAACAGGTAGGGGGTGACTTATTTTTTTTTAAAAGCAACCCCTATTGAGTGACCCCTCATTTTGAAGGGATTGTTATTAAAAAAATAAATCACCCCCATCCACTTCCCTGTTAAAGGGGTTAAAAAATATTGTTGATTTTATAAATTGCGGAGCCTAGGTATATGTTAACAACCAATTCCACAAACAGAATATTTCTAATTATTATGGTTTTAAAAATACAGATTTGTTTCCATATTTGTGAAATTTGTGCTTTTTCACATAGTCTACAGTAAATCAAATTTTGGAATACGGTACCTGCCATTTTGGCTAGGGGTGAGGTATCCACCTTGGGTTTGCGTCATTGTGTTTCTTTTGACAAATCCTTTAAAATGAGGGATCACTCAAAAGGGGTTGCTATTTGAAAAAAATAAGTCACCCCCTACCCCAACCCTGTTAGGGGGGTTAAAAAATATTGTTGATGTTAAAAATTAGGGAACCTTTGTTAACAGTCAACGCCACAAACAGAATACTTCTATCATCTATTCCGGTTTAAAAAAATACAGATTTGTTTCAAGACTTAATTTACACACTGTAGGCTATAATAAGTTTAATTGAGTGTATTTCTAAACAGTAAAATAGGTTGGATACTGCCATATTAGGATTAAAGAATCCTGGGGTTGCATTTTGTGCACTCTGTTCAAAGCAACTAACAATTATGTCAGGGAATCACAGCAACTTTAATTATCTTTAAGTTCTTCATGATAAGCATATGCATACTGCAAACATATTGTTATCAAAAAATATATAGGCCTATATTTAAAAATTTAATGTTATTTTACAAAATGTGCTCAAAAATACATGTAAAAAATTTAAAACAATTTAATTATTGGTAATGAAGTGTATGCTAGTTTGATACACATTCGGTAATGCCTAGTGTTTTTATATGACAATGAATTTTCATGAAATGATATTTATTGTTAATGGCACCTTTTAGACTTGTTTCAAACTGATCATCAGTCTTGCCCTGGCCTTGATTTAATCCTCTTGAGGTAGGCCTTCTTAAAATAATTTAAATTTTAACTTGTGGGTCAATGATTAAAACGTCTTTTCCAGCTCCAGTTGATCGGAAAGATGCAAGAATAAGAAGTGCGTCGGCTAGCAATAAACAACCCACTGTTTCAAAAATTCCCCCGGCATTTGAGCGACATAAGACAAGTTTGTCATTGTATCCTCAAAATGAAACAACTTCCCTTAGAAAGCCTGCTGTTTGCTCAAAGACTGTGCCAAGTACGCGAAATCCTTACGCAAATGTTAAATCCAAGATTGATAACACACGACCTCATTCAACAAGTATAAGAAATCAATTTAGTTCTAAATTACCAATTAAAAACTCAAATGAGACTGATTCCAACAGCAACAAGAACTCAGATTTTGAATCTATTTCTGCTGAGCCATATTGTGAAGTAAAATCACAAAACGCTGATTTTAAGACTGAAAGCGAAACAAAATCAACAAAAACTGCTTTTAAGTCGGATAATAATTCACATAGATTGAGATCTACTATCCCGCCTTACAGTGAAGCCAAACCCCAGAGGGGCTTACCTAGGTCGGTTGATGCCAAATACCCAAGAACTCCTTGTAAGACAGATAATGAAACACAATCTCCAAGATTTGGTAGTCCGCAAAGAACAGTTAATGAATCTTTTGATGCTGAATCCCCGAGAACTCCTTGTAAGCCTGATAATGAAACTGAATCACCAAGATCGGGGGATAGGTCTCCAAGGAGAGTTGTTGAATCTTTTGTTGGAGAATCCCCAAGAACTCCACAATCTAAATCAAAATCACCGCCAAGAGCTACAGCTAGGTCTCCAAGATCAGTTTTTGAAGCAAAAACACTAAGATTAACCAAGGAATCAAACTCACCGAGGCCATCTTTAAATTCAGAAAAAGAATCACTCTCACCAAGATCAGCTGTTGAGTCTAATCAAAGAACTGATGAAATCACTGAAAAACAGGTAAACATTTACAATACAGTAGAAATGTTCTGATAAATAGTATTTAGTTATTTCAGCAAACCAATAAGTACAGAAATTATACATAACTACTTATTTAATCACAATCAGTCAAATACATTGCAGAAGAATGAATTGAGTCACTTTTGGTTTCAAAATTGAAGTACACATTTTTAGATAGCCTTGGTTCATGTTGGTTGTCCACATCTTGATAACACATTTTTTGTTATGTCAATCAAATATTTCTATGGAATTCATAAAGAGTTTTAATTAATCTTTAGCTGTTAGGTATGAAGAAGCAAAAAAAATTCTTGAGTAAAAACTACCACCACCAATGTTGCCATAAAAGCTTATTTTATTATTCTTAAGCTATGTTTTAAATCCCTGAAGCAATGTTAGACGAGAAATAATATTTTTTTATTAGCCACAAAATCTCTTGAGGTGTAGCACTTGAATTCCGCAAGTGTATGGAGACCAAGAAAGAAGGAAAGTGTTTGGTTCTGTTCAAAGATGTCTTGAATGTAAACCTGATCAAAAATATGGAAGGATTGATTTTCTAAAAAATATTATTACTATATTTTCAAACAATTTTACAAAACAATGATATAACTTATCAACAAGTTAAAAGGCAAATAAATAATGTTAACAACCATCCTTGATAAGTTTCTTTATTTTTTATTGTATGAGTAATTAAGTGTTGTATTTTCTACTTTTACAGCAACAGTTGTTAACCATATACCAGGAGTTGAAGAAGCTTAAACCACTTCAAGGAATGCATCATCTAGAAGGCGAAATTTGCAGTTTGATGGAGAAGAAAACACTTGACCACCTTGAAGGATTGTCAAAACCGGAGAATTTTGCGCAAGGCTGTATGTAGCTTGATATGTATTTATTTTTTATTGACTAGCTGTTCTATACTCAGGCATTACATTTCTTTATCCAAGGGACAGTTACATCAATTTTACTGGGAAGCGAGCTGGTCTTGTGGTTGAGTGTGGGACTTCGGTTCCTGAGGTCCTGGATTCAATTCCGCCAAATAACCAAAGGATTTTATCAAAGTGAGCCACAACCCTTAGGTCTAGTCTGAAGTAATGTGAAAAACTAGGACATAAATATATATGTTTAACCGGATTTCTAAGCACTATCTAAAAACAGATTTAACTACAAGGAAAAACTAAAACACTTGGTAAAGATTTAAATTTAATAGAACTTAACAATTATCAAGCTAATTTATTATTGCTAAACATTCGCTGTAAAATGTTAAAGGTACACCGGAATTTGTGTCAACCTTTGAGAAACAAATGCAACATGTGACAAAGTCATGGCTCCAGCTGATCAACGATATAGTCATTTCAAAAAATACAGTTGGCAAAACTGCTCTGCCTCACATGTCCATGTCTGGTTCATCCTGGGGTCTACAAGATGAGATTGCTTGGTTTCTGACCAACATAACTGTGGAAGGTAAACACACATATACATTTTTTTCCTTGATGTTGACGCCAGCGGCATTTTTATGAGAGCTACACAAGAGAAAGCACTTAAACACTTTGTGAAAGCATTCCAAACCTATATGTGTTGTGGGTGTGCCAGGAATTTTACTGCAGACAATTTGTTGCACACATACTTTATTCATATTTTTCACTTTGGGTATTATTCATTAGCATTTCAATTTATTTGGTTTTCAATACATGGTACAGTGTATGATAATCAAAACTGTCTATGCAAAGCTTAAACATTAATTGAATAATAGAATGTTTATGTGTATGATAGCCACTGGATCACTAAATTTAAGTTAAATGCTTTATATTACCAATTGCTTCGTCAAGTATCCTTTGCAGTAGTACACTACTATAGTTTTGGAATTCTGCAGTCCATTATTAGGTGTGACAAAACATCAAGTCATTTATCCAATTTGGTTAAATATGATCTGTCAATACCATTGTAGAACATGTACCGTACACAAACACATGACCAAAATACGATTAACGAATATAATACTGAAAAAGCTGGCCAGTGTTATCACGGGAGACACAAGGGGATGCCGATAGAGTCATGAATAAATATTTTTACTTAACACCATCTTACTAATATTATAAATCTGAAAGTTTGTGTGTATGTGTGTTGCTCAATCACGCATAAACTACTGGACGGATAGGGCTGAAATTTGGCATGATGATAGCTCACATTCCCAATTAACATTTAGGCATATTCCTATCTCAAAAATCCTTTCGGGCACCGAGTTCCCCATGTTAACCTTATGAGTACTAATATTTAAATGGAATTAAAGCATCTTACCAGCTGGTTCAACCGTTGACTGTAAATCCTTAAGGTTCAACTAAACAGTTTGATTCTGTGATGTTCAATAGCATTAAAAAGTTAATAGGTTCACCAACAGGGCACTATTTTTTTTTTTTTTTAATTATGAAAACAGCTAATTTGCAACCAAAAGTTGAGTGAGTGCAGCGAACGATCTTCAACCTGGAGGCGAGTAAGCGTAGCAAACGAGCTAAACCTGAAGGCAAGTGAGCGCAGCGAACAAGCTCCAACCTAAATGTGGGTAAGCGTAGCAAACGAACTTCAACCAGGACCTATTTGAGCGATGTGAACGAGCTCATCTTGAAAATGAACGAGCATTTGACATAAAACCACATTAGGACAGGACGACATCTGTCGGGCCAAAAAGTTATGGTACACAATTTACGTTTTTCTATGGTTTAGGTGCAGTGGTGCAGTGGTAGAACATTATTAGGGCTATGGTAGATGTGTGCTACACTATAGGATACCTTAAAAATTAAAAGACCAAATTTTCTTAAACCGTTTCCTTTCCCAGAACTGTAATAAGCATTTTATACTTTTATGCTAACCCCGTACGAAGGACAGGTACTCTGCTAGTATCAAATATTTTTAACTGAACAAGTGTATGAAACAGCTGTACTATTATTAACCAGTTGAAATTTTACAAAAAAATTAAAACACAGAAATATAATTAAATGTGTTTTTGTACAGCAATTGTTTTAAAAACATGAAAAAAATTGATTTTCAAACTAATTTGTAATAAGAAATTAATAATTCTATACAAATCAATAAGAAAAGAATGCAGACTTGGGCCCAAAAATAAATAATCCTACTAATATTATAAATGAGAAAGTTTGGATGTATGGATGGATGTATGGATGTATGTTTGTGACAAGTGAACGCGAAAAATACTGGTCGGATTGGGCTGAAATTTGGCATGATGATAGCTCACATTCCCGATTAACATATAGGCATATTCTTATTTCAAAAATCCTTTCGGGCTCCGCCCCAGTGGCTCTGGAGTTTCCCTGTTAACCTTATGAGAAATGGAATTATTGAATCTTAACAGCTGTTTCAATTAAACAAGTTGGTTCTGTTCTATAATGTTCAATAGCATTAAAGTTACAAGGATTACCAACCCAGTATGCAGCACTATTATTTCTTTTACATTTATGACAACAGCTAATTTGCAACCAAAAGGTAGTGAGCGTAGCGAACGAACTTCAAACTGGAGGCGAGTTAGCGTAGCGAACGAGCTAACTGAAGGCAAGTGAGCGCAGCGAACGAGCTCCAACCTAAAGGTGAGTGAGCGTAGCGAACGAGCTCCAACCTAAAGGTGAGTGAGCGTAGCGAACAAACTTCAACCAGGACGTGATTGAACCATGCGAACGAGATAATCTTGAAAATTTAGAAGTTAAACGGGGCAAAGCCCGCGGGTTACAGCTAGTGTAATATAAGACACACAAATTTCTAATAAAATAAAATTTAAAAATTGGATATATGTTTTAAAGTGGAAATGAAGTGTAATTTTATCCATAGTCAGATTGGAGAGTTATGTCTCCCTGTGTTTGTGATAAATATTTTGTTCCACAGGAGAGTCTTTGGACGAAAAGTTGCACAAAGTGGAAGAAGAACAGTTGAGGGTGATGACGGTGGTTATGTACAACATAATAGCCTTGGCCAAACAGTACGGTGACTTGAAAGACGAGAACACTCGTCTGCGGAAGACACAGGACCAGATAAACTTACAGCAGAACGAACAGTTGGCCATCCTGGGACAGGAGAACAAGGACCTCAGTAGGAGGTACACCACAGCCGTTGAGATGTGTAATGTGGAGAAGTCAAAAGCGGAGCAGATGGAGAGAAGTCTGGTTGGTTAATCAACAGTCATTTCCTAGCATTTGATAATTTTAAAATAGCCTACCTAGTTGATATTACACATTTATAAACCAACGGCTAACTATAAGCAGAGACTATTGGATACTGAAGTAGACATCCCAGCCATATGGGCCAGCTGCCGCCAATTTTTTAAATAAAAAAGAACGTAGTTGTGTGAGTCAGGTAGTTAATTGAGTTCCCTCTTTGCATGTCTCTGTAAGTTAAGTTTGCTATGAGTGTGTCACAAGATATCTTATGAATTCAATGGATCTAAAAACAAAATTTTATATTTGCTAACTGACCATACACAGGCCCACTTTTATAAACAGGCAGACTGGGCATATGCCCAGGGGCGCCGAAGGTTTGGGGGCGCCCACCGGGTGCCCCCCAACCACCACCTGCCCGCACTAGGAAAAAATGGGGGCACTGCTTTTGGGTTTGCCCAGGGCCCCACTGACCCTCAACGCGGCCCTGACCATACATACACTAAGAACAAAAACTAGTGTCAACTAAAATAGAAAAAAAAAACTTGTATACTCTCACCAGCAATGTTCACTACCGGGTACTCAAATATGATGTTTCCTGCTTCTGATAAATTTTCAACCAATAATATGATGTGATGAGAGTCTCAAAAATAAATTCGGGGACCCTACCTTGTGATTACAACCAGCAACTATTCTTTTGGTTAATATATTTTTACTAATGCTTAAGCATTTAGAAAAGCTTGCTTTGGATATATTTTAATATCAAATCCAACGATCCAGTCTGTAGTTGAAGTCTTAAGAATAATTTTGACCAATTGCAGGATGCAATACACAGAGAAATGCTTGAAATAAGGAAAATTTTGAAATGCAATGAAAGAAAATGCAATGAAATTGATTTGAAAACAAAGAAAGCAGATGGAGGAAAGCGAGCTTTAGAAAACACTCTTAGGATCTTAGAGTTGAGTATGGAAAAGAAGGGAAAACAACATCGAGAACTCTCTGAAAAATACAACAATTCTGAGGAAACGATTAACAAGCTGTAAGTACCTATCTATATAAAAAGCTAGGTAGGATTTGAACTCTTGAGAAAACTGTAAGCCGTGTACCTAACAACCGCATATTTGAATGAAAGGTCTTGACGTGAAACTTCTCCGAAAAATATCAGTTTTTCGATAAACCTTTTATTGACAGGATCCTCAATTAACGGGATGTATTTTATCATATTTAAATGATTGAAGATACATCAGCTGTTGGATTTGTTTTTGTTTTAGTTTGTTTGTTTAATTTTCTTAACTTAAAAATCTTTGGGTCTGACTTAGGGGAGGTACGAATGAGGCATTAGTTCAAAATTCCTCCGTGAACAGCGCTGTAGTAGAGAGTACTTTGGCAAAGAAGGTTTACTAATCGCAAAAATAGTTCTGTTCATAAAATAATACTATAAATGCCTCAAACTCAATTTTATTATTTTTTAATTATAAAATTAAACTATCATAACCTAACCGAACTAACCAAACTTGCTGATAATGAAATAATATAACAAAAGTTTATTAATAGAAAAAATAATTCTCTTTATTAAATAAAACTAGAAATTGCTCTACTAAAATTTTATAATGACTTAATAATAATAAAATTAAACTGTCATAACCGAACCAAACCAACCAAACTTGCTGATAATAAAAAAATCTTGGACAAAAAGTTAATACCACGAGCGGGAATTGAACCCGGGACCTTTAGCATCAGCCCGGCACGCTAACCATTAGACCACCGAGGCCGATGACTACTGATCGTTTTGTTACGGTAATGGCGTTCCCTCAGCTAATAAGAAGCCCACAGCTGTCATCGTAGCCTCTTTTATACCTCCCCTGAGTAAATACCAAAATCTTTTGATTCTTCCATAGATTTCTATATTGCATCAAAAGAAGTGACAGTACGTTTTTCTTATAATGCGGGATGGTTTTCAAACCTTTGAATTCTTTTTCAATTGTTTACTTATTAGTTCAGTATTACATATTTTAAAAACACAGCAATTTATTTTGCAGACAAATGTTGTGGATATTAAGTGATACAAGAACCATTAAGAGTTTGGAGGAGCCTTAGGTGTTCAAACTAGTAAAAAAACACATCTGCAGACTATTTTGCCTTGTGATATGGTCATTAATAAAACTAATTTGCAGAAGCCTAAGAACAAGCCCCTAATAATTCAGCAGTTTGCATTGGACGGTGGCGAAGAAACACCCACCTTCACTGCATTCTCTCCCCGTGGCGACACACGAGCAGAACAACTAGTTCAAATATACTTTAAAAGAGTACCTATAATACTTGCCAAAGATTTTGATATAGAAGGGGTTTAATTTAATTCAACCCATTACAGTAAATTGGACATAATATTTCATTTATCATAGGGATTGCAGTTTGCATATCAGTGCACACTTTATTGTTAATATTAATGATATAGGTTTCGGAACATTGTACATTAATTACTTACTTACTCCTGTGGCCACTGAAATCTAGTTTATTTTTGGCCTCGCCAACAAGTTGCCTTGAAACTCCTATGTCCTCCACGATGTCAACTTCTACCAGTTGTACCATTTGTTTGATGTTTTTCTTCTTACATCTACAGCCACTTGGTCTCTCGGTTCACTACTTGGGCCAAAAACATTCACAAATTTGACAAAAAATAGCAACATAAAAAATTAATAAAAATAAAACTGTGACATAAACTGCTTGGTATTAATCAGTAACTTAAATCAATTGAAACACGATAACAAAATAGATTTAACTTAGAAATGTAGCGATTATTTCCTGTATTGATGTGTTTTGTTCAAAGGAAATATGAACTTGAGCAGAGAAGATGTGCGAATTTGTCTTTGGAAGAAACAAATAAAGATCTTCAAGTGGAACTGCAGAACATGAAAACTTCATTGGAAGAGAATGAACAGAAGAGGTATTTTAACTTAATAACTTCAATAACTTTGAATCAAGATAATATTTAGCCTAGGGGTTTTTTTTTTTTTTAGAAACTTACATTATTACAGGTCAGAATATATTTTGACATTACATTTTTATACAACAGGATCTTGATGTAGGAATTCTTCAGAGTTAAAAGTTTACCAAATTTAATCAAAATTGTATAATTTTTACTGGATTTATCGTGTTAACGGACAATTATATAAATTGGGCTTGGGTCTAGACTAGGTCTTACAATGATACCTACGGTAGTAGCTTATTCCCTATTCAGAAGATTTACAAAAAAACTGTTTTAATTGGATGGTCTTCAAAAGTTCCAAAATCGGAAGATCCAAAGAATATATTGCCGATCGGAAGTTCCAAAATCGAAAGATCCAACGTTTATATTGCCGATCGGATCTTCCAAAATCGGAATTTCCAAAGGTTATTTAGCGGGTCGGAAGATCCAAAATCAAAAGATCCAAAGAAAATATTGCCGATCGGAAGTTCCAAAATCGTAAGATCCAAAAGTACAGTCATAACTAGAAGTACAAATTTATTTCTTAAAGTAAACTTATGAAATAGGCTGTCCTTTTCACTTTGGATCTTGCGATCGTATGTCGGGTCGGAATTTCCAAAACGCTACTAGTCAGATCGGAACATCCAAAATGCTAGAACTGTTGCGTCTCTCAGATTGAAGGCGATGAACGCCGTAACCAGCCGCGTTGCTAATGTAAGGGGAAAAGTTTAGACACTCGAGTTTAGATCTGTATAGAAAAGTAACCAAACTACTTATTTGGTGTGTGTATTTTTTGTCCAAAAACCATTTCAACATCATATTTAAGACGTATATTCAGACTATGTTTAAAAAAACATTTTAATTCGCTCTATGTTAGATAAATATTGTCACATAAATTAGCCATTAAGTATAACGGAGTTTTTAATTAATTTTAGTTTTGTTCTAATTTATATCACGTAAAGGCAATTACTAAAATACTGTTTGTATTTTATCAATGGAGTATCAAAATGCCCTTTGAAGCACTCTTTGTATAGTTTTACAATTCTCTTAGCGTATGTATTGGCCTTAAATATATGGTATGATAATTTTTTTACATCTCCTTTTTTAAATTTAACCATCATGACAACAATATTATCAAACATATAGATGGAATTAAATACTCCTAATAGAAGAGTTAATCTTCTCATTTTATTTTTTGCTATTAGAACATAGAATTAAGTATTATGGAACAAATAGGTAGTTTAGTTTGTGGTTTATACTGTATTTATCTGAAGTAACTTATCTTTTTATAAAGTAAAATATGTATCTAGATAACAGCCCAATTTGTTTAGGAAATCTTAATTTTCCTCATACAGTTTCTAACTCCCGTATTTGTCAAATACTGCTTGCCTTACTGTGGTATGTATAGATTGCCTTCTAACAAGGCACCATAATTGCAGACGGCGTATATCGGTTGATGCCATGTTGATGTATGTAACTAAATCATAATCCCTGAATTTAAAATCTTAGATCGAAAGACTTAATGCTAGACTTTAAAGACTTTATGATTGAAAGATACCAATTCAATAATACAAGTCTTGAATTAACTCAATCACTACACTAACTCTTGTTTGTGTCTGATACTAAATACATTAAAAAGTAGTATGCAAATTATTTGATTTGCATTTTATATTTATATGACATTTTTTATATACTCAACAAATTTTTACCCTTCGTTCATTTGGGGTCTGAGGCATATCCCTAATCATTTCATGGCTTTTGTTTGATCAATGGCAGTGTAAGGGTTATTAATTACTAGCAAGTACCTTCGGCTTCACCTGCGATGGTATAACCATAAATATCATAGCATAAGAAATGCTTTATGATATTTACTTTTTTTTACGTAATTAAGTAAATTTGTTTGTGTAATCTTTTTGGATTTAGTTACTTCTTTAATTATGTTACGGTAATAATAATAATTATCCGTAATGGTTGTGCCAATGATGATGAGTAAGATATCATTATTGTGTACTGCCTCCCGTAAAATTAAAATACCCCCGCGTTAGTGAACCTGCAGAGAAAGCAAATTTCCATTTACCTTGCTGTAATTCTACTAAATTCTTCCCTAGAAATTGTAAGAAATATTTCCTATATGAATATTATTAATTTCAATGAGTACCTAGGTTTGCTGTTACAGGGGGGAGATAATTTGGTGTGTATGTTATTGATAGCTTGGTATGAAGTAAACCAATTTGCCCAATCTGTTTCTCTAAGGTGTAGTTATTTCATAGGCTGTATCGTATATTTCAAATTAGTAAATCCTGTGTTGAATTATAATACAGATGTAGAAGAAACTTATGATATAAAGAAGAAGTGCTCAAATGTAATCATAGGTTGATATAGACCTTAATTGTCTTTGTTTGTAAAATACAATGCCGCAAATCCAAACTCTAACGGACAATCGAGTCGGGCGGAGCACGAAATGAGTTTTGAGATAAGAATATGCCTATATCTTAATCGGGAAAGTGAGCTATCAGCATGCCAAATTTCAACCTAATCCGACCAGTGAGTGATTGAACCCCAATAAGAAAAACAAACACACAAACTTTCACAATTTAGTATGTTGTTAGTATGGTAACACTTTCTTAATGTATTTTTGTCCATGTTTTGATAACTAGCTGTTGTACCCGTGCTTTTCAACGGCAATAGGACGGGAAATAAATACCTTTTGATCTATAAATGCATTTTATTAAATGTTAACACATCAGCCAATGTTTTGGCCTATTGATTCGTCGGAAAAGAACATACCATATTGCTGATGGATGTCAGGTGCTCAATAATTACTCTTTGTTGAACAGACATTGGTCTTATAAATATCACCATTGACTATATATACCTACCTGTAGGTATATATAGTCAATGATATCACGCATTTTAAGTTTTTAGTACCGGGGGACTGAGCCTTGCTAGGTTGTGGTTTAAAGTACGTATAATCGTTAAAAACATTTTATAAAAAAATATTTTAAATATGATTTACGAGAAATGATTTCATTACAATCCAAGACATTTGATTGAGAAAAAAATAACGACTCAGTAATACAAGCAATGTAGGCCTATAAGGTATGTAATAAGCAATCAGAATAATCATGTGTTGATGTGTTATTTTACTTAATTTTTACATTTATTTATGACAAAAATACTGATATTTATGTAGGTAGGTGCGTGATTAATTTCTTGGCACTTAACGAAATGTTTCTTTAAGTTCAAGTAAGGCCGCTATTAGCATTGAGCAACATGTGGCGCAGCTAGTGGAGCCGCCGGTGTCGGACGTGTAGAGGGCATGGAGTCAAAGGGTGCCTATTAGCCGCGGGGAGACCAGTGGCGCCGCCGAAAAAGCTGCCCGACGTGTTGCCAGGAGTGATTTTGCCCGACAACATGTGTCGCGACTGTTTTAGTGTCCAGGCAGTCGGGGGGCATTGCAGTATATGTAGCCTATTAGCCGTGGGCAACATGCGTCGCCACTGACTGCGCTCGCATGCGCTATTAACGTGAAAACGAAGCCTGTCACACAGTCTACATCGTGGTTTGAGTCGATTGAGATGTGCCTCGCCATATTGCTGTTCTATTCATTACTGACTTCTGTTCATTTTGTTTACCAGTGACCTTTTAACAGTGTATTCTTTCCTTTTTGTGTCATTAGCGTTTTTGGTTGTCTTTAGTTTGAGTGTAGGAATTTTGCCAACGGGTATCAGGTAGAAAGGGTCCCCATCCATGAATTCCACATACTGCGGAGTTTTGCCAACGGTTGTGGGAATGGGTTGCGCGAGAGGGGGAGGGGGAGAGAGATTACACGTGACCGTGAGGGTGGCTTCCGCTAGGGGTGGACAAACCAGGCAGGATGCTGACTGTGTTCAAAGTATGTAATGCAGTTATGCACCTCTGACTGTGAAAGGAAATGTATTGAATTTTTAACCTAACCTAACCTAACCTAACCTAACCTAACCTAAACTAACCCACTGCGACAAGCGCATAACTGCCAAGCGTAGACAACCCTGACAATCGCTCTCCTTCCGGACGTCACACTCTTTCTCCCACCACCACCGTTGGCAAATCTCCGCACCAAGAGGTGGCCGAAGGCATCCCCCCGATCTAACTGACACCCGTTGGCAAAACTCCGGTTCCCCTTTAGTTTAGATAAATAATGTCTAGTGCTAATACTGACGTGCAAATTGTGGATGCAGTCACTCAACGTCATGTTTGACACTAGGGTGTTGTGGTGAATTCCGCTGTTTGAGCGTTCTACGAATGTGTCGCGCGACTAGTGTCCAGCCAGGTTCCAAACGCTGTGGGTCACCGGCGTCACCACTAGCTGCGCCACATGTTGCTCACGGCTAATAGGGGCCTAAACCTCCACCATTAGTATAGTGTCTAAACTACTCTAGTTTGGTGGATAAGCTGAAACCCGATGAGTTAGTCTCAGCGTAAATAATTTAGGCCTACTACCGTACATGCAACAATGTAAAGTAAGTAATGTTAACATAAAAGTATAACCGACGTGCACTGATTGTCATTAACAGGACTGCTCGTCTTTACTACTTCCTTCACCACTTCCTATGTCGCGGACCTGTTTCCTTACCTTCCCATAGCATTTTAGGATTGCAGATACCTAACCATCCTTATGGAACAGCTGAAGCCACTTTTATTGTTAGTTCTGTCTGGTTTTCTGTAGATGTCGTGTTTTGTTTACAATTTGTTTATATTATTTTTTGGTTAGTTTCTCATTATTTGTGTCTCACTGTTTGGTTATATAGCCAACGATAGTAATATAGTAATATAGTACGGTAAGATAGTGAACGAGTTATCGTTTATGATTAAATATCTTTATTTGGTTAAACGAGGTTTTAAATTACTGAAATAACAAGAAACAAATTGTAAACAAAGCACGACATCTACAGAAGACGGACAGAACTAACAATAAAATTGGATTCAGCTGTTCCATAAGGATGGGAAATCTACCTTAATCTAATCGTAATAATAGATCCCACACTCCGCACTGCTAAGTTAACATTTCCTACAATGTATCGAATAAGCTTCAGTATAATCATTGCTCAATAGTAACAAGTGATGTTTTTGCTTTTGTACTGTATTTTATAATTTCTACTACACTGTGGGAGATGCCTTTATGAACACATGTGTTACAACTTACAAGTCTTTTGTTTACTTTTTCCTTGTTATTTCATTCAACCAACATGGTTACTTAGCAACCCATTAGACTAATGTTAAAAAAATGTGACTTTCAGTTTCATTTTTCCACGTAATTAGATTTTTGTTGGCAGTTATAACTGCAGTAAACTTGTTTTTAGGCCAAAAATAAACTATTTACAAAATTTGAAGAAAATCGTCGGAGCCGTTTTCGAGATCTTTGTGCAAGCAAGCATACATACATACATACAAGCAAACATTGCTCGTATTAGAGTATAGGATTAAAGAATTTAGTCAGCTGTTTCAAACAAAAAAGTTGGTTCTATGTAAAAGCATTAAAAGTTATAAGATTTACCAACAGGGTGCAAAACTTTATTTTTTTTTTTTTTTTTGCATCTATGAAAACAGCTAATTATAACTAAGCAGCAACAACAAACTGTGGTATGCCATGAGAACTGTCAAGGTAGGATTGTTTACAGTTGTGTTTATGTTTTTAATTTCATGAATAATTTTTGATATTTTATGAACTTTTAATCATTTGTAATCATTGTTCAGATGAAGTGGTGGAATATTATGGCTATGGTAGATGTGTAATACTATAGTATACTGTAAATTTAAAGAAGCAAATTTTATCAACATGTGTCCTCCCCCATTGCAAGTTCCAAGTTTGAGTTCAATATAACTGCAATAAGCATTTTTTTACTTATATGCCAACCTCGTATACGAAGGACGGGTACTCTGCTAGTAATTAATATAGCAATTGAAAGTTATATAGCAAATAAGTTGTCACAAAAGTAAGAGTATATTTCATACTTCATCTATCGTATTACCTTTAATGCGGCCAATGACGATATATGACGATATAGCGATAGTTAGCAACCATAATCAATGGGAGTACAATAAATGTTATGGGCATAAAAGTAAAAAATTGAGTCATTAGAAACCAAAGATCCACATTAATTGTAGGTAACATTTGTTAGTTTATTTGTTGAGAAAAATTAACTACAGCTTTACTATACTTCCACAGTCTACCACTGTAGGCCTACCGTTACTGTAGTTTTGTGGAGGTTCACTTTAGTTATCATACACAAATGATTCTAAATTCTGTACAGTCTTCAGCACCTTCCAGTACTAATTCCTGTGTAACACTTATTTTTCTGTTTACTGTTTGGATCCTTCACAGTTCAAAGAGACTTATAACGAAATATCACACTCTTTACAATATCCACAAATTACTGGGCTGCGTATTCTTCATTAAATTTACCTTTACACGAACCTTCTTCTACAATACTTTCATTTTTTCATTTTATACCTACATGGCAGGACAATAAGAGCAAGTAAATTTGCATTTAGACAATTAGACTTCTAATAAATGTTTTTAAATTGTAGAAAATAATATACCTTAAACAAAGATAAATGAATATTAAACTAAAATATAGTAACGGGGGACTGATCCTTGCTGAGTTTGGTTAATTACATTTAATTGTTAAAGAAATATACTACACAGACGTGTTTTATTACAATACAAATATAATACTATTAAATACCATAGAAATTTCATCGCAGAACTAATAACAACTTGAATAAGGTATGCAATTAAAAAAGGAATATTTAAGATCCTACTCCAGTTTTTTTAAACATTTATCATGCAAAATACAATTATTTTTATAGGTAAGGGGCATCATTTATTTCTCGGTACCACACTAGACTTTTCGTTGATTAGTTGAAGCCGAAGACTGATAAGTCCTATTGGAGCATAAATCTTTTACTGGAAAGATTATTATAATGAAATAATTAATTTCAATAATTATATAACTAATTAGACCTGTCCATATTTTGTTTCAACTTTAACAGATAGTGTTTACAATTTGTACAATCTACCATTAAATACGGGTGAAACATTGAGTTGACGCCTGTGCACTAAAACGACACCAACTGGAAACACATTTATTGAAAATAATTGTTGTGCATTTGATAACAATATATCACTATTATTTAAACAAATTAAATGCTAAATTGATTCGTTTACGATAGCATACTTTTAATAAGCGGATTTAAAACAATTGCTTTATTTACACAATATTCGTCAATTAATAATCTGAGCCCTATCTATAATTACAGTGCCTTGTGATTCAGAACGCAACCCATATACATCACAGTTACGCAAACAGTATTTGAATTGTACAAATGTTGGCCAGTCGAACGCACGGGACTCGAGTAGTCAATTTTTTAAACAGTTTAATTCAGAACAGCTATTTACACATATAAAGACCAAAAAACTATGTCGTATAAGTCAATTCTCATATCTTCAACGATTAAGCGATAGTTTGCAGAACAATAAGTATTTTCAAGCATGACTTAAAATTGTTACAACAAAACCTTTTACTTAGGTACACAAATTGAATCTCCAACAAAACTTGATTAGACGCAAATGTTTGATATACAGTTGAACATTTTACATTTCCTGATAAAACACATTCTTTGTAAGGAAAAAATTACATTTCAATTGAATTAGGTTACAGCAGACATTCGCTAGTTGTGGGGAAAACTAAATATAATTTAACGTTACAATTTCAATTTAATTAAATTTGAAACTACCTGTTTGTTACAACAACCGGAAACAACTTCAAATATTTAGCGTTGGTTACTAGTACACTATTACAACTTAATAGTTCAGCTCAAATAAACCACGACAAATTCATTATCTTTTCATTTTTCAAATGATTTATTCTGGATTCTCTTACGGAGTAAACAAAAATTGTCAGAAGCTATAAAAATAAGTTATTATCTGTTTAAGACGTTTGCCAGATAATTTAGTATTGTTATTGTCAAGGTTAATACTTAAACCATCTTTTAAGAATAAAAATAAAAAAATTATTTTACTATTGACTGTAAATAAATATTAAACAATACCAACAATATATATATACATGTATGTATGAATGCGTGTGTATTTAAGTGTGTGTACTTGAAAATACGAATACAAAAATATTAAATAAAATATCAATTAACAAAACAAATAACCATTAACGTTGCTGGTGACGACGTGTGTTTAAACGCCTTCAATCTGAGAGACGCAACAGTTCTAGCGTTTTGGAACTTCCGATCTGATTACTAGAGTTTTGGAAATTCCGACCCGGCATATGATCACAAGTTCCAAAGTGAAACGGACAGTCTATTTCATAAGTTTACTTAAAGAAATAAATTTGTACTTCTAGTTATGACTGTACTTTTGGATCTTACGATTTTGGAACTTCCGATCGGCAATATTTTCTTTGGATCTTTTGATTTTGGATCTTCCGACCCGCTAAATAACCTTTGGAAATTCCGATTTTGGAAGATCCGATCGGCAATATAAACGTTGGATCTTACGATTTTGGAACTTCCGATCGGCAATATATTCTTTGGATCTTCCGATTTTGGAACTTTTGAAATACTCCCTTTTAATTTATGTTTTCAGACAAGACCTAGTAGAGGAAATTGCCAATAAGTCTAAGAAACTAAATGAATTGAAGGAACAGTTGGAGTCAGCTGGATATTCTTGTATGGATGGCACACAAAAAGAGGTACATAGTTAATTAAATCAGTTACACTAATGTGTGTTTAATTTAAATATATTAAATCCAAATATGGCAATGCAGATATTAGATTCCATAGTCAAATTGCAAAGGATCTATATTTTTTTATGATTTTATGACTGGAAATGTGCACTACAGTAGACACCTATTTACAAGTTGTGACTAGATTTCAATACTGATTAAGGCAGAATAACAAAAGTCTCATTCTCTGAGGTAAAAGAAAAATTTGTTAGACTGTTCTTTATTGTATTCACCATAAATAATGTGGTCTTTCTCTGAGTAGATGTTTTTTATTTTAAATAGGTTTATACATTTAAAAAGCATTTAGGCACTGACTTTCATAATTAAAAATTTAAGGAGTTTGAGTTTAAGAATTTAATAAAAGCAAGTCAACAACACTTGAATACGAGTGACATATGGATATGACACATGCTATAAAACTTGTTGACGATAGCGAGTATTAAACCTGATATGCTGTTAAGTCATCTAAGGATTTGTCTTTGTCTGTAGGAAGTATCGAAGTGTGTAATAGAAAGGATAAAACATTTTTAACCCTTCCCGGAGGGGTGACGGATATATCCGCCTAAGTCTTTGATGATAAAGGACGGGTAGCGGATATATCTGCTTATGATTTTTGATGTTCCGGAAGGGAAGAGGATATATCCGCCTTCTCTTCAGACAGACTGGCAGGTGCTTGAGCAGTAACCAGATGTTTCACGGTACCAAGGCACCACTTTCCTGCTCTCTCCATGGCTGCGCTCTCCCCCACACTCCCCCCTCTCTCCCGGGCCTCCCCCTCTTCCGCGCCTCCCCCTCTCCCGCGCTCCACACACCTCTCCTACGCTCCCCCCTCAACGTTTCGCTCTCAACTCTACGTTGTCTTTATTTATTGTTTACATATTGTTCTTTATTTGTTGCCTAACGTTGTCAATGGTCATATCTTCAAAGACAGATGGCGGATATATCCGCTGCTTTTCTACTCATGGGCGGAGGACGGGTAGCAGATATATCCGTATAGTTAAAAACGAGTCAAAAATTATTTTGACAGTATGAAGTGTTCCATTGTGTTTATTTTATGTGTACTTGCATAACAAAACACAAATAAGGAAAATTTATTTTTATTTTTGCCTATAATTTTTTCCCGTTCTATGTCATGGTTTTGCCCGTCCAGGAAGGGTTATTAATGTTTGGTTTTATAATATAGTTAAGCACGTAGATGTATTTTATGTTTTAGGCTATGAACCAGGATTATGCGTCTAACCTAATAGTAAAAGATTTAACCAGAAACATGCAAGACAAAAACAACCAAGTTAATGAACTGAAGAAGAAGCAACATGAACTGGAAAACCAACTGAAGGAAATGTAGGTTAACATTACCTTTGAGTAATTACTATCAATAATATTACTAATGTTCAAGATATTGTTTTGATAGTGAAGAATCCTTGCGAAAGTGGCATTTCTCTTTGGGCGCTATTGGTTCATGTGGGAAGTAGAGCACAACACAAAGTACCAATAAAGTCTAAGGTGAAGCTGAACACAGGTACGCTGTTTCCAAGTGCATGATATGGGCCCAAGAGATGGTTTTGCCCCTTCCCCCTTCCTTGTGGAGGGATTTTCCTATCCTAGCATTCCCAACAAGCCAAAAAACCTCTTGGGCCCCTGGGCTCATTTACTAAAGCGACCCTGGCTGAACATGTGAAAGGTAGATCACTTGCTGGTAATTCAAGCAAGCAAAACATTTTGAATAGTGGAATGAATAATTCAAACAATAGATGGAAAAAACAAATTCGTTATGAGTTATTACATGAAAAATAAAAACATTAGCGTGCATAACGGTCAAAGGTAAAACTAATTTGGAGCGAGGAAAGTAAATGTTGAGAAAGGGAAAGCTGATTGTCTCTTCTTGTTCTAAATCAAGTCCATCGGAACATTAACAGGAGCAAGTTCCAATAGGCATGCAGATGAAAAATATTTGTACTAATCTCTACATTCAAAACAAATAAGTTTAATACGGTTGCAAATACAGTACTGTACTCTCATTCCAATCGATAAAAAAAATGTTATTAATTCAACAGTATTCATTGCCGTGAGGGATTTTTCTAACAACTTATTGCTTTGTCTTTTTAGGGCAACCACAGAAAGAATGCTTACAAAGCAAATTCATGAATTAAAGAAAAATCGAACTGAACATGATGTCAGTCTGGAAAGTCAGGTGAGTTGATTCATATACATTAATTCAATTCTACAAAGTTATTTTTCGGCAGTTAAAAGAGATAGTGGAACAATTAAGCAACTCATATAACTATCAATTGTGCCGACTTTTTCAGAGGTCGGCAGTCTCTTTTAACCTTGAATTTGCCCACTCACACCTCAGCTCTGATCGGGCAGGCAAATCTAGTTGGGTGTGATGCTAGTCTAGTTGGCGTCTCTGACTTCGGTCCAGTTGGTTTGATTCCCTGCATATCCACAAAAGTTTTAATTTTATTGATCATTCCCCCCCCCCCCAAGCATTTTAGTAGACAATAAAAGAGAAGTAGACAATAAAAGAGAAAAAGAAAGGAATTAGCCAGTTAAGTACTAAAGATGAACAATACTGATGCCTCTCAATTAGGTTTGCGATGCCTAGGTCGTGAACTCACTAAATCACCGAGCCACCTACCTATTCACTATTGTTGTTCAAAAACTATGATCATCATTTTATAATACATACATGATACTTTAACTACACTTACTAGTTAAAACACATTTTGTGATGCAGTGGGGCAGCAATAAAGACCATAAAGTAAAGTAGTCTAAATGGTGTTTTGGGTTCAAATTGAAATTAATACTTCAGAATATTTTCTTACAATTATTTACGTTCTCAAATTAACGAAGTTACAGGGGTGTTAAAATGGATTGTGTATGATGAAGCATTGTAGTTGAATCCAGTACTGATTTTGGTATTCCGACACTCTTCTAATCTCATAATTGTCGGATTATCAAGAGTTATCTGTAGTTGTTAGCTATTTCAAATGAAGAAAATGTTAACTGCTATAACATTTTTGACTAAATCATTCAGGTTCGAGTGCTGCAGTACAGAGTGATAGATTTGGAACGTGAAAAATCTGAACTGGAGAGAATGGTGACTCAACAAACTCTGGAGTTGGACCAGCGAGATCTGATGCTGAGAGAACACGCAGAATTGCTACGGGCGAGGGATCAGCTGATACCTATGATGAGGGAGAAGAAGAACAGCGACAAACAGTGCTCAGAGAAGCTGATGGCTATAGTGTACGAGAAATACAAGTCCCACTTTACGGTACGACAGATAGATAGAACCTTAGATTGGGGTAGTTTTGTATAGATCACAAGCATGGGCGTTTGGATACCTACTGAAGTAGGCATTTATATGGACCATCTGTAGCTTTTTTTAAATTAGAACATTGTTGAAAGAGCCACTCACAGAATGTGCTACAGTCATAAAATGTCGTTGAGACAGTGTGGCATAAAAGATTCTATAGCATCTCTATTGGAACTTCCAATGACCAATATATCAAGCAAGTACACAATATCGATTCTCAAATAGACTGATTGGGCCTGATGTTGTGACTGTCAATATCAACAAGTCACTTTCACACGTAAATAATATTTTGTATACATATATTATTACAGTATAAGTTCACACTTATATACTGTAATAATAAAGTGTAAAGTGTACACAGTATAAGTGTGAACTTATACTGTAATAAGATATGTATACAAAATATTATTTACGTGTGAAAGTGACTTGTTGATATTGACAGTCACAACATCAGGCCCAATCAGTCTATTTGAGAATCGATATTGTGTACTTGCTTGATATATTGGTCATTGGAAGTTCCAATAGAGATGCTATGGAACTTTTTATGGAGTGACACTCGTATAGTGTGGTTTCAGTAAAAATATTTTACTTCATCCATATTGGTAGGCCTACGGTATTGATATTTGTGGAACAAATAAAAAAAAATACATGACCATGCCAGACTTCAACTTATGTTTCTTGTTCAACCATTTATTGTATTAACATATGTGTAACATATGTTAACCATTTTTATTGTATCTTTATACAACAAAAAAAGCTATTGCCTCATACTGTTCTCATATTGTACTTAGTAAGGTTCTGTCCTTTCCAAAAGTTATCTTCTTCTGTAAACATTCTACTTAAATGTTTGCAGGAAGGTTACAGTGATGGCATGTTGGGTGATCAAAGCCCTTACAAGTCGCTCGAAGCTCTAGAACAATTTTACGGCCTTGACCCGAAAATGGTAAGTACCTACTGAATTCTCATCAATTGGACTAATGGTTTAGTGAACCGATTTTGGCTCATCAAACACAACATTATTTGCTTCAGTGTATTATATTTTAAGTGTTGTCACATTAATTCAACATTAAACACTTGTTACATGGTAAAACTTTAAAGTTGTATGTTTACCAAGTAATATACACCCCTCATAGACAGTTGAAAACCTAAAAGGTGAACAAATAATTATATTTAATTTAATAATCTTTTGCAGGTTGAAAAAGAAATGTCATTTAGGCAGGAGAAAATGACAGAAATGATTAATCTGTTGGAGCGCAAACAGATGGAGATCAATAAACTGGAGCGGAGGATACGAGCTATTGAGGGAGATCATCCTTCACTGAATATGAAGGAGCAGGCACAGAGAAACAATAAGTGGGGTGGGTGACATCGTTAAACTAAAAACAAATATTTTAAATAGCATGACCGATAGTTTATGGTTCAAAAAAAATATTTGGAGTACACTAGTGATGGTCAAAACCAGAAATCTCAAAACCGTAACCGAAACTTGAAAAATCGAATCCCAAAACCTAAACAAGAAACTTATTTACTTAGCTGGTTAGAAAAGTTGAGGTTGCAAAAATACAGGTAATAATCAAATGTGAAGTATGCAATCAAAACTGAAAGAGACCGACACTGACATAATAACATAAATATGTAATTGCTAAACTTAAAACCAAAACATAATTTTTTACAAACAACCAACATAAAAATGAATATTAGTAATATATTCTAGTGGTTGAATACCTTTTTGTGGAATATACATCAATGGTTAAGTCAATATTTGAGACATCATGGTTATAACTAAGCAGATGATCGGCAAATTCAGAATTGGGTTTGTTGATGGATGGTTTGAGTAAGTGTTCCTTATATCTCGTTTTAAACAAGCGGGCGGTTTGTCCAATAAAAAAAAAAACAGCTGCTCTAGTTTTTATATTGGATAAACTGCCTGCTCATTTAAAACGAGATATAAGGAACACTTACCTAAACCATCCATCAACAAACCCAACTCTGCATTTGCCGAGTGTCGAAACCGGTCGCTACCCAGACGACCAATGGATTACGTTGGCAAAAAAAGGTTTTAACCTATAGAATATATTGTTAATAAGTAATCCGGAAGGAAACACCTCAAAAATGAATATTATATTAATTAGAACATTTAGTTGTCAATATTTCTTTGTGTTTAGTAAATATCCTCATGAAACTGAATTGTATGTTGTGACAGTTATAAAGATGCCTTTTGAAGCTCAGAATACAATTTACTGTTTTCATTACTTTTAAGGGTAATCTGTTTGCTCTATTGCTACCATCTTGTATGCAAAAAATGTAAGCAGTTTCAAAAATTAAACTGCCAAAATCTTCAATTTCAAAACTTTTGAATCTCGAAACCGAAACTTTTCCAAAGTTTTGATGGTTTTGAGATTTGAGATTTGGTTTTTACACATCAATAGAGTACACTCAGTAGGGTCTCAACTATCCAATCTTTGGCTCCGATTTTCCGTATTATCAGATGACCCTCTTTGAAGACAAGTAGGTTACCGTGAAATCCCATGTGCAATGACTGCACACCAAAGCAGTCAAGTCTAGATCAGAGATCCCAAAATGTGCTATGCAGAGGCTACAGCAGTGGTAAATGGTGCTGTTTTAAGAACAGGTATTATGTCGCCATTGTACTGGTGTGTCAACATTAGTTCACAGATCATTTTTATCTGTGTATAGGCTATTCAATAAGACTGAACACAAGAACACGGATGCAAGAACTAAGTGACTGACTTAAAATAATAGCAGTTAAGTGGCATCATATTTTTAATTTGTCTCTTGTGAACAGTTGGTACGTCAGGTAAAAAAGCTTGTAAACACTGGTCTATACAACCAGTTTTGCTGCCTTGGTCTACGCTTAGAAGACACACGTCTGTTTTTGGACACCTGCGCTTTGGTCTTTCTTATTGTTTTAGCGCACTGCATAACACACACTTTGTCAACTCCTCATAACCAGCATACTCCTCTGCTGCCACTTTTTTTGTGAACACCAATCACTTGAAAAAGTGTGATTGAGTGGATGAGTATTGCTTTATCTTATGTTTTTATTATTAGTGGGATGTAACTACAGTGTTTTTTATGTTATTTGTGATAATGGCTTGAAAAGGGGAAATGTTGGTTATTTTAACTAAAGACAAACGTAAAAGCCTTGTAATTATGAAAAATTTGTGCAATGTTTTTGACCTATTTACATTGGTTTGTTTATTGAGTTATTAAGACCTTGCCGAGCTGCTTTAAGACAAGACAACCAAGAGTCTATTGTATGGAAATCTTTACTCTAACGATTGTTTTATTTTCAGGATTTCTCTCCATGTTTCCTGGCATTCCAGAGTCTAAAAACAGATGAATTATTTAACAAATGGTTTACTGGGTTTTGTTTTCATTATTGAATAGTATTTATAATCTTTTGACCATTTAAGTTGAATAAATTATTTTGGTAAAACTGGACAGAATTTATTTTACTGGTTTAGGTTATGTTAAGAACAGATGGATCCAAGACCAAGTTTTTGTATGAGGAGGATAATAAACGTTCTGAAACCTCTCTATCAAGAGACCGTTATTATACATTTACAACTACAGTATATCTAAATATATAAAAGGCAAAGCCCTCACTGACTGACTCACTCACTCACTCACTCATCACTAATTCTCCCACTTCCCATTTACCTAGGAGGCTGAAATTCGGTACACCGATTCTTTGGGCATTAAATAGGAAAACTAAGTAGTTATGATTGTGATTGGGCTTTCGGGCTCCGCCCCAGTGGCTCTGGAGTTTCCCATGTTAACCTTATGATTTTTCATATTTAAAAGGAATTTCTTAACAGCTGTTTCAATTAAACAAGTTGATTCTGTTCTATGATGTTCAATAGCATTAAAGTTACAAGGATTACCAACAGGGTGCAGCACTATTATTTTTTTTAATTTATGACTACAGCCAATTTGCAACTTAAAGGTGAGTGAGCGTAGCGAACGAACTTCTACCTGGAAGTGAGTTAGCGTAGCGAACGAGCTAACCTGAAGGCAAGTGAGCGGAGCGAACGAGCTCCAACCTAAAGGTGAGTGAGCGTAGCGAACGAACTTCAACCAGGACGTGATTGAGCCATGCGAACGAGCTCACTTGTGAAGTTAAACGGGGCAAAGCCCGCGGGTACAGCTAGTTTTTTTATAAAGACAAATTTCCAAAACAGTATCTATTGACGGTTTGGTTTTGACTAAATGTGTTTGGTGTCCTTTACACAAAGTCCATGGGGGTGAAGGTAGAGGAGGGGTGTGGTCTCGACAAGGTAACTTAAATTTCTTACAGTACCACAGTACCATAGATAAAACATACTCCCTTAGTAGATTTCTCATCCTTATGGAACAGCTGAAGTCAATTTTATTGTTAGTTCTGTACGGTTTATGTAGAGGTCGTGTTTTGTTTACAATTTATTTCCTGTTATTACAGTCATTTAAAATCTCGATTAACCAAATAATACGATCTAATCGTAAACAATAACTTGTCCCCTAGTTATATAACCAAACAGTAAAGGAGAGATCAAGAAATTAATCCTAAAATAATAGAAACAAAATTTCTCTAAATATATAAAAGGCAAAGCCCTCACTGACTGACTCACTCACTCATCACTAATTCTCCCACTTCCCATTTACCTAGGAGGCTGAAATTCGGTACACCGATTCTTTGGGCATTAAATAGGAAAACTAAGTAGTTATGATTGTGATTGGGCTTTCGGGCTCCGCCCCAGTGGCTCTGGAGTTTCCCATGTTAACCTTATGATTTTTCATATTTAAAAGGAATTTCTTAACAGCTGTTTCAATTAAACAAGTTGATTCTGTTCTATGATGTTCAATAGCATTAAAGTTACAAGGATTACCAACAGGGTGCAGCACTATTATTTTTTTTAATTTATGACTACAGCCAATTTGCAACTTAAAGGTGAGTGAGCGTAGCGAACGAACTTCTACCTGGAAGTGAGTTAGCGTAGCGAACGAGCTAACCTGAAGGCAAGTGAGCGGAGCGAACGAGCTCCAACCTAAAGGTGAGTGAGCGTAGCGAACGAACTTCAACCAGGACGTGATTGAGCCATGCGAACGAGCTCACTTGTGAAGTTAAACGGGGCAAAGCCCGCGGGTACAGCTAGTTTTTTTATAAAGACAAATTTCCAAAACAGTATCTATTGACGGTTTGGTTTTGACTAAATGTGTTTGGTGTCCTTTACACAAAGTCCATGGGGGTGAAGGTAGAGGAGGGGTGTGGTCTCGACAAGGTAACTTAAATTTCTTACAGTACCACAGTACCATAGATAAAACATACTCCCTTAGTAGATTTCTCATCCTTATGGAACAGCTGAAGTCAATTTTATTGTTAGTTCTGTACGGTTTATGTAGAGGTCGTGTTTTGTTTACAATTTATTTCCTGTTATTACAGTCATTTAAAATCTCGATTAACCAAATAATACGATCTAATCGTAAACAATAACTTGTCCCCTAGTTATATAACCAAACAGTAAAGGAGAGATCAAGAAATTAATCCTAAAATAATAGAAACAAAATTTCGTCGACACTAGCGCTCAGTGTCACCGTACATGAACTAGACACGAAAAACGTGCTTCAAAATTTACAATGGGATGAGAAGTCTACTTGTGTTGGTTAGTCTATGGTAGTACCTACTAGAGAAACCCGAGCAGTACCCCCTTCCTTCTAGAGAAATCTGAGCTGTACTCTCTCTTGCTACAGAAATCAAAGCATTCTGCTAGATGGCAATGATGAGCGGTTCTTTAACTTCAGCTCCCTGGAAAGATCCCAGCCCTTGATTGAAGCTAACCGCTTCACAGTTTTGCTTTTATGAAGTAGGATTTCCACTTAATAACCAATGACCAGATGTGAAACAAATAATAATTTCATAATTATGTCAGACCAAATTTCCCTTTACTAAATTTGGGACAGGATTGTAAAGGTAACTGTCTAAAAACAATCATACAATGTAAAAGTAAATATTCAATTTAAAGCAAACTTTTATTTTCTTAGTAAAGTATACATAAAACATTGAATTATTCTAATCAGTCTTATTCGAGATAAAAATTAGATGACGCAACAACATACTATTAGAAAGTACCCTAAGTAAATCTAGTCTGTTCCTATCCTTAAATAACATTATTGGAATCACAATTTTTGTTTTGTTTAGTTGAAAATTAGTTTTTAATTTAAAATTATGTCATCTGCTTGCAAAGTATGAACGAATAATACAGACTAAGTGTAAGGTAATTTTTGCCTTCAACTAAAGTTTATCCATTACACGGATCTGTTAATATCACAGGTAGATTGGAAATTGAGAAGAAAAAGATATTTGTTTGTAGCTGATGAACATTATAAATAAATTAACAAAGAAGCACTTTAATACAACTCAGTTAAACGTACTTAACGTACAGTAAGACTTACTTGTATAAACTAAAACTTACGAAATACTTTAGGTACTTAGAATATACATTCCGTACAAATGCCACTTCAATAACAGTCAACTGCATTACGATCAGATTCTCCACTGCTGTTAATATTCAAGATGTCATCCATAAGTGATGACAAATCATCACCACTTTCCGCAACCCAGTGTTTGCGGCTGGCCAATCTCTCTCTCCAACTGTCATCAGAAATGTTTAGGAAAAACTCCTCTTTTGGATAGAACTTGTTATCCCATCGTGTTTCTTTGGGTATCTCTGTGTTAACACCCTGTAAAATAAAAAAAAAAAACTTTAAAATCTATGTACACAAAATAAACCCTTTCCAAAATCTGAACTACTGTAGTTGAAATTTATGTGGTTGTTTTATGACCAAGTAAAAATTGTACTAATGTCCAAAAGTAAGTAATTTAATTAACTGCAGCATTTGTAACAGCATATAAGAAGTTAATAAATCCACCCAAACCTTAGGGTAACTTTACTTAATACCTTAATACTTTTTAATACTTTTCTATGAAATGGCGACCATACAAAGTAGGTATTTTAAGCCAAGTATGAATGGAGATGTTTTTGGGTGAACTATGGAATGTGAAAATAACTGCTGTAATGTGAAAATAACTTGTGAAAAAAGTTATTTGCAGCTATGTAAATCTAGACTGTTGTTTGTGGTACTTACATTTAATATTTTGTCTATATAGCCCCATTTTTTATCAAAGTTTATAAAACCATTTATCACTTCACTTGCTGCTTCGGACACAGTTATTTCTCTGTCATCCGCCAAATCCGACCAAATCACCTGAAACATGTTTTCTAATCAATTGTTTCAAAGAGCTTCATCCAGAAATCATTACATTTTTTAAATACATAAAGCACATGCACATGTCTTAAGGACATGCCTTTTCAGCCTCAGGTTGATTCAAATTTACAAATTGGGAACAAGAATTTGGGAAGCTCTGGGACCAAAGCCTCACGATCTACCAATAGACCAGCTCATTTCCCACATGTTTGAGCCTAGTGCCTATGGGACCAAAGCCTCACGATCTACCAATAGACCAGCTCATTTCCCACATGTTTGAGCCTAGTGCCTATGGGACCAAAGCCTCACGATCTACCAATAGACCAGCTCATTTCCCACATGTTTGAGCCTAGTGCCTATGGGACCAAAGCCTCACGATCTACCAATAGACCAGCTCATTTCCCACATGTTTGAGCCTAGGGCCTCTGGAACCAACCCAGCTCAATCCCCACACATTTTTGGGCTAAGTCTCAATAGTAAAAAGAATTTAAATTTTATATCATTGCATAAAGATTATAAGGTTGATTCCATCACAGACCACCTTTAATGTTGAAATACTAACCTTGAGACAACCAATGGAACTCAGAATGTCCATGACTTCGATTATTTTTGAAACTCCATCTTCAGTTTTCGGGATAATGGAAGAGTGCAGGTAGAATGAATCGATAGGAAGGCCTATGTCTGACAAGTGTTTGACAACAGTACTTTGCCAAAACCTCAACGTTGCTTTCTTCACTTCCCAGTCCAGCTCCTTTGTCGAACATGTAAAAACTGCATCAAACAGCTTCTCTTGCATGCTACAGTACAATCAATCAGAAATAGCATCTAATATAAAATCTGTAGTAGTAATTTAAACTCGTAAGATGTAATGTTAGAATACTGTGTATTTTACTACACCGACACACACGAATACGTATTTCATGATGACGGATGAGTGTTGAATGAGATGGTGGCTTTGTTAATAAGATCTTACGTCTCTTAAGTCAGCACCATTTTTAAAAGAAAAGGGTATCTTGATCCACTTTTGAACTATGAAAAAGCTTCTCTCTTTTGGCAACTTTCTCTTTGCTAGGTCAGCACTCAGCAACCCATTTGTACAGCAGACGCTTGCTCATCCGGAATATTAAACATATAGATATAAAAGCAATATAGAGCGTCAAAGGAATTTGTTAGCTGGCAGACCATTATGCTGTGTTTGGTGTTTTCTTTTGTTTCAGTAATGATTTTAAATGGTAAAATTAAAACAATGTATCAACCAGAAAATAGTGCTATATTGCATTGTATTTTAGCTTATTTAAAATGGATACAGTTACTTGTGCATCTTACTGTGTTGCCATTTAATAACACATTGAGCTCAAGGGGCAGTATGTCCCGACACTGCTGAAGATGCTAAAATGGCTTAAAACAGTGTTTAAAAATAAATTGTTTAGACCTTTACACTGATGCTAGATTATTGAAAGTGTGGGACAAATTACCTAAGGGCTCTGCCCCACAGGCTGATTTCCAAAGGGCTACGCCTGGCATGCTTCCAATGTTTAAATGATTTAATTTAATTTAGTTAATGAAACAGCTGGTCAGTACAATCAGAGATAAATCATACTCCCTTAGTAGATTTGTCATCCTTATGGAACAGCTGAAGCCAGTTTTATTGTTAGTTCTGTACGTCCAACTGTAGAGGTTATGTTTTGTTTACAATTTGTTTCTTGTTATTTCAGTAATTTGAAACCTCATTTAACCAAATAAAACGATTTAATCATAAACAATAACTGGTCTCCTAGTTATATAACCAAATAGTAAAGCACAAATCATGAAAATAATCCTAAAATAATAGAAACAAAATGTTGTCTACCCCAGCGATCGGTGTGGACGTACATGAACTAGACACGAAAAACAAGCTTCAATATTTACAATGAGATGAGGAGTCTACTTGTGTTGCTTAGTCTATGGTACAATGAACTGGTGTTTGTTTATTTACTCAAAAAATATGTTTGTGGTGTAGATTGAGGAGGGTTATGTTTGGTTTTAAAGTGAGGTTGTATACGTTTTGTAAAGTATTGCCTTTGACTATTAATACAACAAAGTATTGCTCAAAGTTTCATTTTTTAATTTATATAGTAAGCTACATGTGAAGAGGCTTGACTAAAATTGAAGAATTATGGTAAAACATTCCATTCATGAAGCATCAGTATGAAGCAATTGATGCTATTGCTACACTAAGGTATGTTGTCATATTCTTATGGATCTATTAACATCAAAAGTAGGGGTTTGAATGTATGGAGGTTTACGCTTTTAAATCAGTTTATATTTTCAAACTAAATCATAGAGTTGCTGTATTTTAAAACACACATCAGCACCACTTTTATAGATCTCTAGGTCACATTTTCTTCCCGTTGCAAAGCACAGGTATAGCAGCTTGTTAATTCTGAAATTCCTTATATTAATTTTATTGTAAAGCTTTAATTAACAGGTTGACATGTTATTTGAACATAAAATTTATCTAGCTTTCTTTCAACCCCACACATTTTTCAGTCATACTGAATACAACAAAAGCTTGATACAAAAACATAATTGGGATTAGAGGTCTTTTTTATTTGCAAACAAAAGTCAATAAACTACTTAAACAAACGTAAAACAGTAGACTCCTGATTGACCATGATTGTAATGTTTATAAAAAAAAATATATATATTTAAATATATATATCATGCGAGTTAAATGTATTTTATACAGAGCAAGATATTTAGTGTGAAGAGACACATCAGACTATAGACTTGCCACTGTTTGCTTCACTGACAAGTGAATATCTATTTACAACCAATGGAGGTAAAAAGTTACATTTTTGTGTATTTTAGTTTTTGTTATTACTCGGCTACAGGCTCTCCAATATAATTTGTTTTGTACGTAGAAGTGTGTGAAATAAAGCCGATGAATATAAACTGCATTTGAAACATTTTATTATTACCTAAACCTGAATGAAAGCTTTATAAATTCAAAGTCAATGTTGGTTAGTTCATGGACAGTTTATGTTGGTTTTGCACTATCGACGAACTCTTAGCTACACATTATTGTGGATATAGGGAGTCTACTGTGAAAATGTGGTCTAAATGAAAATGGGAAGTGAAAACTTGCAAAATATATATTTTATCCTTTGGAGATGTTTTCTAGCAAGTCCTTACCAAACATTGTTGATGAGGCCATTGAGATACATTGCAGAAAGCAGATCACACGCTGCCGTTCTCGGCTCAGGCATCTCATCTTCCAACAACGTTGTAAATGCTAGGTCCTTCAAAATGGTTTGAAATTATTAAAATATCCAATACTTATAGGGTAGACAATTAATGAATAAGCCAACAAAAATAATCTTAAACTAATACAAAGATTTTACATTTAATTTGAACGGATTTATTTTGATAAAGTTAATTGATTTTTTCCAGCACGAGGCTGATTGAAGTAATGAAAGATTGTTTCATAAAATTAAGTTATACACTTGAGTTGTTTCTGTTGAATATAGTTTTGTATTTAACTATATAAATTTGTATTTTTAGTGTTTGACATTTGAGTTGTTAGTTTAGTTGTCTTTGAGATGTATGAAAAAAGCAAAATAAAAAACCCTCACACTGTTAGTATATTAGTTAATGACAACTATTATTCTCCTAAAATTTTATTCACTGTAATCTCTGTTAACAATATATTTAAAGTCATCAAAATGTTGTATAACTAAAATCATGTCAGTAAGAAAATCTTTTAATAGTTTTAATAATCAACTGTTGAATACAATAAATAATTCAATAAACAACAAAACGAACCAATCAGAATGACCATGTAACCAAGGAAGGACCCACTAGAAAAACAGGCCATGCTGCTGCGTGGGCAGCGCAACACTACGTCACAGTGGTGGATAGTTGTACTACATTAAAATTCTAACAAACAGCAAGCGTATTTGCCTAAAACATATGGGATATATGACAGGGAATCTATCCACAAGTGTGACGTCATGGATCCTGCAGCATTGCCTGTTTTTCTAGTGGGGCCTTTATGTAACACACCGTAACACTTGAGCAAACCCCACCCCCTAACCCCTTGCGTTATGTAACTCGATCGTAGTAGACTTTAATAACAGTTTAAGCATAATAAATTTTACTAGAGGAATATGGACAGTCATTAAACTTGTAATGACTGTTGTTAAATAAACTTTTTACTTTTTATAATCAAAGCAAAATTGATAAAAACAAACAAGATTGTTTGACTAATCTTACTAATATTAAAAATGTGAAAGTTTGGGTGTTTGTTTGTTTGTTTGAAATTCAATCACACATTGACTACTGGATGGATTGGGCTGAAATTCTGCATGATGATAGCTCTTATTCCCGAATAACATATAGGCACATTATTATCTCAAAAATCATTTCGGGCTCCGCCCCAGTGGCTCTGCAGTTCCCCATGTTAACCTTATGAGTATTCATATTTAAAGGGAATTAAATAATTAAGTCAACTGTTTCAACTAAAAAAGTTGGTTCTATGATATATACAGGGTGATTGATATAAGTGTGCCAGCCGTTTTATTCGAAAACTATAAGAGATATCAAAAAAAGTTAAATGGTAAGTGCCTTGGATATTTTATTAAAAAAATTGTAGTCAAGTCAAAAAAATTATTTTAGCCGCCATTTTTCCAATAGGGCCGCCAACTTTGTTTTTTCTTACGGAACACCCTGTATTTTATGATGTATTCTGGTAGAAAAAGTAATTTTAAGACGATTTTATTCTTGTGATTTTTTTCATAAACCTAACCGTTTCAAAGATAATAATGGTTAAAAATTTCTGCATGAGAAAGAGTTTCGATAAAGGCCTGAGCAAGCATACCAGCTGTTTTGCTCGAAAACCATTCAAAATTTCACAACTTAAACCATTATTATCTTTGAAACGGTTAGGTTTATGAAAAAAATCACAAGAATAAAATTGTCTTAAAATTACTTTTTCTACCAGAATACATCATAAAATACAGGGTGTTTTATAAGAAAAATCAAAGTTGGCGGCAATATTGGAAAAATGGCAGCTAAAATATTTTTTTTGACTTTACTATAATTTTTTAAATAAAAAATCTAAGGCACTTACCATTTAACTTTTTTTGATATCTCTTATAGTTTTCGAATAAAACGGCTGGCACACTTATATCAATCACCCTGTATGCAAACGCATTAAAAAGTTGTAATATTTACCAACAGGGTGCAGCACTATTATTTTATTGCATTTGTGAAAACAGCTAATTTGAACTAAGCAGCAACAAAAATCTGTGATACGCAATGTGAACTGTCAAAGTAGGATTGTTTACAGCTATGTTTTTGTTTTTAATTTCATTTGTGATATTTTGCGAATTTGTAATAGTTTATTTTTCTCTATTGTTTAGGTGAAGTGGTAGAACATTATGGCAATGGTAGATGTGGTATACTATAGTATACAGTAAATTTAAAGAAGCAAATTTTATCAAACCGTGTCCTCCCCCATTGCAAATGCTAGGTCGAGTATAACTGCAATAAGCATTTTATACTTATATGCCAACCCCGTACGAAGGACGGGTACTCTGCTAGTAATATAATAAAACAACAAAATAAATTATCTCAATTAAAACGTAACAAATTTCATTTGCAACTAATAAAATTTTTTTAGATAAATGGAGAAATAAATAACAGTTACATTGTTAAGGACTAAAGAACAAAATAGAAGATTTAGGCTACCAGTAATAACATGAAATAAAATTAAAGTAAAAACTAAGGTAAATGATAAACAGCTGTTTGGTAACAAATTTCTCCACAGAAAATATAATTTTGAGATTGTAAAACTTGTTCATGTTACATTTTTAGATTTACTGTTATTAAGGTAGCATGAAGGACGTGGACATATCTTTTTGTATAGGTAACTAACTGATTTAGATTTCAATTTGATTTTTTTGTATTTTTAAAGAGGAATGTGTGCGTTATCTTATGTCTTGTTGAGCCAAACCCCACTCACCCATGTAATGTAGCGTAAGGCTATGTCACACCCCCTCCCCCCTCTAAGTTTGTTACGTAATATGTTTATGGCCCCTAACCCCTTAGTCTCCTCTCTTGGAAAAGAATTAGCACATATTTAAATATTAACCATCAGCAAGGACTTTCTGCTGAAACAACCTGTCCACAACTGCCCTTTCTCTCTTCCTCCTGTCTCATGCCCTCTCTTCTTAGGTCTCATTGTACTAGGCTGCGGACCTGCTATGGCGCAAACAACACAGATCTATCCCTTGTTACGAAGTATAGTAAACTTAACAGTAGCCTACTCAATGAAATAACTTAGCAATTGAAATAGAAAACAAGTTTTTATTCATAACTTAAGAAGCAAATATATGATAACAAGGTAAATTAGTTCCTAATTTGGCAACTTACACTCAGATCCTTTATTGAGAGTTTATCTATGTAGTTCTTGGTAGTCACAACTTGGCTCATAACCTTAAGCGCAGAGCTTCTTACATACGATGAAGAATCTTTGGTGACTAATTCCAAAACAGGACAAAAAATACCTCCTTTAAAAATCCCTGCAAAAATTGTATCCAATTATAATAAGGAATAGGACCTGAAAACACTTGATTTTATTACTTGCTCAGATTATTATAATTTTTTTTTTTGCAATAAGGATTGTTTCATAAATATATCGCGCATAAACTATACAAATTTGTAATTTCTTAAAATGTTCTTTTGTCGAATAATCTCATTTAAGCTTAAGCATCATAATTGTGATAGCCTCTTTTTGCCACTTCAGAATGCCATCCATATTTAATTTTTTTGTTGACCCATGCAATGCTAAAACCGAATTCAAGATGAGAGTAAATGTGAGCAAAATACAGTACCTTTTAGGGTTTTCAAATTACAATAAAAGGACATTTTTGACAATGCAAAAATTCTGGAGTTATTTTTAATTAAAACTTTCTGTGTGTGTTTATCCCAATTAAAATTTTCACCTATTGTTAAACCCAGAAAGTTGATTTTATTTTCCTTTTTAATTTTAAGTTGTAAGTTATTGTTGGCTCTTTTGTAATTTTGTTCTGTGCCGTTCTGAAATTTATAAATATTGTTTTTTGTGAATTTAACAATAAGTTATGATTGTAAAAATAGTTTCCAATATTCTCTAATTCTACATCATGTAAAAATTTCAGTTTCTTCTGGAGATACAATCAAATTGGAATCATCAGCATAAAGACATAATTTAGAATTTTGCTTGTAGGTTGAAGTATCTATTAAAGTACATAAGATAGAAAGATTTTACAACCATCCCTTGAGTTAATTTTTTTGTTTGTTTTTCATTTTCTTAAACTATTAACATTATTTGGCTAAGTCCGGCACTACTGAGAGGCCATTGAGCATCTCAGAGTGTGTAAATGCATTTTTACCTCATCCCTAAAAAAAATATAAAATATAAAAATAAAAAATAAAATATTTTAACACTCACTCAGGTCTCCAACTTGAACTGCAGATTGATAAACTTCCAGTAATCCGTTTCTAATTTCCCAACTTGACTGGGACTGATCATTTAAAATTTTCTTTAAAAGCCAGAAAATATTTCTCATCGAAAATAATATATGTTCATTAAATTGTAAACGATCTTCTGATATGTAGAGTGAAAACTTCATATTTATTAGGCTATTTAAAAGTTGAAGAGTGCTTGCAGTAATCTGAAAAACAGGGTTATTTGGTGTACTTAATTATTCTTTTTAGAACCTAAAGAGTTATAGTTGAAATACATTTTTTATCGAGACAAATCTAGGGCCTTCTGGTCATTTTTAAAGACTTAAATTATACAGGAGCAGTTCAGCTACTAGACAGTGAGTAAAATTCCTCTAACCAAATTCCTTTAGGACTTTGGACTTTAACTTCATTAGGGCTCTTCTTAATAACTGTGATTGTTCACGCACAAAAATTGTTACCATCTTTGATAGTTTTACAATGGAGTTCGCTCGAAATCTGGTGAGGGGCGTGTAAAATGTGTAGTCAGCTTTTACCACCGTTTTTTTAAATAGCAACTAACAAGCAAGTGCTGTGAGTACACTGAGCTAGTTTACCAGCTGATCGTGAAACAGCTGACTAAGCTTGTGAACTTCCCCTGTGTAATCAAGCCTTAACTTTCAACAATTCTAGAAAGAGATAAACAAACATAGCTTATCTCAAAAAAATATTCTGTTGGTCTATCAAAGAGTACCCCAGGCCATAAACTTGTTTGTTTCCTACTTATAAAAAAAAAAAAATTAACTGGTTGAACTATTGTGTAATTTATTTTTGAATTAGCTTTTAACAACACTTCAACAACACAACACAACATCAATCACACTACAATCACTATTGTTTTATATATATATATATATATCCTTATATATAATACATGAAGGCGATTTCTACGAAACACTACTCCCCCGTTAATAATGAACGGATTTTTATAAACGACGTGTCAAAATAAAGTATTTTTTGTGTAGACGCCCCCTTTCACCAATTCCTGTAATAAAAGTCCTCAGGCTTTGCACCACAGGCCATCAAACTCCCAATGTATTTCTTATGAAGAAAAGACTTTGTTTACTGAGACATACGAATAATTTGTATTAATTACAGCTGTTCGTAGTAAACATAGTATACACACAAGAGCGTTCGTTTTCAGAGTGAGTTCGTTGTCAGTTTTGATTACTGGAGTGGAGTCATTGATCACATTATCTTGGGTTTGCCTCTTTTACATAGGAAATTGTGAGTTTTAGGGTTATTCGTTTTGAAGTAACGCATGTAATACTTTTAAATTGCTCGAATTCAAGCAACAGTTGCACTAGTATATATATAATATATAATTTAACACTAACTAAGAAGTTCAGAATAGTCATGAATGGTCATATTATACACAAAAGTTTTAACAAAAGATGAAATTAATTATAAGTCAGCTTAAGTCGATTTGAAAGTGAGTTATGTCCGGTTCCATTTAATCAACATGCCTACAATCAATTGTTATCAAACGAAACACAATAGCCTCCTCTAATACACATCATGTTGCCGTGGTAATAACAAACGTAAACATTAAACATAAACATTGTGCAAATGCTTCATTCCCTAATTAGTGTAACAGCTGTTTACAAGGGTGTTGCAATTTTTGTCTCTATCAGATGAATCTAAAAAATTTGTAATAATCTTATAAAATTACAAAACTCCTGGGTGTAAATGCAAACAAAATATAAATTGGTCTGACAATCAAATTCATCCATTTGGCATAATATGAGCTCATCTCTGGCTAAAGCACTGTTTGGTCTGAGAGTGGTTTTTTTATCTTCGGGTTTGCATGCAGCTATTGCTGCGTATCATTCTTACTGGACTTCCTGTGTTATTATCTCATGGGGCAGATCCCTCATTGCCAAGGGTATTTTTATTTTACAAAAAAGGCAATACAAATGTTAGCTAATACTAATCGTTTTTAGTGTTTTTCTTGCCGCCCCCTTTACATTAAGATGAAACTCTTTATGACTCAAGCTGTTCATTTTTCAATTGTGCATGTTTGTAAAAAGAAATTATGAGAAATTTGTACCATCAATATAACATCCAACACAGGAGTAATCTGCAATGTCCTGTGCATAGATCATAGGTAGGACAATTTACAATTGCCTCCCAGAACAAATTAAAGCTGAAGAAAATACATATTTTCACCTATCAAAAAAACTAAGACTATCTCATGCTCTCATATCCCACAGAGAAGTAAGATACAGAGGGAACTTTTAATGGTATACTTAAGTAGTGTCTAGCACCAGTTGCTTGTGTCTAGATAAAATTAATTCTATTGGTCATCCCTTTTTGCTCTCCTTTCCCCCTCACCATCTCATACTACAGTGCTCACATTGTAGTAAGAGCCTGTGTGCTACAATAGCTGCCTGTTGTAAACAAGAGCTGTTCAGGCTCTTCCTTCGTTGGTACTAACATATTTCTGTCCCACCATTCCAAAGCTAAAAACACACAGTTGTTCCATAAGCATTATTATTCTATATCTTACTTCTCTGGGTATGTCCTTACTTCCTAGACGATTTTCTATATTAGTTTAGCATAAGAAAATATTTGAATTAATATACCACATGTTTAAATGTGAATAATTACAGTTTTAGTACATTTGATAAACATTTCATTTCATTTCCTCCAATTGAGATACTCGATCATAAGTGGTTAAATCCCAAAGCATCATTGTTAAATTAGGTAATTGTGCTTAAAAAACACTAATTTTAGTAACATACATACCCAAACATCGTCACCTCTTGTAGCTAATAAAAGTTTTTCGATGACATTTAGAACTCTTTGGGTGTCATAGTGTGAGCTTGTTTTGACAATTTTATTGATAGTTGAAATCATACGTAAAAGGAGCGTTCTGAGTTGTGTGTAGAAAGGGCCATCCCTATCGGAGCAAAGATCTCCCAACACTCCAATAATACAGCATAAAAGTTCCCTGGATACTCTTTCCTTCTGAAAATTATGAAAAGATGAATAATATATTTATTAACACAGAAAACCAACATGTACAACACAGGAGACAGTGGAATGTGAGAGCTATTAATTAGGGATGTGTCAACTCTCGATACTACCGATAGTTACTGTCCAGAACATCAGTCACTTTCCATCGATGCATCGAAAACATCGTTTATCGATGCACATTCATTTACATCACACCTGCGATCTAGTCCGTGGAATCATCGCTCGTGTAAACTGATGTGTCACCGGGTCGCGAGGAATGCTAGTCAATGCAAGTCAACTTGATATGTCGCTCGTGTGAACCCTTCCTCTTTGAAAAACACTTTAAACATATGTACTCTTTGCTTTTGCTTACGTTAGAAAGTTCTTTCCATTATCTACCACCACTGGGACCAGCTTTGTTCTGCAAGATTTGTACTAACTGCACCTCGCGGTCGGTAAAGATTTGAACAGTTTACTGCAAAAAAATACTAACAAGATGAAACCTAAACATTGAAATCTACCACCACTTACCATCTTTAATGTAGATTTACAGTCTTAAGAGTTAACGGTAACTTATAAGTGTAAATTTATGTTTTAAGTGTTAGTCATATTTTCTTTTATTTACTTTCCATTAAATTAGTGCAATAAGACGTATTTCTAAAACTTATCATAATTAAATATGTAATTTAAAATCTTCAGTTGTATCTCCATACATGCAGGTAAGACTATTTCCGTGATACAGGCAGATCATGTAAATTTCCTTTCTTAACATATTGTGTAGATGTGTCAATCAAATTATGTCTTTTTCCGTCAAATTGGCAGTACTGTATTATGAATCTGCTTCACAGTACTAATTCGTGGTCGAGATCAATCATTTTTAGATGCTGTATACTATGAATCTTGGTGAAGTTCGGTACCTAATCTAATATTTGATTGTTTTCATATTTTCTTAAAAATGAGTCAGCATAATAGTTATTTATTGGTTTGTGGTAGACATTATGCAGACTTTAACATCGCTAATAACGAAGAATGCGCTTAACAAGCATTTTAAAATGTCCGCTATGTGGACTTAGTTTCAATTTGTATTTTTTTACCATGATTTAAAATAACTAATATTAACTACAGTTTCCTACGTGATTCTTGATATAATTTAACACAGGCTTACAACTCATGTCAGAGCAGAAAGCTAACTCTTGTTAGCGGGAAGGGTGAAGAGAGTGACATAGCAATGACAGGACGCAGTTTGTATCAAGGATTAGTGGGTCGACGAAAACATTTTACTGACCGCAAGGGGCTTCATTTTGTCAGCGTTTAGCTTGGAAACATTGTTTTGGTAGTAAAGTACAAAGTAGAAAGTCTTAGAATTTGTATCAAACAGTTGAGAACTTAGCGGTGCCGGTGCTTATGACTGGGGCGCGACGCATCGAAGGGCGGTGCTACGCGTATGCTTTAAGAAGCCTGCACGTGCTCTCTTTGCCGACGCCCCACACTTCATCAGCTCGTTTAGATGACTAAACCAGATATAAATTTAAAAACCTTACAAAACATGTTAGGCTATATCAGCAATGCGGGGGGGGGGGGGGGGGAGCTGAGAGGGCCCACGAACGGGTGAGCGGGAAACGGTGAGCAGATGAGAGGCTGGTGAGACGAGTGGGGCCGAAAAATTGGAGTTCATTCTTGTCTAAATTTATTATCAATCATTCAATAATTGTATTGAACAAGTAATAACATTGATGTTATTAATAATATGTTGTTATCAGTTATCGTTTAATTTCGTTAGGCCACTTCAGTGATAACGAACTAGGGTAACAAATTTAACGTGTTGTAACGTGGTTCTTTGATTATTATGCAATCTTACTTTCGTCACAGAGAATTATTTTACTTCTCGGTGATTTTGTACACTGCTTATGTCGTCTGCAAACATTTTGAAACATCAAGTTACAGTACTTTGGAGCCTGAAGTCATGAATGTTTGGCTGGGGATTTTAATATTGTATTATTTTATATCTTAGTTTTGCCATAATATTGATTGTATTTTGTATTTTTAAATACACTATACTGCTACCCTACTGACTGTGTTTGTTAGCCCATATCTTATTTTACCTCACAACTAACCAATACTAAAGACATTTGTTGTAAGTTAAACGCTTGAAATCCATACAAAGATTAAAAAAATGCAATAGGCTATTTTAGCCTGTGTGATAAAAGTGTGTCAATCTATTAAATTATAACTAGCTTTTAGTACATGAGTTAATTATAACCAAAGATTAAACTAACCTAATAAATTAATAATTTAATACTTTACTTTGAAATGGCAACCATACCAATGTAGGTATTTTAAGCCAAGAATTAATGGAGATGAGTGTAGGATGAGTGGCCCAACCTTTTAGTTTTGAAAGGGACTAAGGCCGACATATTCCTTAGTCACAGCTTTTAATTAATAGCCAATACAGCCAAAGACAACTAAGGGGCTTAGAGTTTATAGGGGAATTCGAACCACATTTTTGCCTTGTAATTAATGAATTAGTCTAATAATCAGGGTAGGCTAATAAAAATGGATAACATTTGTGATAAAATAGATGTAAAACTTCCTTGATACAAACATTCTGATACCTACGAATGGAAAATAAGTTTTTTTTATTTGATTTCAAAACTATTTACAAACACTGATATTGATATAATGATGTAACATTTTCATCAAACCACAACTGAAATACTTAACACACCCTTTTATGGAACATAACCCATAACTTATTTACTACTTTTTTATTATCAATCTGTTTGATCATGGTGGTCCAAAAATAACTCTGGGGGGGAGGGGGAGGGCGTTAGATTATGTTGTATCGGTGGTCTAAAAATAACTCATGAGAGGGGGCCCAAAAAATAAGTTTGCAGGGGGGCCCGTAAAAATTTGTTACGCCACTGGGCTATATCTCTTTGAAAATAATGTTAAATCTATTTGAAGCATCTATATCAAATTAAGACAGAGGCATGTGGGAAATCTAAGGTTTATTTGAGTTTCTTTTTATATATATTAGATTTAATGTATGGAATACCTACTACTAACTATAAATATATTTATTTATTAATATATATTATATTATTAATATACATTATTTAATTTATTATTTTCTTTAGAGAATACTAAATAAATAACAATTGACATTATTAACAAACACCTTTTCACCACACTATGATGTTTTTAGCTGTTCTACATACGTTTATTGGTGGCTGAAAGTTACGTTTTGCTGGCCATGCCAGCTGTCATCGTCATTTGGGGACGGAGCAGGTTTTTACATCCCTAGGGCCGCAAAATCAGCTGTCCGTTTGAATTTGGGTATCACTTAATATTAGAATGATTTTAATTCCCAGTATCTTTGTACCAATTTTTCTCTATCTGTATTATTTTTTTGAAATATTTAACTGTCTGGGGTATTTTTTCCTCCCTGTATATTTTCAACCAATATAAATTAGATATTTTTTATTTGTGTAAATAAAGTTTAAATATGTTTGTTATTTGTAGGATGGTATAAACACACAAATTAATACATTAAACCACACTACCAGCACAGGGCCATATTTAGAATCAATGAGGCCCCTGGCGGCTCTCACCAGAGAGGTCCCTCTATATTTTAATTCTTCAAATGTTGGAACATAAATTGCTTCAACTCGATAAATTGACCTTTTGTTTCCAACAATCCGGTTGGCAAACAGACCTAGGAGACTAAACTAATGAATACTAAGTCTATTATATTTTAAAATAATAATATTAGTGGGTCTTAGTTCGGGGCCAGACATTTTTCACTTCTTTCTACTTGATTCAAAAATGTTAACCTTTGGGCATTGGATAACAATCGGCTGGTTTTGGAATTAAATTATTTATAATATATTATTTAGGTATTTTATTGATGTACTATAATTAGTTCATACAAAATCTGTAATCGCAGCCGAATTGTAAGCGTCTTTTGTGGTTACAGTAAAATCGTGGACATCTGCTGCGGTTGGGGAGGGAAAGTGAAAATCTTCTATGTTCACGGCAAAATAAAATCATCATGCACAATCGCGAAGGCATCATCTTTGTCTCGCCGATCGCGGCAAAATTCATGAATGTCTCCTATGGCCGCAAAATTATAGTTAACATCATGCGCGATCGCAGCAACATCATCTTCGTCTTCTCGGAGACATTATCTTCATCTTCTGCGATCGTGGTGAAATAATAAACGTCTCCTATGACCGCGGAGAGATAGTTATCATCTTGTGCAACCCCGGAGACGTAATCTTTTGTCTCATCTGATTCCAGCAAAATCATAAACGTCTGATGTGGCCGAGCATAAATAGTGAACTTCTTTCGCGATCGTGGAGATCTTAGTCTTTTGCGATCACTAAAAAATCATGAATGTCTTTTATGGCCGTGGAAAAATAATTAACATCTTATTTAAGTGTGGAGACATCATATTCGTCTCTTACCATCGCGGCGAAATCATGAACGTCTCCTGCGGCCGAGGAGAAATAGTTAACAGTTTGTGGGGACATGATATTAGACTCCCGATGTCGCAATAAAGTCCTGGATATCTTCCGCGATTGCGGATGAATAGAGACAAACTCCTACGTTAAAGGTGAAATAGTGAAAATCTTCTGCGGTTGCGCAGATTTCATCAACGTCTCCCGCGATCGTGGCAAAACAGATTATGGTGAAAAAGATTTATCAAGAAAAAAATTTGATGCACCATTTGAGGCTCCCTCGTAGGCCGAGACAACCGCCGTGTCCGCTGTTAGGGAAATACGGCCATGTACCAGCAGCCACATATTGGTAGTTTTCTGTGGCTGTTATCATTCCGCGATGCAATTGCAAATTTGTCTTTAATCTATGCGCTACTAGGCCTACAATAAATCTCCTACAGAAATTTACATTTACTCACAGTAGTTTTATGAAGTAATTTGCCTTGGCAACTCTCTAAGGCATTAACTGCCCAATGACAATATTGTACAAGTGTTGGCTTACTACATGTTTTGAAATCTAAAAATTTTATGATTTGCATTTTGCATATAGGATCACAAGATTTGTGCTGAAGGGGGTAAGACCATAGAAATAAAACCTGAAACAAAAATCAAATAAGAAATAAATAAAACTATCTATTAAGCACGTGTTGTTGTATCTGTTCTACAAAGTTAAATATAAAATAAATATCAAATAACAAAAATCAAATTAAATATTTTTTTATTCATAATATGTACGTATGTACAATAAATGAAGTCAGATCTAATAAAAAATAAACTAATTACCGGTACATTAAAATTTGCTTAGTTACAATTACAGTAAATTTAAATAATACCTACTAGGCCCCTTGCTTTATTTATACTAGCTGTTACCCACGGGCTTCAACCCATTTGACTTCATAAGTATTAATAAAACTATTGATTGGTTAAGTTAAGCTGAAATAAACAAAACAGATTACAGCATTACAAACAAATAATCATTAATCCCACCAGATTTTAATAAGGTAATAAATTGAAAGAATAATAACATACAAATAAGAACAGCTGAGGTATTTAACATTATAGAAAGTTCCCTTTGGAAAGCAATTATGACCTTAAAGGGCAATTTGTGAAAAAATGGATAGTTTTGCGCAAGGTTTCTCGTCATGACGAACATTAAGTATATGGTATATGGGGGTGTGACTTGTAGTTTTCTCAAAAGTTCATATGGGTACTTTTGGCTTTAGCACATATAGATATTTCATTAATTGAATAACAAGAAATGTTCCCAATCATAAATGCATTAAAATTGTTATTGAATTTCTTAATGATTAATGCTTTTACAAGTCACACACTTTAGCATGAGACTGTAAGACGTTTATGCATGTTCTAAAAACTGTGGCTGTGTTCATAATATGTAAACATTTGAGAGCAGCACAGAAAACAACTAAATTGTTGGTGAACAGACATTCAGTTCACTTAGAGCAAAAATCTGTGCAATGATTCTTGTACTATATAAATGGACACTGTGGTTGTCACAAAATGTTAACCAAAGACATTTTACTGTCTTGAGTAATAAGTACGGCAAAGAAATTGAGTTAAAGTTGAGCAAATAAATTAAAGTTAAACTGATTTTGAATCTGGTTGATTTTCATTCAAAACTGACAAGCGTCTACAATATCAGCTGTGGCGGGTAGATATTTATATTTGCGAGGAAAAAATAAATTAACAACCAATGGAGGAGTAATGTTCCAGAGAAGCTAGATAAAAAATAAAATTTTCACGTTTTAGTTGAAACAGTTGTGGAAGTGGAATGAAGCGAACACTCTAACCAAGTCGAAGCTTTCTTAGCTTAGTCAAAGAACCGAGCAGTTGCTCCGTTGTGTTTTGGTAATTTCTAAACAATTGTATAAAAAACACAAAGAGAAAAGAAAATCACTAACGGATTTGTAAACACCTAACCGATGCATTGAACTGTGTGAAGAAAAACTACTGTTAAAAACTAATTCTGTACTCCCCTATACGGTAGACTAATTCCATTGTGAAAAATAAAAAATGTGATATTAAATCACAACTAGGTTGGTTAATTTCCCACATTAACTGAAGACTTGAATATATTTGAACGTGTTAAATATATTTTGAACACATATATTCAAGAAAATAAAAAAAAAACTAAAAGCAGAACTAAAAATAGGCTTTACATTCCTCAATCCAGCTCAAATGTTGTAACTACATTGGTTACGGCCGTTTCAGCATTACAATGTCATTACAAACCACGATATGAACAATCTGAACCCTGGCTTAGAAATACTCCACACAAGTAAGAAAGGAAATAGACCCTAGAAGGGTATGAAATATACAAAGCTTGCGCCGAAAATAATTTGGACGATATAATTTTAAACGACAAACTACAGTACCGGTACGAATCTTAATTTATATTCAATAGCATTTTTAATCAGAAAAGGAACCCGAAGCTAGGAGTACAAAGTTCAAATGATAACGCCACCACACCGGGCACGACATAGGAATCCTCCAGTCAGCGTAAGGGAAAATGTCAGCCAGTACAGTTTGTAAGACAGGCCTGATTGTTTTTGTAAATTTTACTCGTATTGTTCGTGTGTGTTATGTATTCTAACTTCAACGACGCTACATCAGCCGAGATTTCGTTGTCTGACGATGGCATTGTAATGCCAAAACGGCCGTAACCAAGGTAGTTACAACATTTGAGCTGGATTGACGAAGGTAAAGCCTATTTTTAGTTAAATTACGGTTCAAGGGCTAAAATATGGATTTTAATAAAAGCAGAAATTGCAAATGCCTGTTCTTGTATTTTTGTTGTTATAGTTTATGAAAACAGCTAAAAAGTAGATATTTTCAGCCAACGACAAAATCTGTGTAATCTGTATTTGAATATTACAAACAAAAGTCTTTAAACATTTGGTTTTGTATTAAACTTCTTTCTTATTAATGTGTTCCTCAAGAAAAAAACCTGAAAATGACTGTGAATAATAACAATGCGAACAATAACACAAAAGCGAAATAGGGTATCAAGAAAATACATACCAACATGGAGATTAAACAATTTTCCAAGTGAATGGAAATGGAACTTAGAATTCTTGGTGTTAATTTATATTTATAGAAACATCCCAAGCAGAAAACAGCCAAGTCCATAACAGAGGAAAATTGTCCCAGAGATAAAAACGTCTCAGTAGCATTACATATTAATTTGTCAACAATGACATAATGCTGGAAGCTAGAGAGAGCGTCCGAGGTGAAATTAGAACATCCCAATGTTATGACCAGCTTACAGAACTCTAGATAATCCTGCAACAAAATTTCATAGTTAGTTTATTTTAAAAACAAAATAATTTTATTGAGTGGTGCGAGCACAGCTCCTATACCATCTGGCTTTTCTACAGGGTTGGCCAGCAGGGAGGTACAGAATAAACCACATTAAATAATTTAAAGTTATATAAACCCAGTAAAATTAATGTAGGTCAAAATATTAGATTTTACGCTTTTAGGGAATTTTCCATATAGGGTATAAGGTATTACCGTAGGTCTCATGGTGAGACCTAGACCCGGGATCGATTTACATTTTCATTTTGAGGTCCCCTGAGGCCAAAAACACCCTCCGTTCAAATTCATATGCTGTGTATAATGTTAACATTCTAACTACATGAATTTTGTATTAAAACTCAACATGTTTCATACCTTTAGAACATTTACAAGGGTATAAAATAATATGGAACCTCACTAGCCTATATATATCTTGTAAATGTCCTAAAGGTACGAAACATGTTGAGTTTATAAATAAAATAAACAGTATCAGCAATCTGACAAATAATTTCTCCCATTAGCTAGTCAACAACCTTTATCATGGATAAGCTATGAGATGTACCATATTGTACAATAGTTCAACAAATTTCAAGTCGAGTTGAGCAAAACATGTAATGGCAAGGCAAAGATGGCTTTAGCCAATCAGAATTCATCTTTGGTAGAATGTTCTAGAAGCTGATCTTCCGCGTATATAAGCCCGGTACAGTTGAAATACACGGTGACCACGTGTCTCGGTCTTAGTTCGTTGCTGTTTGATCTGTAAATTAGTAAAAAATTTCAGTGGTATCTTTTTATGTAGCTAGTTTTTTTTTAAGCCCCGACTTGGGGTTTTTATTCTTATACTTCTATTTTGGTACGAATTTATGTATTTGGAAATGAGGATTTGATAAACCGAATGTTCCATTTTTATGAAGAAGTTTTTATTTGATGAATCCCGTAGAAGAGTGTTTTATTTTATTTAATCAATGTAAATTTAAGTTGTACTGCAAAGTAGGAACAAGCGGTACAGAGAGTAACTAACTATGATATTAAATAGGTAAAATCAAATCAGAAAAGTTGCATTAACTTTTGAACCATAATTTTTACAGCAATGGGGTTGCACTATTTTGTTAAGAATTATAAGGGCCTATTTACAAGGGGGGGTTTATAAGTACTATTTTCCAAAACCGGGTTTATTTCAAAAGTACGATTTTCTCTTATTTTATGGGTTTTTTAATGGGAAAATAACATAATTTAAAATAACTTTTGAACCCTAAATTTTACAGAAATGGGAGTTCCACCTTTTTGTTCAGAATTTAAAGGGCACGAAACAGTGACTTTAGTCTCACCAAGTATTTGTGTTCTAAATGACTCATAAGCACCCAGCTCCTCCGTAGGAGTCAGTGCCGGTTCACCAATTTGTTTCCACGTAGATTTACTAATTATAGTTCTTGCAGCAGCAGTGTCATATTCCATCGTTATTGGACTACTATTTATTTTTAGGGTTACTATTTATTGTTAAGTTAACAACGTAACAACATTTCTCTCCATTATTAATGTTTTTAACCAAGCGGTGAGGCTGAAATTCTAGTTTTCTCAGACATGTCGGGACATCCATTATTTATGATGGGAAAAGTCTACATTGTCACTCAAATCTCTCATACTAGCAAACATATCAATCTGTTTAGTATTACATCTCTTAAGATTTTTCTCAATTAACACATTATTCGATTTCAGACAAACTTGTTCAAAATGCCCCATTTTCCCACAACTCTACACTGGTTCAAAGCACCTTGTGCTGTAACCCACAGACAATTATTCCCAACTCAAACCTTATGTAGTAATACTTCCATGTTTCTTTGGTAGCATCAAACTTCTCAAACTTGAAATGAGTTAAAACTATGTGTAGTATTGTTCCAGTGTTCCACTGTTACTGTAGATGATGAGTCGTCTTTCTCATATTCCTCATGTCCATGCAGCAGGGGTTCCCAGCCCCCCCAAGGGCAATGGCGCATGCCCCCCCAAACCAAGCCTAATGCCAAATGCCCCCCCCCCCAAGCATGACATCTACACTCCACCCTTTTATTTATAACATTAGTCAGTATATGTCAGTAAAAACGTGCACCTAGCGTGGTTTTGTAGGCTTCACTATTGACTCCAACCAAAGGACTATGTCACAAACATATGCAATTTTTGAAACAGACGCAGCATTTTTTTAGCTACTGGATTACACTGTGTAATTTCCCTAAGTTCACGGAAGATTTGCTTATTTCTCTTCTCTAGAGAGCAACCAAAAACTCCGAGTACGGATTTAACGGTTATCAGTCTTTGTCATATCCTGCGATTATGGTCGTGGTTATCTCCCTTGTTCACAGCAACGTTGATATTATTTCTCATGTATTATAGACACGTCATCATTATCTTCTGCAAACGCGATTTTCGTACATTTTTAAGTAGGTACATTTCTTTGTTCATCCTGTCGGCTGAACACCCCTCCACATTTTTGCATTAACATTTTGCTTAAAGAATTTTTTTCTCCTTCCCGTATTTAAAGGGCAACATCTATTACTATTGGGTTTAAAATGAAAACACAATAGGTAAACTGATTCCCGTTTTTTAAAATAAACAAATTTCACACTCATTCTTTGCTCAATTTTAGGTAGATTATTCTGTGATTTTGGTTAAAATATACCCTGATGCTTCTCTATCTCTATTGGGAAAACAGCTGGATGTGGTTCCATGGATAAGCAGCTGGGCATGTTTTACTTGAAATAAAAAAAAATGTAATCTCTAGAGCATAAGGTGACTCTTTTAGTAGACACTTTATTTGCCCTTCTGATTACCTCCATAGGGACTAAAAAGGCTTTTTACTCCCTAGGGTGTAAAAGAGCCACTTTAGACTCACAATGCATATATTAAAAATGACTATTTTTGCTGCAGTATGACAAAAATTAGTTTTAAAATTTGTGTCCATGGCATGTACGTGAGTTTTAAAGTAAAATAAGTGGGAGTGGATCTTTAAAAAATATTGGGAACAAAATTTGCATCTAGCGTATTAAATATATAGGCCTACTGTCAAAAAATACTCATAGGCCTACCTACCTGATTAACTTTTATAATCTTTCTTCAGTTTAATTTTTTTATGTATTCATTTAATATAGATAGGATCATTTATGTCAATGATAGGATTCATATAAATAGGAGTTTATATCAGGAGGCGCCAAAATTACTCTCGCAAGTCCGGCAAAAACACCTTGCACTGGCCCTAGACTAGAGTCAACCTTCAATAGTTAAAAATAGTCACTAATTTGTTTGGTACATATAGTAAAACTAATGAGGTACATTTTGCAGTGAATCATACAGTCCGAATACACGGTAACAGTGTTGTAGTATACTTTGCAAACCTACAACGGCATATGTATTTTTATAATTTACTAAGTTTAGTAATGTATTGATTTAATATTCTTTCAATGGTGATGGGGGTTATCTTTTATACTGAAACCACATGTTTGGCATTAGGCCTAAATAAACTGTGAAATTATAAAAAGACTTGGCGGTAAATATATAAGTACTAGCAGAGAACCCGTCCTTCGTACGGGGTTGGCATATAAATTTAAAATGCGTAGTGCAGTTATACTCAAGCTTTGCATTTGCAATGGGGGAGGACACAGTTTGATAAAATTTGATTCTTTAAATTGACGATATACTATAGTATTACACATCTACCAACCATAATGTTCTACCACTTCACACTTAAACAATAAAAAAAATAAATTATTAAAAATTCACAAAAAATTACAAATTATTCATGACATAAAAAAATAACTGTAACCAATCCTACTTTGGCAGTTCTCATTGCGTATCACAGTTTTTTTGTTAATGCTTAGTTCAAATTAGCTGTTTACATAAATGCAAAAATAATTATAGGCTAGTGCTGCACCCTGTTGGTAAATCTTATAACTTTTTAATGCTTTTGTATGTCATAGAACCAACCTTAAATAAGCATTAAATAGGAAAACTAAGTTGTTTTTATTCTGATCGGACTCTCGGGCTCCACCCCAGTGGCTCTGGAGTTTCCCATGTTAACCTTATGAGAAATGGAATTAATGAATCTTAACAGCTGTTTCAATTAAACAAGTTGGTTCTGTTCTATGATGTTCAATAGCATAAAAGTTACAAGGATTACCAACAGGGTGCAGCACTATTATTTCTTTTACATTTATGACAACAGCTAATTTGCAACCAAAAGGTGAGTGAGCGTAGCGAACAAACTTCAACCTGGAGGCGAGTTAGCGTAGCGAACGAGCTAACCTGAAGGCAAGTGAGCGCAGCGAACGAGCTCCAACCTAAAAGTGAGTGAGCGTAGCGAACGAACTTCAACCAGGACGTGATTGAGCCATGCGAACGAGCTCATCTTGAAAATTAAGAAGTTAAACGGGGTAAAGCCTGCGGGTACAGCTAGTTACACATAAAACCGATGTCTAAGATGCATCTGCAGTACTAGATATCAGAGGTCAAAGCACTCATCAGCTGATGGCTGCTACCGGTGCACTGATTTCGAGCACTCACTGAAGCAGCAGTAATAGGATCGCTAATCCTGTGGTGATTTCGAGCATGGGACCTCCAGGTCTGGAAGGACAATGCATCTAACTGTTCATTGATGAAATACCTTAACATCTATCATTGGTTTTGGATCCTAGGTAGCCTAAATAGATGTTCACAGTCTGAGTTAACAAAAACGTACTACTGTATTATAAATTTAAGTAATATGGTTCAATTTTGTTTTTTAATTAAATTGTGCGTGTGAAACCAAATTAAGGCATTTTCAAAGAACCAACATTGTATCTTTTGCATACTGACCCCGTTGCAAGGCATGGGTATAGTGGCTAGTTTGATTATAATTTGTGAGTATATCATTGAATTGTAATGTTGAAAAAAAGACAACACACATAACATATGTATTGAAGTTAGGGTATGTTGTCTAATCTAATCTTGCTTCAAAATATAATACCCTCACATTAAGTACAAATTACAATTTTAATCATATGTACCATCTTTTTATGTGTGGGGAGAAAAATGTTATGTAAATAAGTGATTTAAGGGGGAAAACTGAAAAAAAAAATTAAAAAAAACCAAACCGATAAAATCAGCAACTAACCCATCACTAGGTATGATAGTCAATGTTTTGATTTTACAATTTATTTTTCTGTTAAATGTTTAATAAAATGATTTCAATAAGTTAATAAAATAGTTCTTTTACAAAACACAAGGGGGAAATTGTCAACTTTAGGACAAATAATGTTTGTAACTGTGCAATAGTTTATTTTCAAAAAATGTCAATAAACTATTGTTAATTGGTGTATTACTTATGAAGACTTACCTCAGGGGTTAAAGGGCAAAGCCTGTGGGGTTCTAAGCAGAAAGCCAATTTGCATCTCAATTTCACAGGTAGTTCTGAACCCATTAAATGCAGCTCATCCACAATTTCACGCAGAAACTTTGAAACCATTAACGTATGTTTTACTTTGAGATCATCATATTTTCTCTGTTCACATTTTTTAGTAACAAAAAACATAATCTCATGAGACTCTGAATCCAGCACTGTTTTAAGGGTCAGCAGGCAGTTTGATGCATTCTTTTCAAGGATGAAGTTCAAAATATCAACACAATGTATACTGTGCTTGTTGAGTTTGCTGAGAATAGCAGCAATGAACAGAACTTCAGACCGGTGAAAATAAATGTTGTTACCTTCATAGAAACATTTTATGGCATCTTTCCAAGCACCTGAAATGCATTTGGTTAGAAATTAAAATTTGCTGGAAGAAGGGTAGTTAGCCTACCTATTATTAGTGATTATTAGTATTATTAGTGGAAATAGTGATCAATGTGTTCAAATTAAATTGCATACCTACTAATTGCATAACAATTTAAAGCAAATATTTACCAAAAAGTTTCCTGTTTACAGAATTGGAGTTAGGCTAAGTTTATAACTATATTTGTGGGTCTCCTTAATCCTTAATACTGAACATTGGTCAGCGCTTACATGCCCCCTTTTACTTTGCTTACCACTTAAACCGGCCCAGCAAAATATTCCTGAGTTAATTCTCACAAAGATTTAGTATAGAAATCGCCGGTGTCTAGTGGCATCACCGACATGTCGGATTATCAAGAGTCGACTTTATTGAATATCCGTAAAACTTAAGTTTTCTTCTAAGTTAAAGGACAAGTAGAAACGACCTTACCATTAGGGTGATTAAACACACAACCACTCGCTTATAACCTAAACAATTAGGTAGTGAAAAGTCTATAGTGTACTCTGTGGTCAGTATCACATTGTAAAATCATGTTTCAGGAGTTATAGCAGCGTCTCAAGGAGACAATTCCACATACAAGTCGTTTGAAACCAAAATTAAGAATAAGAAAAAGAAATATTTATTTCCATTGATCTTTATAAAAGAAATAGGACACGTCATTGTTATACATAGTTACAAGGTGATTCAGTGTTTACAGTACAAAATATCTAAATTTAAATAGCCACTTACATGAAAATAAAAGCTTTATTTCAACTTACTCTTCAAAATCTAATATTTATTTCACAACTTAAAAAATCATCAATTTTGTAAAAGGGATTTTTAACAATCCAGTCATACAGTTTATTTTTAAAAATACTGTAAGAAACTAATTTTGCTTCTTCAGGCAGCTTATTAAAAAACATTATACAATTTAATTTATGTGAATGTCTGGTTTTTGCCAATCTGTGCTGCAATATATCTATTTTATCCCTACCTCTTGTATAGTGATTGTGTACGTCTTTTCGGAAAGAGAATTGATCTAAGTTTGACTTTGTATATATTAGAATTTGGAATATGTAAAGATTTACTATGGTTGGTATCCTGAAATTAATGAAAAGAGGTTTACAATGTGTATCTGAGCATTCTCCAGCAATGCTTCGAACCGCCTTTTTCTGGAGTAAAAGGATGTCATTAATATGTGGAGAGTGGCCCCACAAAATAAGACCATATAGTACGTGCGATTGAAAGAGTCCAAAATACGCCAATCTTAAATATTCTTGGCTAACAAAATCCTTAAGTTTCCACAGCAAGCACCTCACTCTTGAAATTTTGTTACAAACAGATTTTATGTGTGATGACCAATTTAATTTTGAATCCAAATTAAATCCTAAAAGTTTAACTGATTCAAATTTTACCTCTGTTTTAAGACTGATTGTTATATATTGTGATTTGTCAGAATTACAAGATAGTCTGTTTGCATAAAACCAATCATATGCTCTATGTTCAGCCTCTTGACTAATTAAGCGCAGGGTTGTTAAATTAGAATGGTTAGCGAGTAAAGTTGTATCATCCGCATATATAACAGATTGTGTATTTATATTTACCGTATAGGAAGATCATTAATGTAGACGTTAAAGAAAAATGGCCCTAGTACAGAGCCCTGAGGAACACCGGTTTCAACTTTTTCAGTTTTAGAACATTTATTTTTAATTGATACCAATTGAAGTCTATTACATAAATACGAAGAAATTAGAAGCATGGCATCATTAGTGATGCCATAAAAACGTAGTTTGTTAGTTAGGATATCAAAAGGAACCGTGTCAAAAGCTTTACTTAAATCACATAAAACTAATGACACAGATTCCTTCTTTTCTAAAGTTTCGAGAGAATGGTCAACTAAAGTGAGAATTGCTGAGGTTGTGGATTTACCTCGACGAAAGCCGAATTGGGAGTTTGACAATATGTTATTTGTTACAAAGTAATTATTTAATTGATTATACATTACTGCTTCAAATATTTTGGAAAAAATAGGAACGAGTGAAATAGGCCGATAATTTTGAACCATTTTTTTATCACCTTTTTTGAATATTGGGATTACTTTCGATATTTTGAGGGATGGAGAAAAATATCCCTCCCTCATACAGGTATTCAATATAAAAGCAAGAGGGTAGCTAATAAAACCTATAGTCTTTTTCAAAATATTATTAGAAATCCAATAATAATCCATTTTGATTTAGAATTTGTTAATTTAGCAACAACTTTAATTATATCGGATGATGAGACCTCTGACCAAGAAAATGTTGTATTTGTTGAGTTGTTTCCTAAAAAATCTTCTGCTTTGTAAGGGCTTTGTGGTATTACTTTACTTAATTCTTTTATTGAATCTAAAAAATATGAATTCATTTCATCTGGGTCAAGTATGATATAATTAAATTAAAGATTGGTTCCGGCACTCTGGCAGGCAGACAAGAGGATGTACAATGATTCTAAAAAAGAACCCATCTATTTAGAGCTATTGTGCGATTTTATTCAGATTAAATCTTCAATTGTAAAGCTGTACTTTATTGTACTTATTGCCTACTGTTCTGATTTTAGTGTTATTGGGTAAACCCTGCTATCCTAGTAATTTACTAATTATAGGCCTATAATATATTATGTTAATCATTCCAGAATTTTTAGTTCCCCTTTAGATTAATGAGAATTTGTTTGCTATAGTATAACACATTTTTAGATGCATTAAAAAAATACAGTTTTAGGATGAGTAATATTTTTATATTAATTGACTTTAGCTGAGGACAAATCTATCTTGTTTATGTTAATTACCGACAGACAATTTATTATTATGTTTATTTATGTGCTCAACTTATTTGGATAAATTATTTTTTAATACCATTTAATGAGTTTCAGATGTTTTTGCATTATTGTACATAAGATGATTTAAAGCTTGCACAAAATTTACATTCCAACTATTACAGTAGCCTATAATACATATATCATTGATGTATTATTTATGTACTGTATATCGATTATGTAAACTGACCTATTAGTTATACATGTTATTTAAAAAATAAATTGGGACGTATTGATGTATTATGGATGCATTCAATATAAATGCAATACGTATCATTTACTTAAGATTTACTTTGGCTCAACGTAAATAACACATATTATATACACTTCTGTGTGCTGACTGCGACTAGTTTTAATAATCCTGTAATTAGGCCTAACTTAATCAACCAGTGCTCGATTTGCGGGGGAACGCAGTGGAACAGAGTTCTGGTACCTCTCTTTCGGAAAAATAGAATATTGGCATAAATGTACTTTAATAGGTACTAATCACATTAAATAGGTTACAGTTCTGCCCTTCATTTTTTACAAATAGAGCACTGTAATCAACAGTTATTTGCTGTATTTATATATGAGCGTTTTACTGGATAGTGCCATCTCTGTACCCACTAGGAGCTAAGTTATTTTATACAACTCCACCCTCCTCCCACCACACTCTCCTACTTGGAGTTACGATACAAGGAAACCGGCACTTTTGTCAAATTTTAATTGCATTTAATGTCACATAGTACCTATTCCTTAAAAGATTATATGAAAAAGAACTTATTTCATATTCCTTAAAACATAGTTACCTATCAAAATGTAGCAGGCTAAATAGTGATAAAAAGACCTTGGTCACAATTTGACTTTTTTAAGTTTACAACATAGTCTACAAACATTTAACAGTTAACTTATTAATTTTTATTTAACCTATTCCTTTACATTCACAACGGATTGAGCCAGAAAATGATGCTCTAATTACAAGGTCTTTTCTTACCTGATTCTAACACCCAGCTCAAACCTTCATCATGGTTTATCATCATCCATAAAACATCCAGTAGTGGTAGTAATATAGAGGGATTTTTAACCTCGCTTTTTGAGAAAAATTCCTTAATCTTAGGTAACAAATGCTTTATTGTGGTGAATCCAAAAGGCGTAGAGCCAACGATACAAAACAAACGAACACTGAATCTTTTAACATCGTCACAAAGAATATTTTCGTGCCACTGGTTCAAAACTGACTCAAGCCAAACAGTACAGGCTCTCAATACTTCTGTAAAATCTGAAACCAAAATGAGTTATTAAGTTATATATACTACATGTTATTTTAAATGGATTATAGTCGTTGACTAGTCAACGCTGGGCAGAAACCATCATAAGTAAGTAAGCAAGTTGTCCCTATTCAGACGCCTCCTTGCCACCTAATCCTATTGCCGTTTTGCTGGGCGCAAGATGCACTGCATCGACAGTGCAGTACGCCAATTTTAAATTTGTTTTTATTAATATCTATATATCTAATTCTGTAAGCTCAAAATTTTACAATGAAATTGTGAGCGAATGGGAGGCCGTAGAAAGCTGGGAAAGGTCTCATTTTAAAGGTCTTGGCATGAAATTTTGGGGAAAATTATTCATTTTTCTTAATTATGAAGCAAAAGGTTGTTACGGAATAAAATAATTTACATTTAAATAGCATGGGAATCTAGGCTATGTCTGCTTTGTTTATTTTAAAACATGTGGTTTCACTTTATTTAAAGCATATGGTAATATGTAATATGTATAGGCCTGTACGGTACTATTATAAAGCTGAAATCGACTTTTTCCCAATTTTAAGGGTCTGGAATAGTTAATGGAGTACGATTGGTTGTGTTAGGTATGTCTGAAAGAAAAATGTTAAGTTAGAAGTAATTACCTTCTGGAGTTGGTAAAGGAAACATATTTTTCATTCCAAAAATAAACCTAATAAAATTCTAACATATAACATCTAATCTATAGATCCTAATATGCCGTTTAAGTTTACAAGGATTCAATACCCATTGCGATTAGCTTTCGCTATTACTTATTATTAAAGCGCAAGGCCAAACTTTCACAAAAGTTGGCATTTATTTGAAAAAAACCAGTGTTCACCCATGGTCAACTTTATGTTGCTTTTAGCCGGGTAAAGCGGACAGATGATATTAAAATTGTACTAGAACCAAATAAAGACCAAGGAATCGACCAAAATAGATACTATACAAGAAATGTTGTTTTCAGAGAAATATTATAGAATTAGCATTTTACAATTTTGTGGAGAATGACATTATCTCTGTGTCTTTTATCTAAGTGTATTTGTCAATATTCAAAGAAATTTATATATATTTAATTAATAGTCATGAAGACTATTATTGAAAATGTTCCTTAGTTAATTGTATTATGATTAGAAAGTTTATATTATAAACACACCTAATAAACAGTCTTTTGGAATTTTTATTTTAAACAGAGCAGACATCAAAATGTTTTATGCTGGTATGTAATAACTATTATACATATTATAAGATACAAAAATGTTAAACAATAATTCAATGTAGGGATCCCATGAGACTAATAATTTGTGCAAAATAATTACTAGATGTATACTATATATAGGGGCTATTATTGCCCCTACAAGCCACTAGTCATTAAAACAAATATCATATTATAATGCGTCTTGAAATCCTAATAAAATTTAAATATATTTACTATACTACAGTTTTAGCCTAATGAGCAATGACATCCAAGACAACTTCATCATTAACTTGGCAGAAGACTCCGACACCGATGTTGACAGCGAGGTAAACAGTGAAGAAGAAATTGTAGGGGAAAACTATGATGACGACTTAGCCCATTCTCTTTAAAGTAGGCACATCTTATTTTATATTGTTATTTATTTTTTAACTAGCTAGTACCCACTGGCTTCACCCCGTTTGACTTCATAATCTTATCTTATCTTACTAATATTATAAATCTGAAAGTTTGTGGGTGTGTTGCTCAATCACGCATTAACTATACTAGACGGATTGGGCTGAAATTTGGCATGATGATAGCTCACATTCCAGATTAACATAGCCTATAGGCATATTCTTATCTCAAAAATCCTTCCGGGCTCCGCCCCAGTGGCTCTGTAGTTCCCCATGTTAACCTTATGAGTATTCATTATTTAAAGGGAATTTAAAGAATTTAGTCAGCTGTTTCAACTAAAAAGTTGGTTCTTTGATATGCAAAAGAATTAAAAAGTTATCAGATTTACCAACAGGGTGCGGCACTAACTAAAAAGTTGGTTCTTTGATATGTAAAAGAATTAAAAAGTTATCAGATTTACCAACAGGGTGCAGCACTATTATTTCTTCTGCATTTATGAAAACAGCTAACAAAAAACTGTGATAGGTACGCAATGAGAATTGTCAAAGTAGGATTATTTACAGTTATATTTATGTTTTAATTTCATGAATAATTTGTGATATAGTTTTTACTAATTTATTCATCTCTATTGTTTAGGTGAAGTGGTAGAACATTATAGCTATGGTAGATTTTTAATAGGCTACTATAGTAAACCCTAAATTTAAAGAATCAAATTTTATCAAACTGTGTCCTCTCCCATTGCAAACGCAAAGCTTGAATACAACTGCAATAAACATTTTATACTTATATGCCAAACCCGTACGAAGGACGGGTACTCTACTAGCATGCTACTAGTCTATATAAGTATAAAAGAGGATGTTTGTATATATATTTGGCAGTGATAAACTCAGACACCGCTGAACCGATTGCCACGAAACTTGGTACATGCGTGTAGAATTTCATGGAATAGGTTTATACACCATCAATTTTGTGATCCGTCCAATCGGCTCCGCCCCAGTGGCTCTGGACTTTCCCATGTTAACCTTATGAGAAATGGAATTAATGAATCTTAACAGCTGTTTCAATTAAACAAGTTGGTTCTGTTCTATGATGTTCAATAGCATTAAAGTTACAAGGATTACCAACAGGGTGCAGCACTAGCACTATTATTTCTTTTACATTTATGACAACAGCTAATTTGCAACCAAAAGGTGAGTGAGCGTAGCGAACGAACTTCAACCTGGAGGCGAGTTAGCGTAGGGAACGAGCTAACCTGAAGGCAAGTGAGCGCAGCGAACGAGCCCCATCTAAAGGTGAGTGAGCGTAGCGAACGAGCTCCAACCTAAAGGTGAGTGAGCATAGCGAACGAACTTCAACCAGGACGTGATTGAGCCATGCGAACGAGATCATCTTGAAAATTAAGAAGTTAAACGGGGCAAAGCCCACGGGTTACAGCTAGTTATTAATAAAACTATTGATTGGTTAGGTTAAATAAGCAAAACGGAATAAAATAGAAACAAATAGCGAATAACAAACAATTTTGTGTTGCAATGGAAACCACATATCACCAAAAATCAGCTGCGGTAAGGTAAACAAACATTTTTTTTTAAATGTTATCTATACTATTATAAAAAAGAGGTGGTTGCTGTATGTATGGGAAAAGTAAACGCGAAAAATACTGGTCGGATCGGGCTGAAATTCGGCATGATGATAGCTCACATTCCCGATTAACATATAGGCATATTTTTATCCCAAAAATCCTTTCGGGCTCCGCCCCAGTGGCTCTGGAGTTTCCCATGTTAACCTTATGAGAAATGAAATTTATTGAATCTTAACAGCTGTTTCAATTAAACAAGTTGGTTCTGTTCTGTGATGTTCAATAGCATTAAAGTTACAAGGATTACCAACAGGGTGCAGCACTAGCACTATTATTTCTTTTACATTTATGACAACAGCTAATTTGCAACCAAAAGGTGAGTGAGCGTAGCGAACGAACTTCAACCTGGAGGCGAGTGAGCGTAGCGAACGAGCTAACCTGAAGGCAAGTGAGCGTAGCGAACGAGCTAACCTGAAGGAAAGTGAGCGCAGCGAACGAGCTCCAACCTAAAGGTGAGTGAGCGTAGCGAACGAACTTCAACCAGGACGTGATTGAGCCATGCAAACGAGATCATCTTGAAAATTAAGAAGTTAAACGGGGCAAAGCTTGAGTATAATTGCAATAAGAATTTTATACTTATATTCCAACCCCGTACGAAGGACGGGTACTCTGCTAGTTACTTATAAAAGTACACAACTTTTGATTTTTCTACGTAGGGAATCGATTGACCTTTATAATAGTAGTGTTATTTGGTGTCTGGATTAATCTTGGAATTTGTATATCAAGTTTACTTTCAAAATATTGTTTTTAAAATTTTTATTTTTATAATCTTTTTTTATATATATATATTTTTTAGTTTAGAACTTTGACTATCCAATTACCACTTTTCTGTAGACAATTTTACTGTGAACAAAATGGTGAAAGAATTATTAATTTATTACCTAAGGTTTTCTTTATATAGCAGTTAGAGTAAAAGTCTACAAATTCGGTAAAATTTATTGCCGCCAGAGGGTGCTGCAGGTAGACATAGACATAGACATAGACATAGACATAGACTTTATTTGCACAAAACATTCCATACATGTCATAACATTTAGAATAGGTGCATTGTCAAAATTAAATCCATACATAAAATATTTAACATTAAAACTTTTAACTTAAAATTAAACACTAAAAAAAAATAATTTCTAAATTGTAGTTCTGTAAAAATCTTCAATTAAGTAAAAAGCCTTGTCAATAAGAAAATTATCTATTGTATCTTTAAATTTGGTTTTGCTTAATGACTTATAGCATGGCGGAAGCACATTGTACAATCTCAGCCCAGCGTACAATGGAGATTTTTCATATAGGGTCAAACGGTGTCTGGGGAGTCTAAATATATTTTCATTTCAGGTTTCATACCTGTGATTAAAATGTATTGTTTCTGGTAGCTCATTTTTAACTGAATGTATGTAATTTAATAATTCTAGAATATACAACCCCGTTAATGTATGAATTCTTAAATTTTGAAAATGTTTCTTACAAGAACTGCGTGAATGAGAGTTGGTAATAATATGAATAATACGTTTTTGTAACCTGAATAAAGTTTTAATACCAGTAGCTTGGCCCCATAAAATTATGCCATATCTTAACACTGACTCCACATAAGCATGATAAACTACTTTAAGTGTCTCAATAGAAACACAGTCCCTTAAATGTATGAATAAAGATGATATCGACCTAATTTTGTTACGTAAATAATTCAAATGTGAATCCCATTTAACTGCGTCATCTACGTAAACCCCTAAGAATTTATGAGCTTCAACTAAATTAAAGGAACAGTTTTCCATATTTTTGTGTCTAGTAGAAAATTTAATAATATTTGTTTTTTCAACATTAAGTTTTAACCCATTTTCTAAAAACCATTGCTCCATGTCCTTTACCACACTTTGCAGAGAAGAAAACATTTCAGTTGTATTATTATTTTTGATCAAAGCAGTAGTGTCATCGGCAAAAAGAATTAGTTCTTTATTAATAGCTTTTGGAAGATCATTAATGTAAATAAGAAAAAAAAACGTATTAATAGCGCATTAATTCCTTCCCCAATGGGTTAAGGTATTAAATTGAAAGAATCACTTAAACAAATAAGTACAGCTGAGGTATAACAATCTAGGTACGGTACCTTATATGAAAGTTCCCTTTAGAAAGGAACCTAAACCTTAAACCTTTAACCTTTTTATTAGGTACCTTAAAGGGCAATTTATGAAATAATGGATAGTTTTTCGCAAGGTTTCTCGTCATGATGAACATTTTAAGTATGCCTAGGCTCCACCCTAGTATATAGGCCTAGTAGTATAGTAGTAGGTATAGTAGTATGCCTAGTAGGTATGGCTAGGTTTTAGGTATGGTTTAGGGGGGTGTGACTTTTAGTTTTCTCAAACGTTCATGGGTACTTTGGGATTTATATATGGATTGGCTACTAGGTTTTTAATCCCATACAGGAAATTCCAAATTGTCTTTACCATACATCTAAAGTGGTTTAGTAGTGCTTGAAAATTATTATTTTGTTGAAAAGCTATTGACACTTGTTTAACATTCTTTGACTTTATTTATTTGCTTATTAATATGCCTTTATTTGTTTATTAAAATGCCGTTTGTCGTTTGTCTTAAATTTTTGTTTTGTTTACTCAGTATAACATTTGTATTATTCAAAACTTCTGGCCAATTATTGTTTAGAGTTTATAATAGTTTATGAAACTGTTGTAGTTGTTTAGTAGCCTATTAGTTTTTGTAAGGGATTGAGTTTAATCTTTGAATAATTATATTCAACCACTGTATTGTTGGTTTAGGGGCCTATGTATATATCATCAGCATTGTTAGGCCTACTTAAACTTATTTTGCTTTTTGATTGTTCTAACAAAAAAAACACAAAGTACCGTATATATAAAATTACCCCCGCCACAGCAAACCTGCAGACTAAGCGAATTTCCATTTGCCTGATTTGATTTTCTATTAAATCTATTCAAATAACATTTCTCAGGTTTAACGTGTACCTAGGTTTGCTACCTACAAGGAGGGTAATAAAGTGTGTTTTTTTTAATTAAATATTAATAGCTAGTATAAAATTAATAGATTTGCCAAGTTTGATCCAAATATAGGCCTATCCATAAACAAGCAAACTACAACAGTTTAAGTTAATTATTTTCCATTAAGAATACCTAACATGGGATTTTTTAATTTACAATTTTCTCTGTAACCAATAACCATACACAAACACTTCAATATAGCCTACTAAATTATTTGTTTTTTAAGCTCTTCAAAATGGTCTAGAGAAAATTTGGGAAATTTTTTGTTTTGAGGGTAAAAAATGAGAAAACCCCATTCCCATGGTAAGATAGGTTTCGAACTCGTTCGAATAAACGTAGGTTTAGGCCTACATAACTTATTTGTTTGAAATCGGATTATTTTTGCTCAAGAGATATTGGGTGCTATTATTGGACACAAGTTATTCCTATGTACGCCTATATATAAGTTATCTTATAACTTAGCCTATGCTAGCCTACCTTACATTTTTTTTTTACTTATAAGCTGCAACTTAGTATAATTAAGTTAAATATTGGCCAATTTATATCAGTTTTAGGCTATATCAATTTTATCAGAATTTCAAGACGCATCTGAATATGACATTTGTTTTCACGATACCTACTTATTAATAAAATAACAAATTTCAAATTGGCATACTGCACTGTCGATGCAGTGTATCCACGCGCCCAGCGAAACGGCAATAGGATTAGGTGGCGAGGAGGTGCCTGAATAGGGACAAATTGCTTACAAGCCAATGGTTTCTGGCCAGCGTTGACTAGTCGACGACTATAGTTTAGGCTAAATAATCTAGAATTTTGCAGTTGGGATTGATGATGATACTTGCATTCGGTTACTGATATAACTTAGGCTAAGTTTTGTTTCTTCTCATCTCAGCTTTAAGGCAGTGGATGACATCACCACAAACCAATAGCAATACTCCAAAAAATTGTGTGACATGACAGTCAGTAGGCATACACCACAGCAAACAGTGTTCAAGTTAGTTGGTAGGCCTATTGACTAAAGGCCCTAAAGGTCCCTATTTCCAGGAACTAACCCATAGGCTTAGCCTATTTTGGAGAAAGTTTCCATTAATCTTGGCACATTAGCCTGGACTCATTTTCACCAGCTAGCTAAACTAGGCTAAACTATCATTCCACCCAACTAAGTTAATTAGGCCCCTATCCTTTTTTCCCAATGGTTAACCACATTAGAGGTCTCCTATAAATAACTTAATAGCCCTAGGCTAACTTAGTAGCTATTCTTACCAGTTTCATGCGATTTTTGAGAATGAGAAATGTGTTCATATAATTGTTCTAATACAGTGTCATCCAATATGGTGAAATTTTCGTTTAACAACTTATAAAACACATTTATCAATTTATGTTTGTAATTGTTTCCTTCATTAAACTCCATTTTGAAATAGGCCTAATGCTATCCTAGGTCAGTTCAGTAGGCTAGCTTATCAAATGAATGCAGTTTTTAAGTTTTGACCAATCCATCCAATCCAAAAGATTTTAAATTTGAACATTCTGAACTACAGAGTACAGACCAGAATAGTGATGTGACGAGTCGAGTACTTGACTCGTTAAGTATCGAGTCCAATGAAGTATCGAGTCGACTCGATACCAAATCGGCGATACTCGAGTACTATTACTCGTGAACTAAAGCTTGCTAGATCCGCCGCTACGAGTCCATAGCGCTTGGGTTGGGTGCATTTAATACTCACTCGTCTACTCGAGTCGAGACTCGGATGTTGTTCCAGATTTTGCCACTACGAGTCGACAGCGCTTGTGTGCTTGACACTGACAATTCGTATTAATACACTGCTAAAATGTTTAAGATATAGTTTCAAAACTATCCGCTACGAGTACATAGCGCTCGAGTAATTTGCTTACTCGGGTCAAGACACTATTAGACTGTTATTAATCTAAGTTTTATAATAACGAATAAAATCCATAATTAATTATCAACTCAATGTGAGATGAATCGCTCTCATCTTAAATCTACACAGAGTATAAAACGAGTCCGAGCCAAGTCTGTCCGACTCGAGTAAAGGGACTCGAGTCCGAGTCAAACAAGTTCCATTTCCAGTATTCGCACGGCAGCTACGAGCAGCTTCGGTGCTATACAGTATACAGGCAAGAATCGAGTCCAGTACTCGAGTACCGACTCGAGTAGTTGTGGTATCGAGTCGAATTGACTCGAGTTGGGAAAGTACTCGACTCGTCACATCACTAAGGTCCACTATACATCAGACATAAGATAAAAGTAAGTTAAAGGATGGGCCGAGGTAGAGATTACAACATGATAGCACGAATCTTGTGCGTTTGAATCTAAATAAATCCTTATTTATACAGTAAGAACGAGCAAATTGGATTAACGTTTTCCCGAAAAAGTGCAAAGATTATTCTGCATATAAAATATACTTGTGTAACTTATGTGTTAATGAACAAAAAATCAAATTCAAAATTCAAATCACAACACTACAGAACAATCACACAGTCTCTGACTCTGACAAACAGTGTTGCCACCCTAGACCTATGAATATTCCCTCTCTGACTAAGAAAAATCCTCATTTTATCCCCAGCTAAAGCAAAAATCCGCCAAGTCATAAAAATCTATAGAAAGTCCCCAATTTTCATCTATCCAATCACCAAATTCTAAAAAATCTATTTTAACTACAGTACCAAGCAGTAGAACCCCAATTCATACCTATATCTATGCCACAGCTTTGACTATCAATACCATAGTCACATTGTGTGGATAAATAAATTTCCACTGAATATGAATACTACTGTATGAAAAATCCTCATTTTATCCCCAGCTAAAGCAAAAATCCTCTCCAAAAAATCCTCCTCCATTTATCTGCCAAGCCATAACAATTTAAAGTCCCCAACTGTAATGTGCATTTATGTATTTGTTTATGATATGAAAGCTTGGTTACTCTGGGCCATGAAAATATTGACTCCACTTGAAATGTACAATAATAGATTTTCAATTTAAATATTGTTTCGGTTTTCAATTATTTTTTAATTTTTAATCTTGTAATAAATGTTTGGCCATAAATTTAAATTTAAATGAATAATACCTGAACTAATGAGGTGTCACACTTGTCTTCCATGTTATTTTACGGGACGTCTGGCACCAGACAACACTACTTGCAACGTTGCCAATTCTATGCCGTGGCCTGGAGTTAAAGGTGGCTGTGCTTTAACCAGAGTTAAAGGTGGCCGTGCTTTAACCAAGCCATTAACTCCAAGCCGCGGCCTTCGAAGTGGCAACGACGCAAGTAGGGTTGTAACAGCTGTTTTGTTTGGAAGCAGCGAAGCAGCTAATGGTATTTGCGTATTAACGAAAGCTTGGATACTGGACTGTGAATAATATTGACTCAGTACAGATATAGATTTTCAATTCATATTATTTTAGTTTCAATCCTGTATGTTTTATTTTCAATATTTTGTAAAAAAAAGTGCGAATTAATGAGCTGAAGCATGGCCACCTTTTTTGAAGTTCCTTGTCTGCCAAGTTATCTTATGGGAAGTCTGACACTAAACAACCCTATTTGCGACGTTGCCAATTTTAGCAGGCCGCGACCTAGAGTTAAAGGTAGCCGTGCATCAGCTCATAAATTCTCACTTTATTAATTTAAATCTATGAACATAAATTTATTTAAACAAAATATTGTAAATTAAACATACCCAGAATTAAAAACCAAAACAATATGAATTGAAAATCTATATCTGTAAATTTTAAGCGGGGTCAATATTCAGAAATAGAATCAGAATGTTTTATTGCCATGATAATAATCTATATCTATCCTACTAATATTATAAATGAGAAAGTTTGGATGTATAGATGTATGGATGTATGGATGTATGTTTGTGACAAGTGAACGCGAAAAATACTGGTCGGATTGGGCTGAAATTTGGTATGATGATAGCTCACATTCCCGATTAACATATAGGCATATTCTTATTTCAAAAATCCTTTCGGGCTCCGCCCCAGTGGCTCTGGAGTTTCCCATGTTAACCTTATGAGAAATGGAATTATTGAATCTTAACAGCTGTTTCAATTAAACAATTTGGTTCTGTTCTGTGATGTTCAATAGCATTAAAGTTACAAGGATTACCAACAGGGTGCAGCACTATTATTTCTTTTACATTATGACAACAGCTAATTTGCAACCAAAAGGTGAGTGAGCGTAGCGAACGAACTTCAACCTGGAGGCGAGTTAGCGTAGCGAACGAGCTAACCTGAAGGCAAGTGAGCGCAGCGAACGAGCTCCAACCCAAAGGTGAGTGAGCGTAGCGAACGAGCTCCAACCTAAAGGTGAGTGAGCGTAGCGAACAAACTTCAACCAGGACGTGATTGAGCCATGCGAACGAGATAATCTTGAAAATTAAGAAGTTAAACGGGGCAAAGCCCGCGGGTTACAGCTAGTATATATATATTAATAGGCAAGCATGTTTCTTTAAAACCTTTTTTCTCAGCTCGTGTGTGTCGTAGGGAAAACCTTCGCATACTGTTAGAAAGATATTTACCTGTAGATGTGCAGAATCACATTATAAATTAAAATTGGCTCGAAGATAAGCACAAGATTGTGGTGTGAGTAGCCTCCGGATTGCGAATAATAACTATGATAGTGGTTTAAATACCTTATTCTTGCAATCCGATTGTTGTCTTCACAACTAGTTTCAACCTGCTAGGAGGTCATCGTGTGTACAAGGATGATATTACTTCATATGAAGGACGTCAGTAACAGTTTTTTTTACATTTACACAAACACACGACGAATAAACACATAGAGCGCACACATATACGGCCGATAAAATATGACATCGAACTCGACACGGGTTCACGGGTCCGCTTGTCGAGTTCGATGTCATATTTTATCGGCCGTATATGTGTGCGCTCTATGTGTTTATTTGTCGTGTGTTTGTGTAAATGTAAAAAAACTGTTACTGACGTCCTTCATATGAAGTAATATCATCCTTGTACACCTGATGATGACCTCCTAGCAGGTTAACAGACTGCGCTGATCTAAATACACTTCTGTCGAATACACGATGGTTTTTACCAAGTCAAACTGTTTGAATGAGATATAGCAACTAATATGACCCATCAACTTTATCAGCAAAAAAATAAGGTAGAAAATAAAATTGAAGACACGCTTTCGGTGAATGGCTCACACCTGGGCTCACACAACTACATGTTTAAAAAAAATTGTGACAGCTGGTCCATATAGATGGGGAGTCTACCCAAGGCCCCACTAGAAAAAGTTTTTCCTAGTGGGGCCTTGGTCTACCTCAGTATTCAATATTCAATAAGTGTATGTTACATGTTTTGGTCGAGTTTTCGACCACTGGACGACATCTAGTATACATAAATGTACAGGGCAAAAGTCACTAAAACTAAACAAGTAAAATAAGATCCATTAAAATAAAGATACAAACTTCAAAAGGTAACAGTACAAACTAATACAATTTAAAAACGAAGAAACCCTTTAACATTCCTTATCAACTAAATATTCTCTTATGCCATGCTTAATTTTTTTTATCATGGTCGCCCTTGATTGCATTAGGAAGAGAATCATAAAGACAGATACACATGGAGAATGATTGGTTTTTATGAAAAGTGGTACGAGATAGTGGAATAGGTAGGTCAAAGTTCCTTCTAAGATTGCGAAGCTGTGGTGAGATGACTCTCTAATATGAAACATTCTGAAATATTTTTTAAGATGGTCAAAGATTCAAAAATGAAAATTGATGGGAAGGTCAGCATATTATTTCTACGAAAAATAGCACTCTCTTCTACAAGACTTGAAGATTAATCTGATGGCTCTTTTTTGCAGTTTGAATATTCTCTTAGTTTGAAGTTTGTCGTCACCCCAAACTGGCACACAATATGTAAGAAAGGGGTAAACAAAGACCGTAATAAGCTGTCAGAAGGACGCGTCTTTCTTGATAACAGGAGAGCCTACGAAGAAGGAAAGCACTAGTACTAAGTCTATTGTGAATTTTGTCAATGTGACTGGAAAACTTCAGATTGCTGTCAATGGCTACTCCTAAATATGTTACACTAGAAGAAGAAACAATGTTGATGTTGTCGTTTGGTAAATTTAAAGATTCGAATATGTGTTAGATGAATTCTGTCGTATACGAAAGTCTAAAAGTGATGTTTTCTGAGGATTAAAATGTAGAGAGATCTCGGATAGCCATTATGGAAAACAAAATTACACTCAATAAATTTTTGGATTCTAGCTGTGCTTGATTTGGACTGGAGACAACGAGGGAAGTTGTTATGAAAAGAAATGTTTAGAAACCAAATTTATATGGTTTTATTCAACTTAATAGTCAGCTACATTTTACATGAGAGAATTGCACAAAACTGTAAACATTACATACATAAACAAAACAGTCTTAAATAAAACAGCTGAATAAATATTTGACAGTACAAAAGGAATCATATTACATAACATTCACCCCATCTTTTTTTTTTAAATGTAATCCCTTAGATAGGTGGGAGGTCTTCGGACTCTAGTGGAAC